CCAGAAATCGTTTAAGGTACTCCGCTTGAGAATCGGATGAGAATTGGTGAAGATATAGCCATCACAGTGGACCCTATAGGGGAAAACCCCATTTTCAAGGGATCTCCTCAGGAAAAATGGACAAAAAATCGAAAAATATTTTGCCTCAGGATTTTGATGCAGAACGGTGGAGAATCAATCCAGAAATCGTTTAAGGTACTCCGCTTGAGAATCGGATGAGAATTGGGGAAGATATAGCCATCACTGTGGGCCCCATAGGGAAAACACCATTTGCAAGGGATCCCATCATGAAAAATGGACAAAAAATTTGAAAAATATTTTGTCTCAGGATTTTGATGCAGAATGGTAGAGAATCGACCCAGAAATCGTTTAAGATACTCCGCTTGAGAATCGGATGAGAATTGGGGAAGATATAGCCATCACTGTGGGCCCCATAGGGAAAACACCATTTGCAAGGGATCCCATCATGAAAAATGGACAAAAAATTTGAAAAATATTTTGTCTCAGGATTTTGATGCAGAATGGTAGAGAATCGACCCAGAAATCGTTTAAGATACTCCGCTTGAGAATCGGATGAGAATTGGGGAAGATATAGCCATCACTGTGGGCCCCATAGGGAAAACACCATTTGCAAGGGATCCCATCATGAAAAATGGACAAAAAATTTGAAAAATATTTTGTCTCAGGATTTTGATGCAGAATGGTAGAGAATCGACCCAGAAATCGTTTAAGATACTCCGCTTGAGAATCGGATGAGAATTGTAGAAGATATAGCCATCACTGTGGGCCCCATAGGGAAAACACCATTTGCAAGGGATCCCATCATGAAAAATGGAGAAAAAATCTGAAAAATATTTTGTCTCGGGATTTTGATGCAGAATGGTGGAGAATCGGCCCACAAATCGTTTAAGGTAGTCCGCTTGAGAATCGGATAAAAATTGGGGCAGATATAGCCATCACTGTGGGCCCCATAGGGAAAACACCATTTGCAAGGGATCCCATCATGAAAAATGGACAAAAAATCTGAAAAATATTTTGTCTCAGGATTTAGATGCAGAATGGTGGAGAATCAATCCAGAAATCGTTTAAGGTACTCCGCTTGAGAATCGGATGAGAATTGGGAAAGATATAGCCATCACTGTGGGCCCCATAAGGAAAACACCATTTTCAAGGGATCCCATCATGAAAAATGGACAAAAAATTTGAAAAATATTTTGTCTCAGGATTTTGATGCAGAATGGTAGAGAATCGACCCAGAAATCGTTTAAGATACTCCGCTTGAGAATCGGATCAAGATTGGGAAAGATATAGCCATCACTGTGGACGCTATGAGGTAAAACTCTATTTTCAAGGGCTTTAAAAAATATTTTGTTTCAGAATTCTGATAAAATTATAAAGAACTGTTTGAACAAATCAGAAAAGAATAAAATCACTTATTTATTAATTATTTTATTTATTAATATGTATTCCCTTCAAACTCACCTCTTATAGTGCTTGGCATGTTAGTCAGGTTAAGCGATTTCATCTACGGGCCAGACTTTCGTTCACACACACACTGAAGTCTCAACGGATCAATGTCAAGGCTTTGAACTCTTCACCAGACAAGATCATCATAATGATCGTTAGATTCGCGAATTAGTTCAGGTCGCAGATATGGCGACATCAAATAGCTTTCAAACGGTACAAATAAAGACGATGATGATGCCGGCGAGCGGAACGAAACGAAACGGATCAGGAAGGAGAACTGGAACTGGAACTTGGACCGAAGCTGAAGCTGAATCTGAAGCTGGAGAGTGACACCGTGTGGCCAGAATCCGTGTGGACTGGACTGGACGTGGGGACAAACGATTGCACACTAAATGGCAAGAGACCAAGTCGGAAGACCCGTTGCATCCCAGGTCCGATCATGATCATCACGATCATCATCGGTCTCATCCGCGGTGGAATCATCATCCCCAGGCGGGAACCTGTGTGTGGAGGAGGTGGCGACTGCAAAAAAAAAAACAAGAAGATTCCCAAACAGAAACAGAAGCTCAGCCGAGAAAGGAGAAAGGAGCTGCAAGAAGATTCCCAACTCACACTCACACAAGGCATGTACACAGATACACAGGTATGGTACACCATCACCTGGAAGAGTTTACTCACAAAAATTCCTGCTAATTAAATGCGTGATCACAGCCCAAAAATATCCACGCAGCAACCAAAATAATACAGTCAGGCTTAAAAAAAAAAAATAAATGACAAAAAAGATCTATTTCATCATAATGGTAATCTTTAAGAAATTCAATCTATTAGTATTCATGCTATGATCTATGACATCATTTAGGTTAATCTATAATTATTATTTTAAAACCCTTATAAAAGCCTCTCTCCCCTGAAAGCATTTTTCATTTTAAAATTTTAAAAGATAATACCATATCTTAAATGAAAAACCTATCGGTTTAATTCACAGATGTAAGCCTGTATCTCAAAGTAAAAGATACAACTTGAAGTACCAGAGAGGAGTCATGCGTGCATTTCATCAGAGTTGTCCAAGAGCCGGGTTCGGGAATATTGTACTTGTGGTACTCGAACCCAAAGAGTCAGAGACCCGAAACCCGGGCGGCTGTTGTTGTTGCTGCTGGTTTGGGGCCCGTCATCGGAGCTTGCTCAGTTGCACCTTTAATCGCTGAACAAACAGGAAGACTTCTACGGCAAACACACCAACACCAGTGCACGACGCGCCCGCTCACACTCACACACACACGCACTCCGGAGAGCGGGAGAGGCGGAAAACAGGTTGAGAAGTACCGCTAAGCGGGTAGCAGCAGCAGAAGAAGCAACAGCAGAGCCCCAACACGGAGGTCAACGAACGTTCTTAGCGCTCAAGAATGAAGGAATCAAAACACACGAAAAAAACTGAAAAGCGGGAGAGAGAGAAAGAAACAACAGTGGGGGAAGAGAACAGAAGAGAGCCCCAACGTAGAAAGTACGAAAAGAGAAAGGCCAGCGATCGCGTCATTGTTTAAGAGAGGCCACAGGTGAGCACAATGGGAAGAGAGTGAGAGCCGGAGAAATGATTACACTGCACATGCACTTCTGAAACGAATTTATCTGTTCGACTGTCTCCACCGCTTACAGCTAAATAAAAGCTTACAAAAAAAATGTATTTTTAGCAACAAATTTAATAAGAATGCAGGCGGTGAACAGATAAATGAGTTGTACAAAGAGAGAAAAGACAGTGGCAGTGGCAGTGGCAGAAGGGGGAGTGGTGGTGGGGCGTGTCTGGGGCCCCAACAAAAGCCGCTTTGTAACTGTCTGTCTCATGCCCAAAAGAAACTGAAATTCTTATTCTTATTGCCCAATATTTGGTAATACACACACCAGAAACCAACTCACGGCTACAGATACAGATACACTCGCACAGATACAGATACAGATAGAGATACGTGCAAAAGCCATTGAATGTAGCGGTATTTTGTCGAAATTTTCAGAGTCTCGAGACGAGTACAAAGCTCATTGACCTCTCTGCTTTTCTCCTTCTTTATTTTCTCTTTCTCCGCACCGCCCCGCCCCGCCCCACCCCACACTCACCCCCTCCCACCGTGCTTTATTTTGTAACAAGTGTGTAATGAGGGGAGGGGTCTCTCGAGCGGAAGGGGGCTCGATTTGCTTTCTGATATCGCCGCGTATTTTGAAGCCGAGCTTCCAGCTAACTTGCTGGGCATTTTCGGCTTTTATGTCTTCCTGTGCCAGCGGAGACCCGAAATTATATGCCCCATCCCGTGCCTCTGGGAATTGACTTTTAATCCGGCCAGATGTGGTATTTATTATTGGCCAAAGCGGCCCTTTAAGTCAGCGAACAAATTGGTTAGGAAGTGGGGGGAGGGAGACTGTCTGCTGCTGGCCGACAGCCTGTTGATCCTGTTTGTGGTTGCCGCCCTCTGATTGGTCAGCTTGTGTCGTCCTAGCGAAGGACTCCACCCGCCATTGGCTGTTCGGTTCTCTTCGCTTTCGTGGCCTTTTTTTTCTTTATGTTCTCTTATTGTTTTAGATACTCTTTCAATACTAGTTTATAGAATATTTGTATAATAACATTGTTATTAATATGTTATTTATTTAGTTATTTATCCTAATATATTTAATATTTTACATTAAAATTCAGTTGAGTATATGAACCAATCTATAAGAAAGGAAAGAGTATTAAAAGTTCAGAAAGCTTCACCCACGCATTTTCCTAAGCTTATAGTTGTTGTCATTCATATTAGGAAAATGGCCATCCTGCTGTTTAATGTCATTTGGAAAGACCCCCCTTTTCTGGCAGAAGCAGAGCCCCAGTTCCAGGGTATAAATAGATCCTGTAAGAGTCCCATTTCCTTCAGTTTGAATCAGATTTTAGTCCTGCGAGTGTTTCGTTTAACTTTATTGTGTCTGTATAGTTCGGTAATAAAATAATATTTAACTTACATGTATTAAAAGTATAAGGATTCTCTTAATTTTAAATATTTTATCCCTTGTTTCTTTGTATTATATTGCCATTTTTTTGGATAAAATTTTATTAAATTTGATAACCCATTACATCGAATCGCAGATGAGTTAGTATCCATGTTATTCCCATTTTAAATGCATGACAAAATGCAGTTGGAGAATCGGAGTGCACGTGTGTGGTAGATAGGCACCTGTACAGTGAAGCCGGTGCATGAGAGCTGCAGATCGAGCGATAGAATTAATTTGCGGTATTTAAAATGTAATCAAAGCTATGGGAGTCAGCAAGCATAAACAATTAGGGGGCGCTTTCCAATTTAAACGGAATTTTGTTGCAGATCCATGGCGATCCCCCCCATTCCCGCCAGAGCCACGTCCGGATATCGTGCCACTGGGGGAGATGGGCAATTAGGCCAGCTCCATGTTCTGACAACTTGTCGACACAATTTGATTTATTTCGGGGCGCATATTCCAGTTCTATAAAAGCCCGGAGTGATCCAAAACAGAGGCAGTATTAGGATAAATATTTTCGTTGCCGTAATTAGGTTATTCAGCCAAAACCCTTCCAATACCTGCGGATAGGGTCCGGCCCTGTATTTTCACAGCTGGCCGTTTTTCCAGGCGTTTTTCTTTTGCTTTTCCAGGCCCAAAAGAAGCCCCACAACATCGGAAGTGTCCAAGTTTCCATTTCATTATATTGTTCTTCAAATTTTTTCCCGTCTGTATTTTTTTCGCCAGCGGTCAGCGGTTGACGTTCCCATTTAGCATTTCAACTTAGCACAAGTGCCCCCCAGAAAAATGGAGCTGGCCTAGCTGGACCCACACCCAAAATAGACCATATAAAACCATATAAAGCCCAAAAGGAAAACAACAGCAAAGAGCGAGCCAGAGAGTGCGAAAGTCCAAAAGGATTAGGCCAAACTCATAACGACACGAGTCGGCTAAAAGACGCAGTTAGAGCCACTGATTGTCTGCGACAATTGCACAGCATTTACGTCAGCAAGGGTTAAGCGAGTCGATTGCACCACCATGGACTTCAAGGAATACCGCCAGAGGGGTAAGTAGATGGGGGAACCGGGGGAGTGGGTCAAATCTGGGCCATAAACTGCACAGCGGCAGGCAGGGCAGGGCCGTATGGTAAATACCGGATGGAAATCCCCTCCGACGGGGCGTATATTTGATTTGGCCCCGAGGAGGATTTGGCCCGGCCGTTTGTCTTCGTTTGATGGCCTCTAATTGAATTCGACTGCACAGCAAAAAGTATATATATATATCAGAGATATATTCTTATTTGAAAAGAGTCTAATAGAAACTTGAATTTAATAGATAGAAGACTACAGAAAAGAATTTCCTAAGGTTTTGATCTTAAAAAGCTTATTCTAACTATTATCGAAATGATAATAATTAAACCCCTTTTAAAACAAAATAACTATAAATTTCTAGGAAAGGAAATGGTCGACTATATAGCGGATTATTTGGAGAACATTCGCGAGAGACGCGTCTTCCCCGATGTGAGTCCCGGCTATATGCGCCAGCTACTCCCGGAATCGGCACCCATTGATGGGGAGCCCTGGCCAAAGATCTTTGCGGACGTGGAGAGGATCGTGATGCCTGGAATAACCCACTGGCAGTCGCCACACATGCACGCCTACTTTCCGGCCCTCAACTCGATGCCCTCCCTGCTGGGCGACATGCTGGCGGATGCCATCAACTGCCTGGGCTTCACCTGGGCCAGTTCTCCGGCTTGCACTGAGCTGGAGATCATCGTGATGAACTGGCTGGGCAAGATGATCGGGCTGCCGGACGAGTTCCTGCACCTGAGCTCCAGCAGTCAGGGAGGCGGGGTGCTTCAGACGACGGCCAGCGAGGCCACTCTGGTCTGTTTGCTGGCGGGCAGGACGAGGGCCATTCAGCGTTTCCACGAGCGACATCCTGGCTACCAGGATGCGGAAATCAATGCCCGACTGGTGGCCTATTGCTCGGATCAGGCTCATTCTAGTGTGGAGAAGGCAGCTCTAATTGGTGAGTTTATTTTTAAATTATCCTTTTTTTTTAAATATAAATACATTAGTGGGTATTTTTAATGAAAAAAAGAGGAAGCATCGACAACCTGATGCTTCTTAGTGGGCTGGTGTTTGGTTTCTTTAAGCTGCTTAAGGCCTAAGCCTCTCTCACGCTTCCCTCCTTTGCAGGACTCGTCAGGATGCGGTACATCGAGGCGGATGAGGACTTGGCCATGCGCGGCAAACTGTTGCGCGAGGCCATCGAGGATGACATTAAGCAGGGCCTGGTCCCCTTCTGGGTGAGTGGCAGTCTGTCAAAATTAATTGGCTTGCCTTCCGCTGCCAGCTGATTCTGGGATTCTCGCATCAAGAATCGCGACTCCCACTGGAGCCAATTAATACATGTCAGCCAGTTAAGTGTCCTGCGGTGGTTTATTTTTAGGTCTGCGCCACTCTCGGCACCACCGGCAGCTGCAGTTTCGACAACCTGGAAGAGGTGGGTGTGCTTAGTGTTTGTGGCTTTTCTACAAATTATTGCCAAGGGAGTACTAGAAAAATACCTAATAATTGTGAAAGATATTCAAGGGTTCTAAAAAAGGCTTATAAATGTTATATTTCTCATCCAGATCGGAGTGGTGTGCGGTGAGTACCACCTGTGGCTTCATGTGGACGCCGCCTATGCGGGCAGCGCCTTCATCTGCCCGGAGTTCCGCACCTGGCTGAGGGGTATCGAGCGGGCCGACTCGCTGGCCTTCAACCCGTCCAAGTGGCTGATGGTGCACTTCGATGCCACCGCCCTGTGGGTGCGCGACAGCACCGCCGTCCACCGCACCTTCAACGTGGAGCCACTCTATCTGCAGCACGAGAACTCTGGAGTGGCGGTGGACTTTATGCACTGGCAGATACCACTGAGTCGCCGTTTCCGGGCCCTGAAGGTCTGGTTCGTTCTGAGATCCTATGGCATCAAGGGCCTGCAGCGCCACATCCGCGAGGGAGTGCGTCTGGCCCAGAAATTCGAGGCCCTGGTCCTGGCCGACCATCGATTCGAGTTGCCCGCCAAACGGCATCTGGGCTTGGTGGTTTTCCGGATTCGCGGCGACAACGAGATCACCGAGAAATTACTGAAACGTCTGAACCATCGGGGCAACCTTCACTGCATCCCTTCGTCGCTGAAAGGACAGTATGTGATCCGGTTCACGGTCACCTCGACGCACACCACCCTGGATGACATTGTCAAGGATTGGATGGAGATCCGGCAGGTGGCCTCCATGGTGCTCGAGGAGATGAACATCACCATTTCGAATCGCGTCTATCTCAAGGGTAAACGCAAATCCTACCGCCTCTAGTTCTAGTTCCAGTTCCAGTTTTAGTTCTAGTTCCACATCCGTTCCTGTTCCAGTTCTAGTTCCACTTCCGTTTCAATAACCTGCCCATGTTTCTTGTTTTTATGTTTTTCTTTTGTTTGTTTTGTTAGTGCACTTCGATCACCTAAAATCGTTGATTACTTTTAGTTAATATACGTTGGAGTTATGTTTACTTTTTGGTTCAGAGAATGGTGTTATAAATAGTTGATTTTCAGGAAGATAGGTTGGAAAAATGGGGCTATTTTGTGGAAATCCTTTTTAAATGTCCAATTTATATTCTTGAAATGCATATTTATATTGTACAAGGATTCTGTTGGGCTCTTTAAATAGGTTTTTAGCTCACTTTTTAATGAAGATTTAAGTTAAAAATCAAATTTACAGTAATTTTTTGGAAGATATGGGAGAGTATGAAGAAGATTCTCCAAATACGGAGTGCAGATATTCATACAGATTATAAAGCCTTTTCTTTTTTATGTTTTTTTTTTAAATAAAGTTAAACAAGTATCTATAGTTTATTTCTGATCATAAGTCCTGGATTAACATGCAAGTTTTCCAATCTAGAAACCAAGGAGAAAAACGAAGCCTTCGGCTCCAGTCTCCTGCTCTCGAACTCTCCGCTTTCGCCCAAAGTGGTTAATGGTTCGTTTGCGGCCATATTCGATGCCGATGAGTTCTTGGCCAAAACCTATGCCGGTGTTCGAATAGCGGTGAGTAGCACCAATCACTCCTGAACATGGTTTTAATCCGGATTTCGTAGCATCATGAATCACCGTCGATGAGGAGACGGGTCCGCGGTATTCTCATGTCCGGGAAGCAGTTCTCGCTGGACTCGCACATGGACGTGGTGGTGCAGACGACCCTTGATGCCGGCAGTGGTGTGACTCGCACTGGCAGCACCAACTCCTACGGGCGCACGGCTCTAAAGGAATCCACCGCCCAGAGTACGGCCGGCGGCCAGGCGAGTATCCGGGAGGACAACGAGGAGTCGTCGGAAGGTATGAAGAACAGGTAGTGTAGTCGGCCAATTAGATCTATTGCCAGAATGCTAGTTTGTAGAAATGCGAGTGGCTTTTAGGATGATATTTTGGATGCTAACCCAACCTTCTTATCAAAATTGGTATCTTTGCGTTTTTTGTAGAAACTGAACTGCTTTCGCTTTGCCGGCCTGGCAAGGTGTGCAGCCTCACTCCTAACTCCAGCCACGCCCACTCCCTATCCACGGCCAGTCGCAGCTGCAGCTCCACTTCGCACTCGCACTCCTTGACCCACTCACCTTCCTCCAGCCACTCGCCGCCAAATAACCAATTCCGGCCCATAAACACACACGAGACTTCCCATCAGACCCCGATGGAGCTGCCCCACCCCATGCCCCTTCCATTATCGCTCCCCCTCCCTATGATTTATCCCTCCTGCAATCCCAGTGTCACCGTCTCTGTGGACAGCCTCTCGACCCCCGTTACCACCTGCAACGTCTACCATGGCAAGCGATTCCTGGAGACCCTCGAGAGCCAAGCCGACGGCGGGGCTTCCTTCAGCAGCAGCATCTTTCGCCTGCCAACGCCCCTGGCCACGCCCACCCAGGAGCCGCCCGAGGATCTCGACTGGCCGGCAAAGACCTTCAGCCAGCTGCTGCTGGAGCGCTATGCCACGTATTCGCTTTCCCGGTCCGAATCCCTTGGCAACTCCTCCACCGGCAGCAGCAGCCTCAGTTGTGAATTAGACGAAAGGGGCGGTGCCACGCCCACACCCACACCATTGAGCAGCCTGGATGAGCAGGCCACGCCCCTGTTGCAGTCGTTTGCCTCCCCGACGACGCCACCAATGTTCTCCGCCCATGGAGTCGGGGAGCCAGCGGGAAGGGATACCGATTCGGATGCGACCATTTGTTCGGCAGCATCATCGATGGAGTCGCTATAGTCCTTTCCAACCAGCAGGATCTAAATATTTCTACAAAAGTTCTTATATAGAATACCTATATAGAGTTTTAGATCCTAAGTTTAACGAAATTGCTTTGGAATGACCCTTTAAATCCTAGAATATCCTTATCATTTATACCTGATTGGGTCAAAGGTGAAGCCATCCGAAGCTGCTGTGCAATCAATCAATAATTCAATCAATCGTAGTTACAATCAATGTTGAGCCGTTCGTTATATCCGTAATATCCATATGTGTTTAGCCTATTGTAAGATCTGCTTCAACTAACCAACCGGTTTACATACTATATCCACGTTTAACCAAAGTCAATGTGATTAAAGTTTCAAGGTTCCAGTTAAAGACGCTCTATTTGTTTATTTTTGGATGAGTTCATACATGCAGGTGTCTCCCCACGAAGGGTTCTCACAATTCCACAGACATATGATGTATCACGAGTGCCGGTGTCCTAGTCGGGGGTCAGGAGATCTTGAATCCTAGTCACTATTTCTAGACTCGTCATCCCCTTCCCCGACATCATCTGGATTTGAATGGATTGTGGAGGATCTTGAGGGGAAAGCTAGAAGTGTGGGATGATGTCGTGGAAGAGGATGAGCGAGACCAGCAGGAGATTAGGGAGAAAGTACTCCTGGCCGGGCAGGTTATCCGGGAGGCTTTTGATCACCACCATCACTCAAGATGGGCTTGTTAGCCCCATCCGCGCTATCACTCAGACTGTCAACTGTCGTAGTCTCCGTTGGCTCACTGGTGGAGGTCGAGAATCGGGTGGCAAACTTGTGGACGATCTGCGCGTAGAAGGACAGCAGGAAGAGGATGATGAAGTCGTGGAAGAGGATGAGCGAGGCCAGCAGATGATCATTGAGGCGCATCTCCGCGAACCGTCCACCGTTAATGGTCTGGGCATGATACATGACGAACTGAACGAAGGATCGGGGATTAGAAGGTTGTGATGGAAACTCTGGGTATTCTCCGTCCTTACCAGCAGCACTATGATACTGACAAAGACTTGGAAAACCACAAAGGAGAACGGCATGTCGACCAGAATATACAGCATGACGAAGTAGATGGTGATCATCAGGAAAATGAAGGCCAGCACGAACAGTATCACCACATCCAGAGTTAGGTCGTGCTATGGAAGGGGATTTCAAGATAGGGATTAGTTTGTCAGAGGAATCGGAGTCAGAAGTCCATTACCGGTATTATGGAGCCCAGAAGTACGAATATGAAAATGAGCAGCATGCAGATCAAGAACCACATTACTATGTCTGGCCAAGGAGATCGGGCCACCAGTCCAAACAATCCGATGATGATGAACTCCACCTGAAAAAGGAGACCTCTTAGAAATCTGGATGGCTATAGACTGGCAGTAACTCACTATTAACACGGCTAGCAGCCAGTTGAGACCGATTATGAACCGGACCTTCTCGAAAAATATAAACAGGATGACCAACAGCATCGCCACCGCAAAGAATATGAGGCTTATCCAGTAAGAGTGGTGGAACAGGTCGCTTATTTCGTTTCTGAAAGACAGGATATATATCTAGGAAAAGGTTACAAACCCACAGACTCCAAGAACTCACATCAAGGACACAATGAGCCACTGAATGATGGCCAGCACCATCCAGGCAATGGTCAGGATGTAGACGATGAGGGCGAACTTTCGGCGGGCCCGCCGGTACGCCCGGAGTCTCTGGCGGCGGTCCTCCATGGCGGTGTGGGCGTGGCCCGGACTTCTGTGTTTGGTGTATTAAAAAAACAAACACACAGAAACTAGGAGCAAAATTAATGGAGTACTCAAAGCCACTCTGATGGATGATCTCCGGGGATCGGCACTCAAAGCCACTCTGATGGATGATCACCAGGGGATCTACACTTTATTGCCAAACCTCTCGAAGGTGCTTTCCTTTTTAAAATAGGAATGGCTCAATCCCTCAAGAACTGACTGATTTTAACAAAATTAAATCAAAGTAACAAACTTTTTTAAAACTGACATTAATTTCTGGAACATTTATTTTCGAATCTTTTGAAATTCTATTCCGAAATGTCGCCTGAGATCACACCTCCGAAAAGGAAGAACTCCGTGGGCCTCACCTATGCAGTGACTATTGGTTTGCTGGTCCTTGGCCAGCTCCAAGCCTTGGTTGCTGTGGAAATGTGAGTATAATCACTTTCCTAAAACTCTGATTGGATAATCAAGCTCTCTTATTGAACAGCGATTCGTTGAAAGTCCTTAGGAGCAGTCGCCATTACTTCGGTCTGGGGGCTTTCTTCATAAGCTTCATCTCCATACAGCTATATGGGTTCTTCTACCACATCCTCGCAAAGAAACCCTGGTATGTGCGCTTTCTTGCAGGCTTATGGACAGTGAGTTCTTGGGGAATAGTTCTTAAATACATGAATATTATATTTTTCATTTTTAATCTAGTTTGAAGCCTCGACCCTGGCGATCATGAAGCCCGTTCGTAAGCCCACCTACCTTAGCTTCTTTATTTCCGTATTCTTAACCTACCTGATGTTGGGAATTGGCTGGATCTATGGATCTATCAGTGCCACAAAACGAAGGGGTTGCTTCGTAAGTTTTCAGTCTTTATAAGATCTATTGTGATATATCCCATCCATATAGATGTCCCGCCTGAGAGTGGTTCTGTGGTCCGAGAGGATCTTCGCTCTCACCTGCTTCGGAGTCATCGTTTGTGCGGAAATGAAACGTAGTGGCATCGAGATAACCAGCATGCTGGTCTACACATTGATCTCGAATACGGTTGGTAGAAAAGGAGCTATATACCCGGTACTTCTTTATATAAGCCACACTTTCCCCCACAGTTCGTTGTGATATTCGCCGCCTCCATGAAGAGACAACATTTCTTCCGCGAGAACATCGACTCGGACTACATTTTCATCGCCCAACTATACTACCTCAACCTATTCGCCCTTTGCATGAGCTACGTGTGGGCATTGGACTGCTTTTCTTTCAGTTTTTTGAATGTAATGTACTGGCTTTGAAGACTCACATCGCTAGAGGTCGGGGCGAGCATGCGCCAACTATCGGAACAGCTGTCTGGGACTCCTGGCGTCCTGGCGAAAACAGTTGCTTTGTGCCGCGCACCCAACCTGGTCAGACGTCGGGCTTACTTTTGTGCAAGTGCAGCAGCTCCTCAATTCGGTTAACCGGAAAATCGATACTGTTTTCTTGACACACACATCGTTTAATTGTGGTCGCAGAATGCAAATAAATGGCTTGTGTTGTGAACTGCTTCCGAACTTCCGAGGCTCCAACGGATTCCCCAGGACTGGCTAAAGGGTGGGCATATTTTTGTTTTACAACTTTATGACATACAAGTATATGTATATATAATATAATTGTACATTTGCATAAACATACACACGGACCTCTGGTCTCGGCTACAATACGTGAAAATGTTTCGTTTAACATTAAGTTTTAATAATTACAATCTGGTTAAATATATGTTAGACGCGATTTTAGTTAAATTTCCATAATGATTCTCTCCACCCTCTCTCTCTCCGTGTTGTGCGTTAAGGCCGAAAGCTAATGCTGCTTGGTTCCCGTTCCAGATATACATGGGTAAATGTTTGGTCCATAGTTCCTGTTCCGTATCTGTGTGGTTGCCCCAATTCTCTCCTCCTTGACTTGGAAGGCACCTAGTGCGGTGCCTCGGTAACGGCCTTAGCTCCGCCGCCTCCGCTGTTACTGCTAGATGGCCAAACGGACACTAAAAGTTGCAAAAGTTATATATTAGTTTCTTGATGGTTTAATGAAGTATTTTCCTTGTAGTCTGGCTGATAAAAATGCACCCCGTGCTTCTAAAAACTCTCAATATTAATTTTCAAATTAATTTAAGCCTTTTAAAACCCCAAAATTTAATATTCACGAGTGTAATCTTCCCTATCTTTATTTGCAAAAGAGCCGAAACTCTCTGCAACCCACAACACACAAAAACCTCCTAATTACAAACACATACTACGGCTCTAATCTTTAGACTTTATAGACTAGACAAATATAACGATAATTAACACTTAGAACAGATACCAGAACGACATTTACCTTTAGAGTTTTGGAGTTGCTTAGCTTAAACATATTATATAATATATTATACAATATAATGCGTATATAGTAGGAGCCCGAAACACACTCTTAAGTGTGTTATTTTTTGTAAAATCTGAGAACCTTAACATTGTTGTATGGAAAACGGAATTGGTTTTTCTTTTTCAGTTGCGATTGCTTTTTGTATTTTTTGGGGTGTATGTAAGGGTTTAATTGTTTCAATTGAAAAGCGACACTGCAAGTAAACAGAAATTCACGATTTGTAATCAGTTCGAGAGGGATTATCTCTTATTGGGTTAGTTGGAGTGCCGAAACCGCAGATTGAGCAAGAGCGTCGAGCTATGTTTTAGTTAAAATCACAAGACCAGCCACCTAGCTACTCAGAGAGGAAAAACCACAACCAGAAGAAGCCCCAGAAGCAGAAGCCGAAGCAAAGCCATAAGCAAGCATCTTACCCAGGACGATGATGAGCAGCACTACGGCAATCACGCCTAGAATGATCATCATTTTCATGTTGGCCCACCACTGTTTGCGCTTCAGTTTTCCGGCCTGCTGTTCGAACTGCGAGGCGCCCTGCTCCAGCTGGTCGGCTCGTTCTCCCAGCTCCGACAGCTTCTGGTCCCGCTCCAGCACCTTCTCCACGTTTACCCGCATGATCCCGACCACCTCGTCCACCTTGGCCTGCGTCTGCTGCAGTCGCTTCTGGGCTGCATTGTTGTTGCTGTGGTGGTCCCCGTATTGGTTCGGTTGGAAGTTGTTGTTGTTTGGTGGTGGCGGAAGTATGGGAAAACTGAATAATATTATATGTGTGGTGGGGGATGCTTACAAGTACTAAAATGTGAGGAAACCGATCAGCTAGACGATCAACGCACAAAAGCCGTATGATATGAGAGAGTATAAGCTTTTAAATACCCTTGCTTGCAGTATACAAGTTGGAAAAGTTAGTAACTTTTACTAAAACAAACTATTATTTGATAGGTCATCCTATTGTCATGGTCTAGGAATTCCCATAATGACTTTAGCTTATCACACAGCTGTTTAAGCAGGTTTATATAGAGAGTAACTAAGCTAAAACAGACTTGTGGAAAAAACCACTGCCTTTAAAAGAAGCCCTACTTTCATTGCTTTGTAAACTTTATTGCCTTGCAAGGGTATTCCAAAGTTCAGTGTACGAAGCTGGGAACTTTCTTTCCAGTTCGATTTCCGGCAATCAAAGCCGGTGACGTCACGACACAGATATATATGTATGTTTTCCTGCCGTTTGTGCGCTGAGCCTGTTGATTCGATGGTTGATTCCACTTACTCGTTCACATTGGATCCAGATGGGGAGGGGGCTTCGTTGTTCTCCATTGTGAATGTGGGCTTGTTGCTGCTAGAAAGAGTATCAAAGAAAGGCCTTTATTCGCCGATTTGTAGCTGCGTAGGCAATTTATTGCAATTTCTCGCACATACTTAAACACACTCACACCAGCCTCGAGATTATTTGGGCCGCAAAATAATAGTAAAAGAAAGAAAACAAAACGGCACACACCTTATCTATTCGGTGAATGAATCACTCCATTTAGAAAAATGCCATCACCAGGCAACGAACGAAAAAGACTTGTTGCATGCCGCTGTGCCAACGCACACTGTTTACGTCCCCGCCCTTTGACCGTAGCGCCCTACGGCGGACCACCCACCACCCCAGTGCTCACCTTGACTCTCTACCGTTAGAATGCTGCTGTATATTTGGCTTTTCCAAGGAAAACTTGCGTCGTGTAGCACAATTTTCGTCCAGGAGTTATAAATATATCAGATGACAACAATCGACATCTGTGCCTATCGCAATATCACTTTTTTGGATATATCGAACAATACAACAATCGATATTTTTTTTCGTTTGGAGAATTTTTCTACTAAAGAATTAGTATTTAAAAATAAAACATAATAATATTAAACTATTTGAAAAAATTACCTTATTATTTTGAATCGCATTATTTTAATTTGAATCAGAAATGACTTAACTATCGTTATCAACCGTCTAGTGTTGAAAAACGATTTTTATGTTAAGGAGTTGCCACATCGCGCAGAAATCTAACGCTTTTTTGAAATGATTTCTTTTAGTAAAACAACTATGGAAAATGCATAACTCGCTGGTGTCCAAGTTGCTGGTCCGCCTGCTTCTGCTGTTTGCTCTGGTGACTGTCGCATCCATTGTGGTTCTCACCAAATGCGGATTTGACGAGTTGACCACGCGGGAAGCACAGCCCAGCAATCCAAGTGAATCCAGCGGCTTCAGTTATGCTCTGAGCGAGCGCGAAGCAGAAATTGAAAGGCTTAAGCATGAAGTTCTTTCCCTACGTACGCAAATTCTTTTTCTGAAGAATAACCACAGCAGCCACAATAGTGGAAAGTTGTCCAATGGCAGTCTGCAGCTGGTGGAGACCACAGTGGGTCCACAGTCTGCCCCCTTATCGCACCACTACGACTGCAGTAGTTATATCCGGAAGCAGGTTGGTGCCGCTGAAATTCTTCACGGATTGCCGCTGAATAACGAATATGAGCTGGTGCCCTACAACCATTTCACATTCACCCGGGTATATCCCATCGACTTGGGCCTGGGCAAGCGGGTGGTGGAGAAGCCCATTGGCTATAGGCGGCGCGATCTCATCGAGGCTGTTAACAAGGCTCTGGAGAGCCTGAACCGAAATCACTCGGCCAAGATAAGAGCCAAGGGAGCTGTGGCAGGGGCTCCCACGGATGCGATCAAGTACACTTTGGACGACTTCGTCGAGGGCATCTACCGCAATGAGCCCACAACTGGCACTCAGTACGAGCTCTATTTCCAAAGCGTTAAAAATCAGGCGAGCCCGGTGCGAAGGGCACTAGTTATGCGACCGTTCGCCCCCCTGCAAACAGTTCAGCTGTCGGAGCTGACCCCGACTGCAGACGCCACAAGATCCAGTCCACCCGTGATCCATGTGATAATGCCCTTGGCCGGGAGGTTGCACAGTTTTCTCAGCTTCCTGCACATGTTCTCCAAGCTTGAGGATCGGCAATTGGAGCTCATTGTGGTTTACTTCGGTGTCAGCGGTCTTGACCAGGCCCGTCGAATGGTCAGTCGATCGAAAAGAACACAACTTATAGCCCTCAATGAGACATTTAGCAGAGGTAATTACAATAATTATTTATTTATATGAGTGGGATACTAAAATTAAACAAAATTTATTTATTTTACAGCCAAAGCTCTCAGAATTGGCGCGGAGCATGTAAAGCCCGCTGGAGAGGATGTCCTGCTCTTCATGTGCGATGTGGATATTATGTTTACAACCAGATTCCTAGAGCGTTGTAGATGGAATGCAGCCCCTGGAAAGAAGGTAAAATCTACATACACTATGTCCTTCATCAATTCTAGAATAACTTCCTTGTTTTAGGTTTACTATCCTGTGGTTTTTAGCCTCTACAATCCCCATGTGGCTTATACCCTCCAAGGAAAGCCGCTGCCCAGCGATGAGGAGCAGCTGGTGATCTCCAGGGACACTGGATTCTGGCGAGACTTTGGCTATGGAATGACGTGTCAGTACCGCTCCGATTTTCTGCAAGTTCGCGGTTTCGATGAGGAGGAAATAGTTGGCTGGGGCGGCGAGGATGTAATGCTGTATCGAAAATATGTACGCTCCAAAATCAAAATTATACGTGCCACCGATCCTGGTATCTTTCATCGCTGGCACATAAAGGTATTTAGAATGTATTGCATTATTTTGAGTATTATTTTAAACAGTTTTTTTGATGCTATTTTTAGATATGTTCCAGTTCCCTGACTGCGGATCAGTATCGAGCCTGCATTCGATCCAGAGCTCTGAATGAAGCGTCTCATGCCCAGCTTGGCTTTTTGGCCTTCCGGGACGATATAGCTGCTGCAAACGCTGCCAACTTGAACTTGTGATACTTGCATATCCTTCATGTATCCTTTCTGATTCGGCTACTCTATTTTAGGCCAACATATGAATGTGATTTTGTGAACAAATGGTAGTGCTCTTTAAAAGTTAAAGCTTTTTGTTAGGAAAAAGGTTGTCTAATTTACAAATCAATTAAATTATTACCTATTACTATGCTGTTTAATTTATTTAATATTTTCCCAAAGACTTATTGCATTTGTTTAGATAGGGTATGAAAATATGTGTGATAAGTTATAATCCTAGTCATCCTAGTTTTCATTATAATCGAACTTGTATCACTACCATTTTGTCACAAAATCGTAATCGCATACTATATATAACCCAAAAGTATGTACAATTTGAGACAATAACATGTATTTAGCAGAATCGTTGAACTAGCTTAATTGTTGATCTTGTTGCGCCCTCGAGAGTGCCACAAACAGACACATACACATCACATCACATCACAAATTGTTCTTCCATGAAGTAAATTAGATGCAATCTGTAGAGCCCAAGAAAATATATTTACCATATCGAATCTGTAACTCCTACTAAGCCTACCAAACCTGCCAGACTGTGGCGCGCTTTGTAAAAACTAAATTAAATCGTTTAATTAAACTTGTCGCCTGGCTTCTGTGTTTTTTTTTTATGTATTTCGGGTAGTTTGTTTTACAGATGAAGCCAACGACCTCCGGCTCGGGGTTCAGTGAGCGTGCCGACCAAGAAGGTCCAATCCATGGCGCCAAGTGCCATCTTGTGGTTCAACTTAATCCGCCATGATTTTAAACTTTAGGATAAAAGATAGTTGTCATAGTTTCATAAGAGAAATTGCTTTCTTTAACTAATATATAACCAGTTCTTAAACTTCCACAGAGTATTCAAAAACTCTGGAAAAAAATGGATCCAAACACTCCGTTTTGTTTGGGACTTCTTCAGGTGGAAAGCCTTTTCATGGTCACGGTCGGGGATTATGTAAGCACAGCCAGAGTCTTTTGCTCGACTTTGAAGTGGAAATGGTAATCTCATGCTTATTCCGAGACTTATTTTCTGAGTCACAGGTTGGGAAGCTCGAACGAGAACCGAATAATCTGCGATAATTTCACAGGAGTGTTCTCTGGGGCATTACGCAATAGACAGATGCATAATTAGCCCCCCAGCTCGATGAAATAATCCAAGGCGTTTTTTCAGCACATCCTCCTGTCATTCTCCGAAAGCCAAACTGACCATGAAACGAGAGCGGAACCCCAAGGTGTTGGGAACAGGCGAAGTGACAAATCGTCGCCCCAGCCCAGAAAACAAAACAAAAATAGGAATCCAAGTGCCAACACCTTAGCTGCCACAAATGCCAGCGAACCACAGCCATCAACCACAGCCACTCAACCACCAGGCACCACCTCTAATAGCCACGATGATCCGGGGCTGGGATCGCGGTTCAGTGCTCCCGACTCGGCCAGAATGAAGTTCGGGTTGGAGTTCAAATAAATACGGCGCCATCCGCCCCGGGCAGATCATTCGCGGTCTGACACCCGTCTGAGAAGCTTTCAACTCGTCGCGAAAATAGTGCAAGGATATTTTTCGATATATCAACCAAAAAACCAAGGAAACGATATTATAGAGGCACAACGCGTGCCGGTGATTTATTTGTGTTCAACTTGGTGGAACGAAGTGAGGCGGAGTAACGATGAGAGCTTTTATGCTGGTGAGTCCTGAAGTCGATGGATTTTTATAGATTAGAGATCTTATAAAGAAATTAATGAAAAATATTAAAATTTCTTATTTGATAAGAAACTGCGTTACAAATTAAATATTTTCTATTATAACTTTTGGAAAGTTCCTTATAAAAGGAACTTCTATTGTAGAGGATTGAAGTTGTGAGAAGAATGTCCTTTATGTTAGTTTTTCAGTATTTATTTATGCAATTATTTATTATTGATTTATTGATCTGAGATGTATTTGCATCTGGTGAGGTATTTATATCTGGAAAATATACAAATTCATTAAAACAAAGCATGGAAATTCACCTTTGATAATAAAAAAGATAACACAGCATTATAGGTTTCAAGATTAAAAGTTTTTCAAAGAATACGTAGGTCCTTGATACCAATAGTAGTTTTTTTTCGTAAGAATAAGTGTTTTTTATACATTTTAATATGTTCCTATCACATTTCTTAAACGTCAACTATCAAAACTTTTTAATTTTGATATATAAATAGGTTTTTTATTTGAAAGTCTAGAGTAGTGAAATAGTAAAGTTCAGATCGGGAAGGTATAACATTTCTAGATCTTTTAATCTTTTTTTAGACGAAAGGATACACATAAATATTTTTATATAAGACTTATCACAAATCCATAGCTATTCCATAACATGACCTCGAAAGAATTGTGTAACTTTTTAGTAGAACATGTTATGCAACCCCCAAAATATTACCAGACACACGATATGTAAATTATGTGATAGACTAAACAAAAAAAACCATAAATTCAATTTGGAAAAACAACAATAAAAAAACAGAAATCATTCATACTATTTCGGCGGCAACGACCCTCGGTCATCAAAACAATAACCCCACATTCATATAGAAACTACATATCTGACGGTACTCACTCGAAATATAATTATTCTAATGAAGTTGGCCAGAGTCAGTGACAAGTCACGCCGATCCATCGCCACCGCCATCGCCGTAAGCCAGAGTTAAAGCCAAATTCAACACCAATGGCCTGGCCGGAAGTTGTTCCTGATGCTTGGCTAACAAAGCGTGGCGGCCAGCTAGCAAAATATTTTCCATGATTAACTCTCTTCGGGCCGGTCTGGCCATTCACAAATCTAGCATATGCCACTGGAGTTATGATTCCAATCCGAAATCTGATTCATGCAACCATGAGCGGTACTCCGAAATGATGTCAATGCTATTTGGTGCCCGGACTCTGGCTGGTGGAGCTTCGACTTTGGCTTCTGGCCCGGCTTTTGGCCACAAATCCATTGCATAATCAGTGGGGTACCTGATCATATTTCACGCCGACTGGCCACAGTGTTGTCGTCCATTTTACCACTATTTTAGTGGCTATCAAATGGGGAGGAGAGCACCGGCTTTGTGCCTCCTCAATTACGATCGGAGGCTGATGCTGCCACATTACTCTATTTTGGCCCAGTTGGTTGCCGAACCGTGCGATATGCTTAGCAGTCGATTGCAATAGGCCCCATCGGAGGCAATTAAAACCAATCAGTTAATGGCGATCGCTTTCTGCTTTCTATTCAGAGAACAACCCTTTATTTTTGTAACAATCAGAATATAATCTATTCCATACCATCTATGAAAAATTAAGTTCTTGAACTGTCATGACCTGAAAACTTTTTAAATGAGTTTTAATTATTAAAAGTCTGAATGGAATAGATATTAGGACAATTTGTTTAAATCTGTTTTCAAATCCGGTATAGAATAAATTGTAAATATGGCCATTTTAATTTTTTCAAAATCTGAATTTTTGATGGACTTTTTAGTGGATATTTTTAGTATTTCGCAACCGATTTTGAAAGGGAATACCAATTATGAATCAGGACTCCAATCTTCTTCGATCTACATACATCTAAAGATTGAAAATATAAAACAAAAAAAATTTTGTCAAATTTTTGGCCAAAATCATGAGGGTACCCCTTGGAAAAAATGAAAAAAATGGATCCAAAATTTTGTTGCCAGCTTTTGATTGAAAATGATGCTACTGGGAGTTCTAAGATCGGGAAGGTATACCATTTCTAGATCTTTCAATTATAAGCAAAGTTATGCACATTTTTCCATTAAGAAAGTCCAAAAAATGGAATCCCGATCCTGACGTTTTTACGTTTAAAAAATCTGATTTTTGTATGCACTTTTTAGTGGATATTTTTAATATTTCGCAACCGATTTTAAAACGGAATACCAATTATGAATCAGGACTCCAATCTTCTTCGATCTACATCTAAAGATTGAAAATATCAAACTAAAAAAATTTTGTCAAATTTTTGGCCAAAATCATGAGGGTACCCCTTGGAAAAAATGAAAAAAATGGATCCAAAATTTTGTTGCCAGCTTTTGATTGAAAATGATGCTACTGGGAGTTCTAAGATCGGGAAGGTATACCATTTCTAGATCTTTCAATTATAAGCAAAGTTATGCACATTTTTCCATTAAGAAAGTCCAAAAAATGGAATCCCGATCCTGACGTTTTTTACGTTTAAAAAATCTGATTTTTTTATGCACTTTTTAGTGGATATTTTTAGTATTTCGCAACCGATTTTGAAAGGGAATACCAATTATGAATCAGGACTCCAATCTTCTTCGATCTACATCTAAAGATTGAAAATATCAAACTAAAAAAATTTTGTCAAATTTTTGGCCAAAATCATGAGGGTACCCCTTGGAAAAAATGAAAAAAATGGATCCAAAATTTTGTTGCCAGCTTTTGATTGAAAATGATGCTACTGGGAGTTCTAAGATCGGGAAGGTATACCATTTCTAGATCTTTCAATTATAAGCAAAGTTATGCACATTTGTCCATTAAGAAAGTCCAAAAAATGGAATCCCAATCCTGACGTTTTTTACGTTTAAAAAATCTGATTTTTTTATGCACTTTTTAGTGGATATTTTTAATATTTCGCAACCGATTTTAAAACGGAATACCAATTATGAATCAGGACTCCAATCTTCTTCGATCTACATCTAAAGATTGAAAATATCAAACTAAAAAAATTTTGTCAAATTTTTGGCCAAAATCATGAGGGTACCCCTTGGAAAAAATGAAAAAAATGGATCCAAAATTTTGTTGCCAGCTCTTGATTGAAAATGATGCTACTGGGAGTTCTAAGATCGGGAAGGTATACCATTTCTAGATCTTTCAATTATAAGCAAAGTTATGCACATTTTTCCAATAAAAAAGTCAAAAAAATGGAATCCCGATCCTGACGTTTTTTACTTTTTAAAAATCTGATTTTTTGGTGCACTTTTTAGTGGATATTTTTAATATTTCGCAACCGATTTTAAAACGGAATACCAATTATGAATCAGGAGTTCAATCTTCTGAGATGAGAATTTTAAAAAAGTACAGATATAAGTTTAATTTTGATGAGAATTTTTATAAAAAAAATTATTTTATTTATATTTAAACCAATTTTATTAGCTACCTTGGTTGGCCCTGCTCGTCTGTGTGCGAGCGGCGGTGACGGGACCCGAGGCGAGGTCCAGTGTGGACTCTAAGGATCGACAAGTGGCCACCGCGGGGGTGGGAGTCCTGGACTCCGTGCTGCGCGGCAAGAGCCGACAGTCTCGCTGTGTACGCTGCTACGAGGATCGTGATCGGGATCGTTATTACGGCGGATACTCCAGCCGAACTGGAGACGATACTCGCGGCAGCTCCTGGTACTATTCCGGATACGATGAACGCGGCAGCAGTCGGGACCGGGACTACGACAGGTACTATGACCGTTATCGGTCATACTACGACGATCGGTACTCCCCAAGGACTTACGACCGGTACGAGGGAAGAGGCTACGATGATTACAGACGTCCTTCGAGCTACGGATCCTACGACAGGGAGCGCGGATATGGCTACGATAACCGAGATCGGTACTACACCGACCGTTATAGCGAAGGTTCGTCCAGGGGTCAGTATAGATTCGTTTCGCAAATAAAATATTCCTAATATTATATTGTTTTATTTCCAGATCGGTACTACGACCGCTCTCGTTCCGGCTACGATCGCTATGACCCCTACGACCGCTACTACTCCAGGTATGATTTTCGCAACTATCGTCCTTGGGATGAAACCTACAGGTATCCTTCTCTTCTCTTTCTTTCCTTTCTCTCTTCTCTGTATATATCTGTGTTCTCTTCCACTTTCATTCAATGAATTATTTCCGTTTTTACTTTCTAATTGCATACAACACCAAAACAACAACTACAACTACAACATGAAATACACACCACACCAAAACAACAACACTGTGGACACTGCGGATGCTTCACGGCTGGCAAACAAAACTGTTACCCGAAATACTCAAATGCACTGCTAAACCCGCACTCACTACTTTCCGAACGAAAAATCCCGTATCCGCCCCGTGGGCTCCCGCTCGCCAACTCGACCACCGCTTCCGTTTCCGCCTCCGCGCCATCAGAGGTCAGTCTGGCTTCGATAACTCCGGACGTGGCTATTACTTTGCCACCGACGAGGACGACGGAGACATGAGAAACCGGGGCTACGCCTACAACCGCCCCTCCAACTCGCTGTCCACGCCCTGCGGCCGCCTCGCCGGAAATTGTCCTTATGCCGGTGCCGGTTACTCCAAGGTCACGTCCTCGGCCATCGGCAGTGACAGCTCCCGCATCCCGGGTCACACCAATGTCCTTGGCTCGGAGGGCGGCGGCTGGACGTATCTGGGAGACCGCGACCGAGACCGGGATCAGGACAAGGTCAGCGGCAATGGCAACAGCAGCGGCGGGGGCAGCGGCAGTAGCTCCAACAGCGGCAGCAGCAATGGCAACGGAGGCAGCGGCAGCGGCGGCAGTCGGGATCGGGACAGGGATAGGGATGCACAGAGGTAAGTTGCAGTGGGTGTTGCCTCTGCCACAGCACCACGAATTTTGAAATAGTATTCCTCTCACGGATTCGGTTCCGGAATCAGTCTCGGCATTAAGTTAGGCTTGCCCTCTTGTCGCCCCTTATAGCTCTTCCTATGGTGGCCGACCACGTCCTCTAGGCGTCAGCTATCTGCTGGAACGGGACTCGGACTCCTCGTCGGACGGCCCTGGAAACCCGGCGAACCCAGCCGGTGGTGGTGTTGGTGGAGGTGGTGGTACTAATGGTGGTGCTGGTGGCCAGAGCATGCCCATTCCCGCTGCCCAGACAGCCGCCGAAGGAAGTTCCGGCAACGCCGAGCAGTAGAGCTCGAACCGGAAACTGATACGGAACTGGTTCCAAAAAGGCGAATCTCGAATCACGACTCCTGGAACCAGAAGATGCGGTGCAGCGGCTGGGAAAGAGGCCGAGCCAGGCCGGTGGGCGTGGCATAGCTTAGTTTAACCTTCCTTCCGTATTTATGTGTAATTCGTAAGCTAAGTCTCCAAAGAAACTATTTATGTGTGCGGCACAGCTTTGCTTAAAAAATAAACTTCAAAGATCCTCATAGCTCTTTTTTTTATTTTTTTGCTTTTGGGAAAATTAAAAAATGGGTATTTGTGATTGGAAGTACTGTATGTTTTATTCTTCAATGCTTAATTATAAGTTCGTACATTTTTTATCATTATTATGACAACATACTTTCCTATGAGAGAACCTGAGCAAAAATAAAGAATCAAACTGAAATGTTTCAAAATTGAAAACCAAATAAAATAAAACTTTAAAAACATAAAATTCAATAAGAAATAAATGCAATAAAATGAAAGTTTAAGAAAACTGTTAGACAAAATTGAAAAAAAATTCATACAAAGAATTGTTAAACCAAATATAACAAACAAAATAAACAAAAAAATAAATAAAGAGGTTTCACATGTTGTGAACAAAATATTTTAAGATGATTAAATATAATCAAATGCTTATATAACTAAATAACGAAATATAACAAATTAAACCCATAAAAAGGAACTGACAAAAAGGAATAATAAAATCTACAAAAATATAAACATAAATTATAAATGAACTTATATCAATAAAATTATGCGAAAAAATGATGAAATGATTTAGATAATGAAGTAAAAAAAGTAACAAATACAAAAATTTCAACACAAAAGATTTTTAATTAAAAACTTAACTAAATAATAAACACACGAAAAAAAATAAATTTTGAAATAATCCTTTTGAAAAATAATCAACTGATAAGTTTAAAAGCAAAATTATTAGAATTGAAATTTTTCAATAAATAATATAAAATTATAAATTAAAGTCGGTAACATGATAATAATATTTCCAATTGAGAACATAAGTTGAAAAATGAATTATAGAAAACCACTTGATAAGTGGCTTTTTCAAAATAAATAAACTTATTAAAAAGGTACCTTGATAAAATCACAAAAATTATAATAATAAAAAATAGGACAACTCAAAAATATAAAAAAAAATTGATAAAAAATAGGTCACCATAAATTAAACTGAAATATAAATGAATGTAATAAAAATTATAAGAAAACATATTCAATATAAATCATGTGAAAGGATGAATAATCAAATAAATAAGGACATAAGGAAGGAATAAGGAATACAATTAAAAAAAAAAAAAAACAGAATTTGAAATAAAAACTACAGAACAAAATAAGAAATTATGTAATTAAAAGAAACAAAAAAGTACTCACCAATTCAAAAGAATAATGAAACCAAGGATTCGTATAAATAACCAAACAAGAACTGATAAATATTTTCAGAATTAAAAAAAAAGGATTTTCAAATAAAAAAATAATTAAAATCGAAGACTGTAAAAATAAAACACTTAAGAACCGCAGATTTAAAGCAAGTTGAAACCAAAGGAACTTAAATTGATTAAAAATTAAAAACGAAGCAATCGAAATAAGATTTTAGAAATGAAATAAATCACGATATTCTTTCTTTTAAAATAAAACACAATTTAAGAAACAAATCTTTAAAAAAAAGTATGAAAAAATGATATGAAATTAATTTAAAATAGCTCAAGGAACCTCATAAACAAAACAATTATTTTTTAACAAAAACACGCATTGCTATTGGCAATATACGTTGATGAAACTTTCCTAATATTTTCTTTCTTAAATTTCAAAGTTTAAATTTAAGTGGAAACCTTCGTCAAGGATATTGTTAGACCAACAAATTTATCTCAAAACGATTTAACAAAAAACAGCAACAAAAACTAAAATAATTGGAAACTAAAAAGGCACAAAAAAATATGAAACTAAAGTTTAATTTTATGTTTTTAGAAACTGTATGGTACAATTTCAGGAAGTATAATCTCTTGGTGGAATCCTTAGGTATAGGTATATTTTTTGTAGATGATTTTCTTTTGAATGTTTAGTTTTTGGATATCTGATGATTTTTATAAGAATTGTGTTTCAATTTTCGGTGGAATTTTTGTCAGTGTAACAATGATATGATTTGGATGTTAAAGAAACATGATGGGTTTTGGATAGTTTCCATAAAATCTATTTAAGTTTTAATTAGCCACTATTGTCGTAGTTTAGGCGTCAAGATGTGTAAACCCATTTTTTGTACAGGATTCTTTCAATATTTCTTGGAGTTTGGTTTAAGAAAAAGTAATCGCGGGTTTTGGATCAGTTTTAATATTTCTGAGTGATTATATCCTGTTGCTTGTTTCACAACAATCTGGTGGGTTTTTATAAAATTTTGATGAGCGATAGCAACACGTTGTATTTTCTATTGTTTGCCTCTGATCCTGTGAAAGACACGAATCTTCAGCCTTCTTGTTAAATTTTTCACTTTTTTCTTACTTACCGTATGACCAAAACGGGAAGAAGTTATGATGGTTATTTACTTTTTAGGACTTTCTTTAGTAACAAACTTTAGTTAACGGCTAAGGCCGCCACATAGCGTGGCGGCTTAGCTCGATCTACGAGCCTGGTGACTTCACTCGATGGTTTCTTGAACCGAACTGTGCTGTAATGCCGATCCGATCGGGGTTTTATACCCTTCGAGCGATATCCACCACCAAAAACACAATACCATTGAAAATACTTTCGCATGACGCAGGCGTGCCGGCAGAGGGGGAACCCAGGCACCCGGGAACCCTGGAATTTTCTGGATAGTGGGAACCGGGTGGGGTGCGTGCTATTGGGCCATGATAATAACAATACGAGGGTTAGCTTTAAGAAACGTGAATTCAATTGAAAATGTTTATTTCATTTTTATGCTGGTATGTCCCCGGGATCGTTGTTGTCTTCGCGGCTCTGGTGGAGGGTTGGACTCGGGTTAGGTCACCCCCAGTTAAGGCGATTTTGCTTTGTGGGAACCGACCCGACATGATCTACGACTACCAGTTGAGTGCATAATAATTAGTCAAGATATTTCCCGTTCGCTTTCTCACGCTCCCGTTGGCTTTCTTAGATCCTGTGGCGAAAATCTCCCCGAAAGGTGTTCACCCAGAGCATTTCACAATAGTTCGCAACTAGAAATGATAACAACGAATGTGTATAGGGGCTGGGGCAGGACGACAACCACCAGGGTGGGTTCTCCTGGCTCCTGTGTCAGTTTGCCAGCTACTGGTTCGAACATTTATAGCAGACAGATCGATTTATGCTGGTTGCATTTAATTTCATTTAGGACTCTTGTGGGATCATCAATTAAACATGATTTTTGCTACTGGTAGTATGCGGGTTCTTTAAAACTCCAAGGTGCAGCTGCACGGGTGTCCTCGTGGCGGGTGGAATCTTCCTGGGACTCTAGAGAAATTATGGGAACAACTACTCTACTATAAAAGTTAAAAATTCATGTTCAGATATGGTTTTCTTACTCTTATTTTATGAACCTTGGGATTTAACTTCCCAAACTCTGTTCTCTGCCTTATTTCTTGTTTCTAAAAATAGAGTCGTAGTGCCAGCTTGATTCTCCGTATAGGAAACTCTCCAAAAACTATCACAAAATTCGGTGGGCAACCCTCTCCACTTGTAGAGGTAGTAGTACATTTCGCCGATAGCACATCTTATCAATGAGTCCAAAACTGATAAGGAAACAACTCGCCCATCGAAGGGAACACTACTCTCTAGAGTTTTAGTTTATTTCTACTCATTTCGGGGTTAAGTTCGCGATAGTTTCGGCATTTTCAAGTATTATTTACGAAAAATGCGACGGATTTCCTACTGGCTGCGTCCCAGGGTGACGCATATTGCCTTTCTGGTGTTTCTGGTCTATATATTCCTTCTCGTCGGCTATAAATTGCTACAAGTGAGTGAGACAAATTGGCTGCATTCAATTAGAAACAAATATTCTTTGTCAAGAACACATCCGTACCTCTTTAAAGTATTTAATGGTTTGAGTAATTAATATTTCGCCTTTGAGTAGCGTAAAACGAAAGGAAAAGCTAGACAAATATTTTTGTTTTGATGGGAAAATAACGTGGACCCAATGGCTGAGAACAGTGGGTGCGATATGGTTAGAAGTGATATGAAATTAACTATACTCAGTAAAACTATAACACATGAAACTATGAAAATAATGAAAGTAACAAATAAAACTATTCTAATAAAAATGTGAAATAAAAACTATAAAAATGTTTAAATTACCAAGCTTTTAATATAGTATGATTACTTCTAAGTACGTACCTATAAGAAAGACTATTTGAAAAGTGATGTACCACTGTCCTTAAACTTATTTAAATGAAGCATCAAGTGGTCATCGCCTTTCCCCAGTCCCTGCTCCAAACTGGCCAAGACAAATGTATTAAATGTGGCAATTATACATAAACATGTGTCTGAATAAAAAATATTCGGCGGCGAGTATGTATGCTGGCTGGCATGTGCCTATATATAATTGATATATTTTCATTTTCGATAATAAAAGTGGAGGATGTTGGCCGTGTATTTACTTAAAAATAGCTTGGAAAAGGCGACGCTGACTCACCCAGACATGGACACTCCAATCGAGAGACAAACGTACAATTTATTAAGTCCTCAGCCACCGGCCCCGCCCCAGTCACGGCCCCAGTCACCTAACCCCAAGCCATCAACCCCACCGCCACCCACCATGGAGTATGCCTCTTACAAGGCCCCTCTAGTTGCGCCGCTACTGCGCTGCCACAGCGCTGCTGCTGCTCTGCTCCAAGGCTGCCCCGCCATTTGATGACAGCGTCCATGGACAGAGGCGCCAGTTTGATGCGAGGCGTGCGTTGATTAACTTGTTGCATACGCGTCCTGGAGAAAAGCGGGAAAGTGCTTTCCCCCATCTCCCCACTTTGCCGGCGCCTCTTTGTGGCAGAGTGTGTGTCTCCCAGTGTGTGTGTGTGTGTGTGTGTGAGCCATAATTATTTGCGTATTGTGGGGCGCCAAGTGAACTTGCGGTTAGGTCGGTCAGTGGAAGAGACAGGGCTAAAGAATGCCGAGGGCATACACAAGAAGAAAATACAATTTATAATAAAATATGTAAAAAATTATAAAATATAAATAATAATAATAATAATTATAGCTGAATTCTCATATAAAAAACCTATAAAAGCCTTTAGAAGTTTCTTATGAATAGTCCTGAACCACGAAGAATTTCATGATAATTATATACCACTTAATACCTTACATATTTCGATTTAATTATTCTTAAAAAATTAAAGTAAAATGTTAAAATTAAGGACAATATTGGAAGTGCTTTCCAAGTATATTATAACCCGCCTCCAGTGGCTCTAAACTGTAACTAAAATGTTAATCAAATCAGGATCTAATTGAGTTTGCCGCGTAACAAAGTAGTTCCTCAAGATACCTGGCCCTGGCTGGCTGGGGGTGGTGAGTGGTCTCCAGTATCTTGCGGTGTGGTGATGACACTGAGGGGACGCCCCAAAGCAGAAGACATACCTGCCGCACCAACAAGCCGCGTGTTATCGCTAATCGATGGCCGGCCATCAAGAACGACGCTAAGCAAATAAGCAACAGGAGGTGCCTTTGGGGTTGGCCCGAGCTTGGGGCTTGGGCTTGAGACTCGCGGACACCGAGCCACCCGAGTGGAGACGTTGCTGCCCCAATCGCAGTCTCGCTGCCGCAATCGCTGTCGCAGCCGCTGTCAGTGTCGCTGTCGGCGCCCACGCAACGCTCAACAATAAGGCTAGAAATAAATAAACAGTTTTTAGTTGCTGTCGGCGATTCCTGAGGAGAGGATCGACTTTGGGTGAAATGTTGGCCGCCCAGGAGAACCGCTTTCAGTATGTGTACTTCATGCTGTCCGGCCTGGTGGCCACCGCCATGCTCGTCCTGGTCTACATCTCCATGCGCTCGAGCCTTGTGAGTGTGTGGAGTCCTTTAGGGATAGTATGGTTACCTTATCTTATGGATATCTTTCTTTCTTGTTTACAGAATGAACGTCTGCGTGAGGACTTGGCCAAGACACAGCGCCATCTCGTCTTTGAGAAGCCAAATCCCCACTGGGACTACACCAATAGTTGGCGCAGGATTGGAAATGCTTCCCTCCGGCACGAGATCTACTCGGCGTACTTTGACGTCAGGACGGATATTATAGGTGAGATACATATATAGCATAAAGGATATCACAGAACTAATAACTAACGTCCTTTACAGGAAGTGTTCGCCTGGATGAAGAACAAATAACCATAGGATCCTTGAGAATCTTTGCCGTATTGCCGGAGCGGCTGCGGGACTACTCCGTGAGTTGCATTGTGCGCTTTGCGGACTTTACCAGCCTGGAGATCCTGGCCGAGGAGGCGGGAGCCATGCACGAGGTTCACAACAACACCTTCGCGGCGTGGAGCATCATGTGCCCCCTGCACGCCTCCCGTCGGGATCCCCTTCGGTTGCCCCAGGCTGTGGCCTTGACCTACTCCTCCAATAGGTTGAGCCACCTCAGTCCCACCTTTGTGCAGATCAGGTGGGTCATTTGATGAAGTCCAAAGAAATGGATAATAATTTAGTAATCCTTTAGTTACCCCCGCAACATGACGAATCTGTTTGCCAAATCCCGTCCCGCCATCTCCGTTTGTGTGGGTCCTGTCCAGGACAACTACTCCAATGTGCTGCGCCTGGTGGAGTTCGTGGAGATGTACCGGCTGCAGGGCGCCAGCCACTTCTACTTCTACTATGTGCAGGCCAGCGAGGAGGTGCGTCGAGTCCTGGAGTACTACCAGCGCGAGGGACTGGCCGACGTGTTCGAGTGGAATGTGGGTGCCCACCTCCAGGATCTGCACTACGCCGGCATTGTGGCGCAGTTCAACGATTGCGTCTACCGGGCGAGCATCGTGGACAACTTCCGGTATGCGGCAGTGGTGGACCTGGACGAGGTGATGATGCCGCTGAAGCACAACTCCCTGGCGGACTATCTGCGCCAGTGCGACGAGGGTCGCACCGCCGGCTTCGTCTTCCGGAACGTCTTCTTCCACCGACGGGACAGCAACGACACCTTCAACGCCCCCGCCCACGTCCTCAACCGCCTGCTCTACACCCAGTCAAAGGTGAAGCGCACTCTGGAGGTCCTGCCCGCCCACGTTCGCAGCAAGGTCATCGTCAACGCCCGGGCCATTGTCGAGATGGGCAATCACCAGGTCTACCGTTCCGCACCCGGCTACGCGGACCACGTGGTCCATCCGACGGTGGGGCTGTTGTTCCACTACCGCGACAAGTGCATCAACTGCAAAATGGTTCTGATCGTGGACTACACGGCCCGGAGATTCGGTTCGCTGCTCTTCGACCGAGTGGACAACACGTGCCTGGAGGTCTTCATGGATCGCCGGGGCATCTGCGAGCTGGCGTAGCCTCCATCTGTTTCTGTTTACGCGATCCACAATATGGGTATCTGTATCTCTATCTCGGCCTCGAGGTGACGCCCCCTAAAACCTAAAAAAACAAAACCAACACAGAGATCTCTTCTTCAGTTGAGTGCGTGGCCTTTGCCCGACGACATGCTGAAGTTCTGTTCGCTGAGAAAATCCAAGGAGCCGGCGGATCCTGCCACTCCGGCTCCGAAAGTGACCAAGAGTGTACGACAAATTAGCCTAAGTCCTAATCTAGCTGTTCCTCTCTAAGTGTTATGCCGTAATAAATTGTGCTTTAAGTGACTTGTGATGTAATCCGCATTGTTTGGTTTCTGGTCTTCTATTTTCCACCTCGCACAGTCATCGTTGCGGTTGAAGGATGTCCCGCTGAACGACACCCAGCTGCTCCGCGTCCTCCAGGCTCAGCGGGAGCGGGGTCCTTTGATTTTGGCCCTAAGCAGGTAAGAGCCCCCAACCCCATATCGCTCCGGGTGAGAACTTCCCCCTTATATCCGCCCGTTTTTAGTGCAGCGAGCAAGCCGGAAGCCTGCCGGAAGTGCGGAACACCCCTGGAAGGCCGCGAGTTTGTGGGGAATGGCACAACAGGTGAGTCAGAGCTCTCTCGCCAGAGGCATGCTATTTTAATCCCGGATCACCGCAAGTACCTCACCCAGCAAATCTAACAAGTGGTGTTTCATTCGCATGACACTTGGTATTCCCTTGAGATTTTTAATTAGCCTAAAATGGAACTAAATCCGTGATTACTTTCCATCATTGTTTAGTAAACCTAAAAGTCCCCTAGAGAGTGCTTAGGCCAGAACTCCGCTATGAAAGCCATAAAGCAGTGGCATTGCACTTCGTAAACTGTGAAACGCATAAACGCCGACAAACCATAAACAGTTTAATGGCAAGAGTCTTGAACAGCGGAACAGCATTGGAAATATAATAACTAAAGTGCATGCCAAACCGTCCCAAAGCGAACCCCTTTCCATCCCTCTAATGGGCCCCCTGCCTCCGCCCCTGTCCGGCCCGTTGGAGCTTGACGACGCGCCGATGACAATGACGCTGGTATTATGTGTTTATGGGGGAGTGTGACAGGCCATGGAGGGAGGGCACTGGAGGGTCTTGTGTGGGGGGGGGAGGGCAGCCAGCGAATGGCTTGGAGCGGGTGGTCAGTGCCTAAGCCTAAGCCGGCGAAACTTAAAAAAATATAGTCTACATAAGAGAGAGAGAGTGGCTACGGGGGTTTCTGTTTAATAATCTGAAATGATACTTATTATTGGGGTGATACTTGGCCTATACTAGTACTAGTTGTAATATACAACCTAAGCCCACTGGAACTCCTTGATCGCCCCACGGCCACCCGCAATATCGTCATCGTCATTCATCGACTGTCTCCACTCCAGACATCTGTCTGCTCATGTCGAGCCCGTCCTGCCCCCCATCGCCCTGTCACCCATCCGCTGCCAGTTTCAATACATCAGTGTGTGTGTGGCTCACAGTCGCAGTTGCAGCTCCAAGTCTCTGGCTGCCAAGCTCTCCAGCCTCTGCCCTAAACCAGATGCGCACATGCTGCGGCACAATGCACTGTCAATGATTGGATTCTTTTGTTCTGTTTTGCTGTCCAAGCCCCGCCTCCTACCCCCACCACATCGCCAATGGCACCCCCACTCCTACTCAGAACTGACCCTGCGACCCTCGCTGTGCATTTGTGTGTGAATTTATGCATACAAATTTGAAAAATATCGGATCTGTGGTCCGTGCTCAGCCGAACGCAGAACGCCAGAACGCAAAACGGAAAAACGACGACGGGGACAACGTCACCAACAACTAAACTAAAGATTAGTATAGTTATGAGGGCGTTGACTTACCCTGTAATTATTGTATTTTGAGGGGACTATATCTATTATAATAGATGTCATGGTAGACTTCAAAGATTATGACTGAAACATCTCAAAAATATTTTTAAAATATTGATTCTATTTAAAAATATTAAAAAAGATACGAACAAAAATAGAGATATAATATCATAGAGAGACTAAAGAAATATAGGTATATTGTAGAGATATAAAATATTAATATATATATATAATAGGAATAGAAATATCTGTAACTGGTAAGGTGACAGATGTATCTTTTGTTCTAAAGTACGATATAAATTTCAGGTGAAGATACTTCTTCCAGCTAGATTTGATATGTAAATATATCTAAGATTCTTCTTCTAATATCTAAGTCTTTTTTAGCACAAGTCTTTCAATAAAAACTCTAGAAACCATTTAGTAATATATTAAGTCCCCAAATTTTAAAGCATCCTTTGGCCCAACCTCCTTAGGAGCCCAAACTACCCATCAGATACTATTACTGGGCATCACAATGGCAAAACATCAACAAGTCACGGCTCTAAGCCGGCTACAACAACAACATCATCCACTGCAAACATTGGGGACCAGTCCGCACCCACCACTCGACGTCGTTGTCGACGCGGGCATCTCTGCCTGCGCTGGCAGAGCTGAGGCCGAGGCAGAAGCCGAGGCAGAGGCAGCAACAAGTCAGCGTCGCACTAATCAACAGGCGACTCTTGCTCTCTGCCGCTGCTCAGGCATTCTGCTTGTTTGCTGCCCTGCTGCTGCTGCCATGCTTTTGGTGTGTTTGTGTTATTCGATACCGTAGGCCCCAAGCGATTTAGTTACTATAGAAGTTTTGCCAAGTCAAGTCGTGAGCGAAAACCCATCTATATGTATATTTTTATCTATCTATCTATCGGTACCTTTTCGCGGGCGGTGATCGTCAAGTTCAGTGGCAACAAAATCAAAGCGTAAACAGTTGAAACGGTCGCGTGAAATTAATTAGCAACCGTTGTTTGCAAAAAATTGCATTAAAAATCAAGCCATCGCAGTTACAAAGTGAGTTACTCGATGTAGTTTAAGCCAATTGTGTCTCTTCCCAATCAAAAATCCGTTCAGAGATTGAGTTTGGCGACCGTTTCTACCGTGTCAGTGGGCCAAGAAGGTTTTGACCCACAAAGCAGTATGGCAGCGTGTGCTATGCCCATGGAATAATCAATTGTCATACCTTATTGGCGATTGGCTTCATTAACTATTTAAATCAATCGGTCTATTTTCGATTATCGGTTTCCAATTTAAACTTCAGCCTGATAGGCAAATGCAGACCGAATTTGGGTTAATTATTGTCTATGCGGTCGGGTTGATAATAATACCCCAAAAATGGCACAAACTTCTATGTATATAAATAAATGATATGCTATATATAGTTTGGGCTGGACTTTGTGTGTGCATACATGTGATTTTAATTCGTTTTAAATTATACAGTGCAACCCTTTTTCCTCTCTATGGTCATAGTTCAATTAAGTCTCTAATGACCGGATGCCATATAGAGTGTGTGTGTGTTGTGTGTGTGTGTTTGGCATGCAAATGAAGCCGGGAATGTGTCCCAGAATTTCGGTTTGATTTTGTTGTGAAAATGTATAATTTTTAGAAATTAATTTCCAGCCGGGATCGCTTGCCCCTGAAAGTTGCGGTTCATAATTCAATTTGCGCGGCACACCCAGATCGCGTTTATGATTAATTATAATTTCTATTCGGCGGTCTTCTATCGCTCATGGCATTGAAGCAGAAAGAAAGCCATTTCCAGTACTATTATTATTCTACTTTTGTTTACCGTTCCACGACGACGTCGACTACGATGGCGACACAATAACAATTTTTGATAAGCCTCAGCTGGCGAAAAATTCAAAATTTGTATTTGTGCTTTTGCCTCTAAAAGTAAAACAAAACAAAAAATGAAACCAACACTAGGAAATTTTTATTGTCAATTGCTAAAAGCGATAAAAAGACACTAAAAGACTGAGAGGGCAACAGTGCGATTGCGACTCTACAAAAACCATAATAAATTTTGAAAAATTACTAAAGTATTAGTTGGCTTTCGTTCTATATAAACTCATTAAAAAGTTGGAACTGGAATGTCTTTAAATCAATGGGTCTCCAGCGAAAACTTAAAGTTTAACAAGTTCTTTGTTTACTTCAATCGATTATAAAAGAAAGGCGACCTAGATAATGGTCTACATTTTTAATTTTTAACTAGCAGTGCAGCTGTTTATTGTCTCAAGAGGTTCTCTATATAATTTTGAACACAATTTAACGAAATTATCGCCTTCAGTTCGGTAGTGACTCAATGGAGTCCGGTCATCGACTTGGGGGAAACACTCCTTGGCATTACAATGGAGGCCCTTCTGGATTTTTTTGGTTCGAATTTTTGCGGTTTCGGGTTACCTGTGTGGGAAATGACCACTCCGGGAGGGGTTGGGGGGAAAACAACACTCAATTTATTTGTCGGGTATCAGTTTTAATGGCTTTTGTCACATTAATGTGCCATGAAACATAAATGAATGATATCGATCGTTGGACAGGGTCGGGGTTTTAAAATGTATTGGGTTACAAAGTAATTTCAATATGAATGGGATTTATGAAAAGTGGGTGGGGTTTCAGCTAATTCAATTAAATGTTTTAAAAAGAATGTAATGTTTATAAACAAGGCCAGTTGTTACTCACATTTGTACTCAGAATAGTCTACTTTTAGGCGTATTTCAAATACAAATTGGTTTTTTAAAATTCTCATCTTTTGAAATGCACCTTGAACCATAAAATCCAAAAACAATAAAAGCCTTAAGTGCCAAAAATGCTAATTTAAGAACTAAAAGCCTACTCCACCTTCTGTTCACCTTTTCTGGCTAATTTAGTCTAATATACACCTTCGAAATTGGTAACTAAATGCGAGCTGGCGATGGTGTCATGTTTGGTTTTTGGTAGCGCCCCCGCAGCTCGACCCCAGCCGAACCTTTCCAAAATTGTCTAACCATGTCTTGCCTGGCCATTATTTCATTATGATAATTTTGTGTTTCGCCGTGGCTATCTGTCTATAAAGCCGTTTTGCCGCCGCTCAGCTGACACGGCCTGGCCTTTTGTTATTGTCGCAGCGTTTTGGCAACGACATCGCCAAACAAAGTTTTAGTATTGAATTGTGATTCAGTGTCTGAAAAACAAATAGAACCAAATAATATAGAATTTTTGACAATGCAATTAGCGTGAATTTGTTATTTAGCAGCAAAATGTTTTGGTTATATAATTTTGATATTTGTTGTTTGCGATTCAAGTTCCCAAATAAATCATCCAGCGAAATGCTTGAATAAATATTGATAAACATAACTTCCAGATTTTGGTGTCCAGAATTCCTTATCGTTGCTCTTGATTTCTGTTTCTAGCCGTGTATGTTGAACGATAACTTAAACTTGAGCTACAATTTTAGTGATTATACTACAGTGAATACTAAAAAAACCAATATATTCAAAAAATATTCAAATTCGATTTGTTTACGATTTGTATAATTCCATTTTTGAATTATAAAATCTAGAACAACACCACATAGTTACCCAATTATTTGTTTGTTTATACAACTTTAGATTTTATAGTCAAAAAAATATTAAAAACGTTTAAAAATTTTGGAAAGAAATATACTTTTGGTTACTTTTAAGGGAATAATTTGTATTTTGTTTACACGACTGTGAACTTAAGGAAAGAGAACTCAAACCCAAAAACATTTGAAAGACATGTAAACAAATGTAAATGCTAAAGAAGCAGCCAAATTAAACAAAGTATCTTGTGGATTTCGAGATACAATACCTCATAAAACACCTCGAAATAAAATTGAAAAATTTGCATTTGCTGGAAAGCTTAAAACACGTTTGCCATTCGCTTTCTAGCCCTGGCCAGTTGGAGTGTCTTAATATATTTTAGCTTGTGATTTCATAGTACAACTCGCAAACCAGAATTGCTTCTTGTTTTTGGCAGTACGTATGGGGAATTACGTTACTAATGGCTCTAATGGCCCCCTTCCTCACCACCTCTCCCCCACCGAATAGCAGTGTTTATTCCAGAAATCGAAAGCTGCTTCCAGCTGGCTGGAGACTGGCCCTGTGCCAAACATTTCACATCCGAGCTACCAAGTGCCCAGCAAAGTAGCTGCAATCGGAAGCCGATTTCGTATTGATTCCATTGAACTGGCGGGAGGGAGGGAGAGGGCATGAGGAACCGAGCGAGACGGGTGACAATCAGCAAAGTTAAAGGCTTTCGGGCTGAAACTTATCTGCCAGCTACCGGGCGGGTTTCCAGGTGTGCTGTGGCGGCTCTCAATATTCTGCGAAGCTTTCAAAGCTTCAGTCCGGCATTAGAACTTCGACTCTGACGTTGTGTGTTGCGATCGAGCTATCGGAAATTACACTGCCCAACACGCTCGTGGCCGGAATAGCTGTTGTCTTGCAGTGTAGTCTTCCCGCCGTAAAAATAGTCTTCCCCCGCCAGCTTTTCGTTTGTGTGTGTGTTTAGTTTTCCCTGGCCCCCAGTGTGTGTCCGCTTAGGGTCGAGAAAAACCTGCGAAAAACTGACGCAACCGCAAAGGAAAACCAAAGGCAAAGTTATTGTGTTTGTTTAGGCCATTTTGGAAGCCGAGTGTGTGGAACTACCACTACTGCCATTAGCATTAACGAAATGTTGGCAATTACGCGCAAAGTTTGCCACTTGGATGCGAGTCTCTGAGATCATTGTTCGATTTTAGCTTCTACGTTGTTGCAGATAAGACAGGGAAATGAATAGGGCCTGGGACTGGGACTGGGACAACGGGGCGGATACGTAACGGGGCGAGAGTGCGCCTTCTTCTTGCCTTGCCTTGCGGTGGCAAGTGCGGTGGCACTTTTCGCTTTTCAGTTGGCTCACGTACGCGGCCTTTGATGCAACGAGAACTGAAAGAACCGCCTTTACTTTGTCCGATGCCGATGCCGACGATTTGCAATTAATTGGGAATTAAATCGTAAGAGCGTGACGTCAGAGTGCAGGGTCGTCGGTCTCGGCTGGTCTTGTCTCTAGTGTGTTTTTGTTTGTGGGTGGCAGAGCGCTTCATAAATTAATTTACTGAGCATATTGTTTGTGTTACCCCTCGACCCTCCTGCCCCCTTGAGTGTACTGTGTGTAAAAAGCAAACAAACAATAAGAACAACAAAACAGAGAGGAGCAGACATGTGCTCAGCTCGTTATGGGAGAACAGAACGCTCCGAGCTGCGAGCTGCTAGCTGGCCAAATAAATAACGAAAGCGTAAACACGACGGCAAACTCAAAAATCTATGCTAATTACGATACATATATCTGTATCTGTTGCTGTGCCTCATTCTGTATCTGAAGAATGCTTTAAACATAAGTGCAAAACCAACAAATCACTCGAAAGACCCCCGAGGAAATGACAAATAGTGTGAGTGGCGAGTGAATGGAGGAGAGTGTGTCTGCAGCCTGAACCCAAACATAGCCAACAAATTTAGAAAGAAAGATGCAAGTGACCTCAGCCGATCTAGAAAGTGATGGCTAAGAGCAAGTGAAAGGAATCTAAGCCAAGAGGTCTTTAGTTTTCATCTAATTTCAAAGAATTCTCTGTAAAACATGGATGAATGGTATTCTTTGTCAGCATTTGAGATACAAATACTTTTGTACAACATTTTCCAAGAAATCAAAAGCATTTCGCATTCGGTTCTTTATCAGAAATGCAAAATTTATCAGCGATAACCCAGAAATAGATAACTGGAACGAGCTCGTTCTACAGCAAATAAATCGAAGAAATTGATTTTGTTATGTGCCTTTGTTGATATTATAGAGCCAGGAATAGCGGCCAGATAGTAGCCACCAATACACTTCAGTGTGCGTCAATGGTTTCGGGCCCAAACCCAAAGAGGCCCAAACGGAAACAGAAGCCCATTAAGTATAAACATACAAGTGATATATGTTCCGGCGATGGGGGGAAGTGACCGTTGGAATGGCTCCTAATTGGGCACCCAGGGGCAGTCTACAGTCTGAGGAGTTTATGCAGTCTGTCCACAGTGTGCAGAATACCCGGGGATTGCATAATCCCCGGGGAAATAGAGAGGCCCAGCCTCAGTAAATGCACATCACGTGTCTGGGTTGTCTGGCACCTGACAGATATACACAGAATTACTTCAGTTCGGATCGGCTCTGGTGGCTCTGGTTCTGCTTGTGGCCGGAGGAAGTTGCTGATGATGATGAGTCTTAAGGGCCAGACAGAGACACAACAAGAGAAATTGAAATCCATTAAGTACCTTTAAAAATAAAAGCAGAATACTACTAACCGCATGGCCCACTGGGATGATACATGGGCGAGTGCTATATATATAGTATATACGCGTGGATACGCGTTCAGCTTCAATTATTCAAGAGTAGAGCGAAACAGAGACTTGTGACCACAAAAATCAAAAGAAATTACGCACGAAAAATATCTTGAAAATGCCATAAGTTGTTTTGTAGAAGATACACATAGCCGGGCCGCAGACTCACCATCAGATACTCACACACAAGGCAGAGCGAATATAGAAAAACTCGATCTGTGGCAAACTATTTCCGTATTGAGTTCTCTTCCTCAATGCCCTGTATACGGTCTATTTGGGCATATTGCTCCCGACTTTTTCCAAGATTCCCCGAATTTTTCCGAATGAGATAATCACATCCAAATGACCACTTAATTTCAAACTAACATTTCTCTGATTTGATTTGACCTCCAAGTTATTTATTTTTTCCGCCACTCCCCAAACATTTATCAACTGAAATATAAGCCTTTTTGAAAACCGAAAAATGTCGCTGCGATATTTTTCAAATGATATTTTCCGAGCGTTTAAAAAAGAATATATAATTTGTGTGCCTTCTGCGTAAATTCCACCGCGGAGCCAAACAAATTATAAACGTGTTCCAAAAACATTTTCTAATATTTATGGTAGCGCCAAAAATATACATATACGCTTTTTGAGTTTTATTCCTTTCATATGATTTTATGGTTTTGTTTGGCTTTCGGAAATTGCATTGACCTAGAAGACGGGTATTCGGATATTGTTGTTTTTACGGTCTATTGAGGGATCTTGATGTCTTTGGAATACCCTGCTTTCGAATATGGTTTTGCACTTTTCCCCCAGACACTCCCACTCATGATTCTCGCTCTCTCTCTCGGCGTATCTCAGTCTCTCTAATTATATATTCCCCCGATCTCAGAATCAGAGCGAGAATGAGAGAAATGCGGCTGGCAGCATCATTATGAATTCCCGATTTGTTTTTTGTTGCTGGTCGGTGTGTATATTTTCAAATACGTGCATTTGGGTGCCCAACCTTATGCGAGAGTGTCTGGGTGAGTGGGTGCCTGTGTGCGTGTGAGTGAGGGGAACTGGCTCCCGGTTGAGATCGTGGAAAGCCCATGGGCCATTCCTTGTCCGTCGGTCGCCAGCACAGCCGCGAGGAGCGGGAATCGCAGTCCCCCCCACGAAAATCACAAAAATCGGAATTAAGTTTATAGCCAGAAGAGAAGGCAGAACTCTAATCGAATCGGGAACAAAAGTTCATTGAAAACGCAATTTAATTTGGCCAAAAACTGAAAACTCGATACAAAGAGCGCGATTTCGGGGATATATCTAGATACGTATATATCCGAGCGACATCTTAACGATTTTCGGACGCGTGCCCGGCGATGTCCGCCACCCGACGTTCGATGGGCGGTGGGCGGTGATCGGCGGCGGAACGGCAGAGATGCCAGCGCCGGCGCTGACGTTGGCAGAGCTGACTTTTTATATTATTTTCCGCTCGTAGTGCTCTTTTTTGCTGCGGTTCTGTTCAGTAGTTTATTTTTTGTCCGATTTCTGTATTTTTGTTGTCTACTGTTTGCCGGCTGTCGTCGTGAGCTGAATGCCGGCCCGGCCCGGCGGTTCAGTTCTGGTTGAGTTTCTGGCGACGAGTGACACACACAGTGGGCTTTAAGAAACAAGAAATTAAACGACACACAAACGAAAACGAAATACATTTTAGTTGTAGATTCTTGCTGATTAGGAAAGAGCAACAGCTAACAAACACAACACGAGGCGCACACACAACGTACAACACTCCCACACAACGCACACACAGCACTGCATTAGTCAGATTCAGTGAGGGACAGTGACGTAGACGATGCCCAATAACCGGAATCGCAACCGCAATCGAAATCGCAACAAACGCAATCGAAATCAAAATCCACATCCAAATCAAAATCAAACTCAGGCCGAAGAGGTTCAGCCGGAGGAGCAGTCGGTAGAGGCCAGGCAGCCAGGGATTGCAGTAGCATCATCCTCGTCTTCTTCCATAGATGATAATGGAAATTCTGGCAGCGTTTCAAATGGGCCACCTCAGAACGACAACAGCAACGCCGAAAGTTCTATTATTTCCGAACCGAAAGTGACGAATACCCCCCAACATCAAGAAGAAGGTGATATAGAACAAGATATAGAAAACTCATCAGAAATGGGTGCCAAAAACTCGAAACATCAGAAGGATAAGGCTGGCAAGCAGGTGGAGGAGCAGGTGCGACCTGGACCCACAATCATACGAAGGCCGCCGGGAAGTCCCCGTCAGGCCAAGGTCATAGTGCACCGGATTGTCAAAGAGGAGGATCTGGTGGACAAAGCCGAGGTTCCACAGCCAGAAGCCAAGGTTGTGGCAGTAAAAGTGGAACCAGAGGAGGAACAGCAGGACAAATCTGAAGTTCCAGGAGACCAACCCAAAGTTTTGGAAATAAAAGTGGAACCAGCAGAGGATGAGGTGGACAACTCTAAAGTTCCAGCAGACCAACCCAAAGTTGTGGAAATAAAAGTGGAACAAGAGGCCTTGAAAGAGGATGAGTTGGAAGAGGAAACTATCCAGCCAGCAAGTGAAGCTGTCAAGGATGAAGTAGTGACTCAGGTGACTACCATCTCCGAGAAGCTCAATAAGGAGCTGGAAGACCTGGTGGAGAAAGCACAAGAGCTACAAGACATCGCACAAGCTGTAGAGCCAAAACCTTCCCAAGAAGTAACCAAAGTTGAAGAAGAGCAACCTCAGGAGCAGGAACCTTTACCCCTGCTAGCAGAGAAACCTCCCACCAGCATCCCAGAGGTACAAGCTCATCCAATCCTACAGTCACCTCCCCAGCAACGCACCTCCAAGGTGATTATTCACAAAATCCGCCTAGAAACCGACGAAGAAGAGCGAGAACGGAAGGGTAAACCCACAATTGAGGAAATCAGCAGTACTTCCGGAAGCTCATTGGCTGGCACCCTCTCCCCACCGCCACGCTACCTGGTGGAGTCGCCTAAGAATGTGACTAGTGGAAGTGGAGGGCAGTTCGCGCGCTTCTCTCGGGATGTGCAGATCCAGGAACTGGAACTGAACAGCGATTGCAGTTCGGGAGAGTTCAATGTCACGCTATCGCCTCTGGTCTGCGAAGCTGACTCGGAAACCGAGGGATCGGGGTCGGCCGGAGGAGCTGGTCAGCAGGAGCTATCTCCGCCAGAACAGCCGTCCAGCAGCAGCCGTGTGGAGCAGAAGGAGCAGCTGCGTCAGAAGCGCGCCCAGAAGCGAAACGCCCTGGAATCGCACTTCTTGCCGCAGCTGCTGAATCCGCGCTACCTGGACAGCATCCTGGAGGAGAACGGTGAGACGCCCAGTTATAAGAGCTCCTCCTCCAACTCCTCCTCCGCCGCCAACAATCGTACCCCCAAGCTGAACGAGAATTTCCCGAAGAGTCAGCTGGACTTCAGCAGGCGGCACAAGCGCCGGGAAGAGGCACCCACTCCTCTGAAGCTGGAGACCAAGTTTTTGGATCAGTCCCTGGATTTGGAGAGCTGCACTCGCCTGCAGAGCACCCTGTCGCCCCAGTCCGAGGACGCTGAGCTTGTATACCTCAGCTCGTCGGCCTCCAGCAGTGTCTCCGATCTTATGGAGCTCGAGCTGGAGCAGGCGGCCGCTCTGGCAGAGAGGGCCCTGGTGGACCTGGATACGGATGCCAGCCGATTGATAAATCCGCCGGATGACGAGATGAGCAGCACAAGCACCACCACGGCGGAGAGAAGCGAGACGGAGGCGGAAACGGAAACGGAGACGGAAAGAGAGGTGCCGGAGAGCCGCGAGAGCACACCTGTTAATGGCAGCTCTCAGCTAACGTTAGCGCCAACGCCACCACCGACGTCGACGTCGACGCCGTCGGCAAGAGAACCATTGGCAAAAGATACAAATGTTTCTAACGGATCGTTGTCGGCCAGTTTCGGGGCAGCGTCTCCGCTGGCGGCCACGCGCGAGGAGTTCGTTCGCAATATGGACAAAGTGCGCGAGTTGATCGAGATGACGCGACGCGAACAAGAGGAAGTGACCGGTACGCCGCGATCGCCGTCGCCACCGCCCGTACCCCCGCCCCCCGTGGGCCATCAGCTTTATAGCAACACCCACATAGTACCCCTAAGCCTAGATACCACCAGCTTCGCCAATCTGAAACGGCAGGAGTCGAACGACTCGCACTGCTCGGACAGTACCACCCACAGCCAGTGCACGGCCATCAACCTGGCCAGTCCCCCGCTTCCGAGCACGCAGCCACCCACACCGCCCCTGAGGCAAAAGCCAGCCCCGCCAGTAGCACTAGCACCACCTCCAGTTCCTGTTTCCGTGCCCGAACCCACACCCACACCTCCACCCACCCCAGAATCCACCATCGCTGCACCCAATTCAGAGCCCGAGCTTTCAGTTGCAGATTCGGACTCGGATGCCATCAAGAAGCTGCGTCTGCTGTGCACCGAGACCCTGGCCTCCATGCCCTATGGCGAGCAGGTGCTAGAGGAGCTGGCCAGCGTGGCCCAGAACATAGCCAGCAAGTCGCAGGCCAACATGCCGTACCCCATGCCCCAGCTGCCGCACATCAAGGAGCTGGAACTAAATGCCGGCGAAGGCAAGTCCTCGTCCGCCTGGCTCGGCCTGCCCACCCAGTCGGATCCCCAGCTGCTGGTGTGCCTGTCGCCGGGCCAGAGGCAACTACTCGATGGGGAGACCCAGCCCGATCAGCTGTTGGACGCCCATCAGAAGTTCGTGGAGCGCCGGGGCTACCATGAGCTGAGCAAGGCGCAGGTGCTGGAGCAGGAGGAGAAGCAGCAGCAGGAGAAGCAGCAACAGCAGCAGAGCGAGATGCTCAAGACTGCGGCCATGATGCGGGAATTGCGCAAGAGCCTGTCGCCCAGCAAGTCACCGCCCCCGGTGCCCCCGCCGCCGGTGCCCGTGAAGAGCGCCGAAACGGCGGCCAAGGCAAATGCTAATACTCATCCAAACGCGAAAAGAGATGACGCAAGCGAGCAAAAGCAGAAGATAGAAGCAAGTGAATCGTCATCGCTTGAAAATAAACCAAGGCGAGCAGCTGATCTTTACGAGCAGCAGCAGTCGGCAGAGCACCGCCAGAGCAGCAGCACCACCATGACCAGCAGCAGCAGCAGCAGCAGCACCAGCACCACCGGCACCGGTAAATTTCCCACGCTGGAAAGCATGGAAAGCGAACTGGCCAGAATGTTCCCCCACCGTCCCAAGAGCGGCGACATCTTCGAGGAGCAGCGCAAGCGGTTCTCCAACATCGAGTTCCCCAGCCATGTACCGTTGGCGACTCAGTCCCAGAAGCGATACTCCAACATCGAGACCAGCAGCTACGAGTCCAAGAAGCGCACCGAGAACGGTCAGGTGGTGTACGATGTGAGTACTTCCAGCCACGAGAAGAAGGAGCAGGGGGACCCGCCCAAAGATGGGCAGCAGCAGCCACAGCCCCCGGCACCGCCCGTTCCCCCGCCTCCAATTATGTCAGCAACGAAATTAAACGGTGGCACTTTCATTGATGGAGACAACAAGCCCAAAAATAGCCAGCCAGAGAAAGAGAACAGCGCCAGCAACGGTACGTACGAGGAATTTCGGCAGCGTGCCAAGGCCGCCGTGGATGCCATTGGAGGAGATCATCAGCAGCAGCAGCAGCAGCAACAGAATGGCTTGGATCACGACCGCGTGTTCAAGGACTTTGACAGACTTTCGCAGCAGATGCACGCCGAGCTGCAGTCCACGCGGGAGAGGCGGGAGAAGTCCGCGTCCCTCTACGATCTCAGTGGGCTGACCCGGCCCGCGAGCACAGGCCAACAGAAGCTGGAGGAGCTGCAGCAGCGGCGCCATGCCCACATGCAGGAGCTGGAGCGGGAGATCGAACGCTCGGCCAAATCCCGGCAGGAGCGCATGTCCTCGGTGCCCCGTCAGTTGGAGGCCACTCCACCCCATGTCCATGAAATACCCATCGAACTGGAGTCCCGATCCCGGCGAGCCGAGTCTCTGTGCAACTTGAACGAGCCACCGCCCCGGCCACACACTACAGTAGGTAACTACGGAAACAGCCAGACCGACGACTGGGCCAGGTATGCCAGTGACTTGGGCTATTCGGAGAACATTGCCCGACCCTTTGCCCGGGAGGTGGAGATCTGCTATCAGCGCCAGAACCCAAGGGCCTCACACGGTATTCGGGCTCCCAGACTGTCGGCCAGCACCAACGACCTGAGCAGCTCCAGCCAGTATAGCTTCGATAGCTTCAACGCCTACGGGGGCCGCAGGACCCATGCCCCCATGCTGAACCAGGTGCAGCAACAGCCGCGTCCGCACTACGGCAGCTGCTACTCGATGATCGAACGGGATCCCAATCCGCGATATATCAGCACCACCTCCAGGAGGGGGGTGAGTCCTGCTCCGGGCGCAGTGGCCGCTCCACCATTACCGCTGCAACCACCACCCGCCTACGATCGCCAGCAGCGAAGAGCCTCACTGCCTAGGGAGCTCCACGAACAGCAGCTGAAGTACATACTCTCCAAGGAAGAGGAACTGAAGCTGGAGGTGGAGCGACTGCAGCACGAGCGGCGTCGCCTAATGGAGGAAATGCAGAGAGCGCCCGTACTGCCCGCCCCCCAGCGCAGGGAGAGCTACCGGCCGGCTGCCAAGCTTCCCACCCTCAGCGAGGACGAGGTCTTCCGCCAGCAGATGGCCGAGGAGTGGATGAACAAGGTGGCCGAGCGGGAGGAGCGCCGCCACAACAAGATAATACGCATCTCCAAGATCGAGGACGAAGCGGAACACGCAACTGCCGAGAGGGGAACCATCAGCGATGAGTTCCTGGACCGGGTCAAGGAGCGGCGGCACAAGCTGTCCATGCCGGCGGACAGTGACTGGGAGAGTGGAGCCGAGTCGCAGCCCCAGCCGAACGCCAATCAGTCGCAGGGCGAGTCGGATGTGGAGGCGCCACCGGTACGCATCCTCGAGGGCCAGGCCGAGGCCAATCTGCGCCAGCTGCCACGGCACCTGCGGGAGTTCGCCAAGTTCTCCACCAGCGAGCAACTGCCCGATGGCGGCCAGATGGAGCGACATGAACAGCAGGAGCGGCACGAGGAGGCCACGGACAACTCGCACAGCAGTGCCAGCAAGAAGACCAGCATCGTGAAGACCTACAAGGTGTCCCGGCTACCGCCGTCCGTGCAGGGTGAGTTTCCCGGTCAGTTATCCGGGGGAAAGCCGCGTCCTCGCCAGTATCGCGAACGCTCGCAAACGGCGCGGCTCGTGAGTCATAACATCCCTTTGGAACTAACTAACAGCAACTGCTCATCTCCACTTGATTCCGATTCCGGTTGTGGTTCACCAACGGCAAAAGGTTCCTCTACCCCCATGTATCCCACGCCCACTCCCACACCCAGTACCCCATCCTCTCCAGCAGCCAATGCACTCCCAGTACCACCCCCCGAATCGAATTCATCCAGTACCGCCGGCGGGATCTTGGGCACCGCCTTGCTGGTGGGTCTGTCCTTGCTGACCGCCTGGAACAAGTTCAGTTAGTTCATTCACCCACTCACCCCCGATTTCCAACTTGATCCATTTGAGTTTATCCAAAAGAGAAGCATCTCAAACGAGAATATTTGTATATATCCGAAATATTCGATTTGTTATTATCAAGTTGAAAATATTTTGTTTGCCTTTCTGTACATCGGTGTCGGCCCATCTCACCCACCCGCACTCCCACACACCATACCCACCATATCCACACAGTAGCTACTTGGTGTTGTCCAAACTTTCTGTCTCTTTCTTTAGTCAATTCTCTATCTCTCTCTCTTTGTATTTCGTTTCGTCTACTCATTGTGCGCGATATACTCCTACTCCTACTCAAATACAGACGAGGCCACAGAAACCACAGACAGGAGCAGCACGATCCACCATATAGATAGACAGGAGAGCCAGGAGAGCTCCTCCAGCTCCGGCTCCAGAGCCAGCAAATTCGGCGGCCATTGGGAAGATTTCTTCGCCGGCTCGCCCTTCCGATCGAAAATCTTCGAAGAATTCGACAAGTACTGGCGAAACTTTGAGCACTCCGCCTCGAACACATTCTAGAAAACAAGAGAAATCCTTTGAATCGACAGCTGAACCACAAACCGAATGCTTTAAATACCAATGCCCCCCCCCCCTAAAAAACAAAGTCAGCTGCATGCAGCCACCCCCTAAACCCCACGCCCCAAAACCCCAATATGCTCATTATAAATATTGAAATAAAACTTAGAGATTTTGTCGAAATTGCGTTTGTGAAACTTTGTTAAATGTTTGAAAACATTGAAATTAATAATATTAGAAATAAAACCAAAAAAAGAAACGAAAATTATATATCTTAGTGTTGTTTAATGTTTAATAAACGAAATTATTTCATTAACCAAAAGTTGTTTATTTGATTCGAGAATATGTACCTATATATTCGTTGCATTCATTGTATATTCTGCATGATGTTTCCTTTTAGTTTTGTGATGTGTCCTTAAAGAGAGAGACTATAAGCTGCTTGAGAATATAAACTAATCCGTATATATAGTGTATATAATGTAAAGATATTGATGGGAGGTATGAAATAATAATGGGAAGTGGGGGCGCTAAACTATGTAGATCTTTAAATATTTAAATAAAAACCTTTAATCCACTTAAATCAAACAAATAATGGCTTTGAATTACCTTTTTATGACCCCCATTTCTTAATATTAAAACCAAACAAAGCCACCCATTCAGTACCTAACGTCAATATCTCATTATTCTGACTTTAAGAAGGCAATGCTACCGCTTGGCTTTAGCTTTTCCTCGAGCCATCTTTGTAAATCGGCTTAGCCCGAGTGCGCCTCGTTCTCCACCCATCCCAGTTGCACCCCAGAGATCCATCGGCTTATCTGCCGCTTAAGAATCGCAATCAAGAAAAGTAAAGACAAAGTCGAGTGACTCGCTGGGCAGAAGCGAAATTGCGATTAAGCGGAAATTTTAAATTAATTCCATTCAATTGCATGGACACAAAGTGCAGTCCGACAGACGGTTCGTTTGTTTAAATGGGAATTACGAAATCGGGGGCAATTGAGCTAGAATGTCTACACAGAGAATAAGATCGTAATCGACTTGAAGTCAATTCTTGGCTTTACTATCTATATGTGTCATCTTATAAGTTCTAGCTTTCTATGCTTTTATTAGAAGAGATTTTTAGAAGTTACCCACCGAGTTTCGAAAGACTGTTTATGAAAAAAGTGAAGAATTCTAAAAATATTGAACAAAAGGCTTAATATTTGTTTCGAAAATTCCACCTAACATGTCTCTAAATCGCCTAATGTTTCTCTCTGTGTATGTTATATGCATGGAAAACGCGAAAAAATGGGGTCCACAGGCTAAGGAGGCTGGAAAAGTGAAATTCTAACCGCATGCTATCGTTCAGACAGAGGAACTTCATCCGAGCCAGCAACCCCCGGGGCCATGGGTGTCCGGCTGCGACCACGCCCACCCAAGCAGACGCGATTCCTGCTCAACGCCCAGCAGCTGCAGCAGCAGCGCCAGCGACGCAGCTGGTCCGAGAGCGATCTGCTCAAGGAGATCGACAGCGAACTGCAGCTGGCCAAGGGCTTTCTCTACGCCAATGGTGTGTCAGAAACCCCCATATCCCCAACCTCCCCATTCCTTGTGTGTCGCCTTGTGTCTCTAATTGTCTAACCCAGATAACCCCTCAGATCATAGACCAATCGGATACGTCTCGAGGTCAATTCGATCACGATTGGTGATGGTTTTGATCATGAAATAATTACGATAAAGATCCATTTAAAAAGAGTTGTTAAAATTTGCTTAAAATCAGATTAAGTCCAATGTGTGCTCGTCTAATTATGTTAAGTTTATTTTTAGTCCGCCCACTTTGTACATAACGCATTTCAATGGGCCGCCTGAAAGTAGGCAGCACTTGTTCTGTTTTATGTTTCAGCAAATTACGTATACGACGTGAAGGCTTCTACTTGGTCACTTGCTTGTATCGCTATTTTCTCAAATGTATTTATGTTGGTCTGCATTGTGTACAAAATTTATGACCCACTTGAGTCAAAGTTCTCCGCTTTTCACTCCCTTACGATCGCACCACTCTCTGCTGGCACTCTCAGGGCTTCCTCTCGGGTCTCTGTTTACGAAAGCATTTTCCACACGAAAAAAAAAGAACCTGTTGTTTATACTAGCTGGCCGAAATACGTACATATTCGAATTTTTCATCTGATTGTGAGTAGGAGAACGTTCAACAAATTTGTTGTCTCGACGCTGAGAACTTTCGGCTGGGATTTCAGATTTTTTTTGGATCTCTAGAGTCTATAAGGCGCGACGAGAAGCAAAATCCAAGCAACCTGCCCGAAAATGAAAACCGTTTCGTAGTCGTCGTCGTGTTAAAGTCGTGCGAGCAACGCCAAGGCGCGTCAGCAGGCGAGAAAAGCGAAAAGGAAAATCGAGAAAATAGTCCAAAGTCGGAAATTAGAAATTAGAAAAAATCTGAAAAAAAACGAAGTCGGCGCTAATATTTCCACAGCAAAATATGGGGCAGGGTTAGTTGAGTGTTTTGTATTCGAAAATTTTGTGTTTTTGTGTGTTTCTTGTTGGCGGATGCCATGTGAATGATATACAAAAGATGCAAACCGCCATTGCATTCGAAATCAAGTGAACTTCAGTGCATTCCAGAATATAATTCTCAAACAAGTCTAAAATTTTGCAAATCAAATGCAAATCTCTGATTTTTTCAGAGCACACACAGAACACGGGCGGCAATGCTACGACTTTTGCACCGAAATTCAAGGCGCGCGCGCCCCCAGGCTCAGGTAAATGGAAGTGTATCCAACGGATGCACCCATCCGTCACAAGTGTGACAAATGGCAAACATGACGTTTTCAGGAGGCTGTCTTTTGATGATTCGTCGCAGCCTGACGAATCGCATAAGGTTGAATGAGTGAAACTTTCAGCACCTTTTTTTCCCCCGACATCCGACAACCGTCAACTTTCCACCTTTCGACTTGGCCGTTTCCAAATTTATTGCTCATATTTATAGATCATCGTTTTTTTGGTGTTGGCTCGTTTGCAGACTGAACTTGATTCGGTTTTTGGCAGATTGGCGATTGTTTATTTTAAATATTTCACATTAGTTCCCTGTTAATTGTGCACACACACACACATCGTCCAAAGAAAAGTTTCCACATGATTTAGGAGATGGGTGCTCTTTTTCTTTTTGGAAAATCCAAAACTGGAAAATGAGGTGCGCCACTGCTCTAAATATACAGTATGACGTAAAATTCTACAGCGAGAATATACGAATTATTTATTACAATATTTGCAATGTTCCCAATTGTTGTTCTCCGTCCAGCAGCCGTTGTTGTTTTAGCCGCCCACACGGATGCCGCCTTTACAGTATCCCATTAAAATGCCAGCTAAATAAAATCAACACGGGGTACTCTACCATGTCGCCATCACGATCCATTTGATCTTTCATGCTAGTTCTCCTGCCAAAGTCCAAGACTTTCCATTCACTAGAATCTCTTGGCCATAAACCCCCTTCAGGACTGACGGGGGCGTGGGCAAATCCATCAAAACTTTGTTCCTTGATTGGCGTCATCTGATGGTATTATCTATGCTCTGGGCTTTTCGATTTTCATCTTGTTTATTTAGAGCATTAATTTGTATGTTGTTATTTTTAAAATTTCCTTCCTCCGTGTTTCGGTTTTTTGTTGTTTCTATTTCAGAAATTCAGCGTTTTTTTCGCTCATGCCAAAGAATGGAAAATATAAATTTGAAGACTTTTAGTGAGTGAAAATAATTTATAGTTAGGTATAAATTCAGTTGAACTTGAACGAACAGATTCCCTCGGAATAGCGATTTAATTTTGCTTCATGACGTTGCCATTGGGATTATCAATCTGTTGAGCAGCGATCTTAATAATAGCGATTGGATAAGAATTTGGCATCAACATGGATCCACTGCTAGATGAAGAATGGGATATAAATACTGGGGAATTTATTACAGGTGGAAATCAAAGAAAATTTTACTTTGAAGATGATGTTGTTTTGTGTGGGTTGGGTATTTAGGTACTAAGACTAAGTAAATATATTTTTTTAATGGCCCTAACTAGCTTTCTAAACAACATAAATGAGATCCCTTTCATCCGATGCCTTCCATCTATGAAAGTTCCAATCAGTTCCGGTTGAACCACAAGTATGCTGCACTCCATAAATAACCCCAACTGGATAAGTCTCCCACTCCCCAAAGCACCTACGAACTCCCCCCAAATTCCCCATAAATCAGCTCAGGAAATGCTCTTAATTTGCCAGAGTTGGGGCGCACCCATTTTCATTCCCATTTCCCATTGACAGGTCGGAACTCCGGAGTCCGCATCCGAACTCCCGTTCCCAATCGGCGACAGGTTACTCTGATGGGCCGCTTTCCCCTTTCTCCACACACACTTTCCCCTTGAACACAACTACACACACCTATTTTTGTGTGAATTTTACAAGGCCGCAATGAGCTATTGGTTCCGCTATTGGAAAAACATTTTAAAAACTATCCCGAGTTAAAATTAAATGGTTCCCTCATTGCAGGTTAGAGCTCTTCCAATTACACAGAAAGAAATGTGTAAAGCTTAATGAGTTTTAAAAGTAAAATTTCTATAGAAAGAACTACGATAGGGTCTAGTAATACTAGAATTCTGTTTGTACGCATGGTACCTTAATAGAAATCTTCCTAGAAAAAGCCATTTTAAGTGATATAATATAATATACATAGTATACAGTACTATATATATTTCTATAATATAATGTAATATACTATGTAATTCTAAGTTTCTTAATGTGTATAGTTTGCTTTTTTCAGAATTTTCTTGTTCGCAAATCGATAAATTTGAAAATGAATCGCTCTGAGGAACGAAATTCGAAATGCGGCTTCTGCTGCTCGACTGCGGACACTCCTTTTGCGGGTGTGTCTCTGGGTAGTCACCGCAGTAGTATTGGTAGTAGTATAAGTAGTATCTATGGCAGTGTCGCACTCAAGTGCCACTATTAACATTTTTTATCCAAGCGAATTTTCGAATTTTCCGTTTGATTTGTTCTAAAGTCAGCAGCAGTGGCAGTGGCCACCGGAAGTGCCAAGCCAAGTCAAGCCAAACCAAACAAATCGAATTGGCTTTTGTGTTTTGTTTGGCTTTTGTGTGTGTTTTTGGCCTGTTTTTGTTTTGTGGATTTGGCTTTGCCAAGAAGAGTTGGGCTTTATTTTGTTTTGTTCAGTTGTTTTCGGGTGACTTTTTATTGTTGTTTAAATGCTGGTTCACTGTACTCCGGCGCACACATTTCCATTTCCGTTCCATTTCGCATTGCACGCATAATTGGCGTTCCGGGGTGAAAACGAAGATCCCTCGATCTATTCGTGGTACCCCTCGTTGCTCCGGTTGATCGAGCACTACTGTTACTGCTCCCACATTTGAGTGCCCGCCGAGTAATTGATCTTCTATTCGCGAAGGGGGGACACACACGGACTAGCTGGCTGGCTGGCTGGCTGACTGAAGGAGGAGCAGCCAACTAGATGGGTGTGTTCGCTAGCCGGTTGCTTGTGATTTGGCCTTTTGTTTCTCCCCTGCCCATTACCCATACCCATACCCATTCCCGTTCCGAATCTGAATCCGATTCGGAATCCATCCCCATTCCTGGGCTTTGCTCGACGGTGGCGAGTCACGCAAAATTTAGTTCGCCTCGAGCCGTGCGCGGAGTCAGCAACTCAATCAGCGAAACGCTCTCCAAATCGTTATCCGTATCTGTATCCGTATCCGTATCGGTATCTGTATCTGATCTGTATCTGATCCGAGTGCATCTGCTAGGTAAATCCATCAGATAAATAGAAAGCGATTAGCGCGTGTGACTCAGAGGATGTCCATCTGTGTGTGCGCGATTTTGATTGACTTTTGCAAGGAGAAGTCTCCTTTTGATTCGATTGTATAATTCAATTAAGTGCTGATTGAATAAAGACGTCAGCGCGCCCACATACGAGAGACCAGCATCACCACCCCCACTGTCCCCCCTGCTAACCCAGCACCCCACCTCTAACCCGCCACTGAAGGAAAGCCAACCGCTGGCGAAATCAGAGGCAAGACCGCTGCTCCTCGTCCGAATACGTGTCAATGTCTCGAAGGCAGTGCGCCTAGGGCAGATCTATCTGTATCTGTGTACCTCTGACTGTATCTGTATCTGAATCTGTATCTGTTTCTCGACGTGTTTGTTTGTGGTTTTTGTTTTTTTTACAGGTGGCAAATAAATCTGTAGAATGAAAGATTTTGGCTAGACCCAATGCAAAACCTGCACAGAGATTGGGTGGGTTACTTGACAAGTTATGGAATTAAGGAAGCAATTTATATTCATCAAGGAATAAGAATTGAAGAGAGTGTTCTTGGTTTAAAGTGGGTTAATAGAACATCTCTAGATAATCTTTATAAAGTGTGGGGCTTTAGATCTAAAAAGATACAAATTAGGTTTGATTTAAAAGGCCTTTCAAAAGGTATATAGTTTCTCACAGTACCTCTTTTATAAGAACTCATTAATAAATGTATTCCTGTCCAGATAATTATAATAGCACACCTCGTTTAGTTCTTTAACGGTACGGGAATATAAAATTATATCTCTTGGTCTATCTTGGTCTGTATTTGTGTATTTTGTGAATGCTAAACATGCGCCAAATGCGATGACTCATCCCGGGCCTTTTCCCCACACTCCCCACCTCTCTGAATGTGTGTGTGAGTGTGTGTGTTGGCCGAATTTTGAATGGCTGCCAAATGGCGGCTTCCTTGGTCGCAGTCGTATTAATTATTGCTGTTCTACGTCGCTATGTTTGTTTGTCAATTTGTCTTTCGGTCGGTTTGTTGACTGCCGAGCGCTATTTTCGAAGAGAATGTATCGAAACGGCGACCGCAGATTGAGGCGCCCATTGGGCATAAATTTGTTGACAAGTGTAAATGTCGCGGCTAGAAACTCAATCTCTGAACTCACGGCGCCCCTGAAAATGTCATATGCCACCACGAAAACGAAATAAGAAAAATATGTATGAAAATAAATGAAATATCAACGACACCCGCCCACATCCCACATGGTCTCATCCCTTGAAACTTTCGACAGGCGTGTGGACACCTTACGGATCCAGCAACGAACTAAATCAATCGGGCGCCCCCTCGGCCACGCCTCCACCCCCGCCGCTACCCGCACAGCCCGTGTGGACGCCGCAGCCGTCGCCGGCGCTGAGCGGCCGGAAGGAGTTCCGTCCGGTCCACTTCGAGTCCCCCACCCTGCCACGCCGCTATACGGCCCTGCAACACCAGCAGCAGCAGCAGCAGACAACGACGACACCACCGTGGTCCTACACCAACGGAGAGGCGCCACCACCGCCCGCACCACCGTCCCTCAACTCCGTCAATTCCAACTCGGACTACGCCGAAACCGATTGTTCCCTGCACTTTGGTCCTGTAGCCCCTAGTAGGAGTGTCTCCGACAAGATTCGAAGTACTATATCCTCTAAAGATCTCTACAAGATTCTTCTAACTTACCCCGCGACCCAAAACTCAAAGAAACAAACAGGTTCTATAGAAGTGCCCAATATTTGGGGAAAATTATTGAAAATAATAATTGTTATGTCCTATCTTTGAGTATCGGGTATCGCACAGTTGGCTTGATCCTTCTTTCTCTGATTCTCTTATTTCTCTGATTCCCATTTATTATTTTATTCCTCTTACGATTGGTTCTCGTCTATCCTTCCGAAAAGCATTTGAACGCTCCGCTTCCAATTCGGAACTGCAGAGGCCCTTCGTGCGGCGCCAGGCGTCCGACGTAGGTCGTCCCGCCTACAGGCCCAATGAAGTCAGTAAGTATAGCCGATAGCCGATGTTTGTTAGGGCAAGTGACCAGGTGAAGCGAGCTCACGTCGAGGCACAACACTGAATGTAGCCGTGATCTGTGTAACCCTATTTGTTTAACCCTGAAACCCGAAACCCAAAACAAACCCCCAAGGATTACCCAAAGCACTAACCCAAAATTCATCTGCGGTTTCCAGTATACAAAGTGAAGAGCGAGTATTTGAGCGAGCCGGAGACGGGCAACGATCGTCCCCGGAAAATGGCACAGTTAGGGCGAAGGCAGTACGATGGCATCGGTCCGGTGACCAACGATGGAATGCCCATCATTCTCAGATCGGTAAAGGAAACTCCATTTTACTTCAGGGGGTTTTAAAAGGGGGCTTCTTTTCCACGATTTGATACGAGTACTGTCCTTATCCTTATCCAACAAAACAGGAAGTCCAGGAGCCTCATCAGCATGAATGGTACAAGCGTCTGTATCAGACCATCCACAAGCAGAAGAACGGCGGTAAATGTCTCCCACTCTCACCCATCGGTCTGAAGCATTACGAACTCCCCAGAACACCCATCCCAACATCCCACCTCATTCCCCACAAACCCTTTAATGCTTCAGTCTGATATCCTGCTTATTATTTTGGTCTTTTCTCAAAAACAAACTCTCGTTTCTCACATTTCCATTCGCTTTCACCCCAAGATGATTTCGTGATTCGCTACAAGTGTCCCAGAGGTGATTCTTTGATCTTATAACTATGCTATACCCCGTAGTCTCCATCCTGTACCTCCTCGCTTTCGCCTGTACATATAGATAGAGTAGAGTGTTGGAATCTCTAAAAAATAGAGTGCAACACTGTTGATTGGGTTTTATTTTATTCCATGCATGCTGTATTATTTGATTCTACATCCGGTCTTTATCATGTTCCCGCGTCTAGCCCATTGACAATTCGGCAGCTTCTACTAAATTTCAAGACTAACCTACTTTAAGGCCTAACCCACCCACAACCCACCGCCAAACAATAACACACAAGCAAACAACGCTAGCCTAACATCATGCCCGCCAGTACACCAACCAAACAAAGTAATGACTGCGATTAGTAGAGCTTGATAAACTGCCTAATTGTCTGACTTGAACGACCATGTCTAATGAGTTCTCTTTATCCAATCAGCCCGTCCGTCGTACAAGAGCAACGGCTACGTCTCAGAGCCCGAACCCAACTACGACTCCGACTACTCGACTACGGTGAGGTACCGCACCCAGAATCCGCACCGCGTGCAGTCCGTCTCCTCGGCTGTCAATGTGCGAAACCTCAACCAGGACGAGAAGTCAGTAAATGCTACTTGGGCCTACTGATCCCTGGTTAACTGAAGCTTGATCTCTTGCAGGTTGTATGGTACTATGCCAAATCCTATAAAATCAGCACAGAACTCGTATAAAAATCAGCCAGGTCGCATTGAGGACTACACCACCGGTCATTCGTCAGTTTCCGAAAAGGAAAAGAAGGAGGTAAGTGCCCAGACTCATAGCAATACTCCCGCTACTTCACCAGTGTGACCGATTCTGTGTTTGCAACTTGAAAGAGATAGATTGGTCACACTGTTCATCACTGCTAGGATGTCCTAATCATCAACATTATGTTAATTCGCTGAAACCTCATAGAACCAAAGCTTTCGCAGCTAAACCTCACCTTAAAGTATAAAAAGCAATGGCCTAATACACCTACCATCCTCCACCACCGTCATTATAACGCCCCACATCCAAAATCGTGCACCACTGTCACCTCTCATGATACACATTCAATCATAAGATCGCGTAAAATGTATTAACTCACAGCAATTATTCTATTCACAATTCTAGTGGTGGGACGAAGTGATGGACATCTTTAACGGGGTATGATCTCTACTATATACTACTAGTTTTAGTCTTAGTTTATTTACCTTCCGATTGAGTTACTCTCGACTGAGTTTTCCGTTACCTAACGTGAATTAAACCTTTTCCAACTATCTGCTTACCGTTGTATCTTTCCCTGCCTACCATTCAAAAATGCCTTCAAAAATGCCTGATCCACATCCTTCGCAAAGTGGCTTAGGGAGCATACGCGCATTCCGCGTATTATCATAGAGTTTGTCGATGATTTCGACGGAATCGGAGTAAGTTTCCCCCGACAGAACACCCATCAGTCTGAGCGAGGCAGGAATCATTGCAAAAGGCACCAGAACTACTAATTAAAGCCACTGAATAAAATGTTAAAATAATTGTTGTATTTAGGAGTTAATTTACCTTTTCTTCGTTTTTGATAGAATCTTGAACAATCGAAGCTATCACCTTTGTACACCGAAGGTAACTTGTCCAGGTAAGTTCACAGGATCCATTGGGGTTTCTTTATTCTAATCCCTATATCATTCCAGAGCTCTGGCTAAGGAATCTGGCTATACCAGTGACTCGAACCTAGTCTTCCGCAAGAAGGAGCTTCCAGTGAGCAGTCCTTTGAGTCCCGTGGAACAAAGGCAGGCCTATAAGAGTCTCCAGGCAGGCGGAGAACCTCCACTGCTCGGCTTCCGCAAGCCAGCCCCCGAGAAGCCCCGTGGTGAGTTCACTTTCACTCTTAGTGTTCCAGGATAGTTGCCACTGTTGAGCAGTAATATCTAGAAATCTAATGACTAACTTAGTTGTAAGACGCTGGGCTATTCTACTCACTAATCCTGCAAACGGTGTTGGTTCCAAGGTCTCTATCTTTCCTACACTCAAGCTATCTAAAATGGTAAAATCTAGCCACTTGTTGCCCCAGTTTCGTTGCCTCTCACCCACCCTCTCTCACTGATCACACGAAGTTGTTTTTGTCCGCCCACAAGGATGTGGGTGCCACCCAAAGCACCACCGTTAACGGCACTGGCACAGGCACCTCTTAAAACCACGACCAGACGATGCCTAATCTCCAAAACGATTTATTGCCTTCCTCCAAAGAAATCGTGGAGGAGTTCGAATTCATACAGATCACTCCCACGCTCACAAAGATTCGAGTGAGCACCAAGGAGCTGGAAGAGGAAGAACCAGTAAAGCCCTCAGCCCCACCCCCACCACCGCCACCACCGCCGCCGCCACCACCTCCGACCCACACTCAAAGCTTGCCAGGAAGGAAAAGCCAGAAGCCGACGAAGATGTTCTCGCAGATTTCGAAGAATCTGCCCTCGTTTATACCGCTGAGCAAGAAGCAGCAGGCGCCGCAGGATGAGCCTCCGCCAAGGCCGCCCCACCGAAAGTCCAGCTGCACCAAGAGCACTGTCCGAGTGCTCAGTTCCGCCTCCAAGTCCAGGCACGAGCAGTGCTTCCAGCCGCCGAACGGCCCGGCTACTGGAGTGTCCACCATCACTCTGAGGAAAGTGGCCACCTCGAGCTGTTCCCGGCGGGAGCCCATCTGTCGCTCCAAGTCCGTCGGGGCTGTGTCCACGCTGCTGCAGACTCTCACGGCCACCAAGGAGACAAGGCTGACCCGCCGGGTGCAACAACAGCAGCAGCAGTCCCGCCTGAGGTCAGCCAGTCCCAGTCGTCGGCCTGCTCGCCTCCTGGCACTGCGTCAGTCCAGCCGCAGTCCTGTGGCCTTTGGCCGAAGCATCTCCAAGGAGCGGAGCTTTGCCGAAGAGAAGAAGCGCCTGGAGAATACCTTGCCAGCCAGCCGCACCAACTTCGAGGCCAGCACGAATATACTCCGGGATCCCTCGCTGAAATCTCCCCAAGAAGTGAAGGAGGCAGTGCGTTCCTATGCCACTTCGCGCAGCAAGTCGCTTCCGAGACTCCGTCCCACTGTCAGTACAGTGAGCACTACCACGCGACAGACCATGTGCTTCCCGCAAGTGCGGCCACAAACGTTGCTGGCTTGTGGAAGCCGCTCGCTGAAGAAGTCGTCTTCCAAGAACGCCAAGGGTCAGGCCAAAACCGGCTCCAATGACAGCCTGCCGCGCAGCAACTCCACCTTCTCCATTGACTCGATCGTGCACCAGGAGTACGTTCCCATTGCCCCGCCCAAGACCTATGTGGGTAAATCCAGGGGCACTGGGGGCTCCAAGGCTCTGGTGCCGCTTCAGAGCAGTCGCAGCGAAGGACACGTTCCCAGGAAGCGTCAGCAAGGGAAGTCAGCCACCAAGCCAGCACCACCACCACCACTTACGGTTCACTCGTACAGCGAGTCGGTGCGGGAGAAGACCAACTTCTGGAACGACTACAATGCCAAGCAGGCCATGTCCCTGCCGCAGGAGTACAAGTTCTGCTCAGAGGATGTCTGCGACTTCTCGGCTCCCCCGCCGCAGCCGTGCATCGAGGATCTGGTGTGGAAGTACGAGGGCAATGACCAGCACCGTCCTCCCAAGCAAGTGGCTGTGACGGACATTGCCCGTCCCCTGTCGCCGCAGCTGAGTCAGGAGCGCCGCTTCTCACCCACTCGGGAGGTGAGGGTGCCCCAAATCAACCGGGAGGTGCGCTCCCCATCGCGCCGTCGTATAGATAGCCTGCGGTCCAAGGAGAAGGATCAGTCCCTGGCCCGGGCTAGCAGCCTGAGCAGTGCCGACGACCGTGGCCGGAAGTCGACTCCAGCCCCCTCTCAGGGTCTCTATCTGTGCGGAGAACTGGCCCACAGCGCCACTTCCCTGACCCACCTGGAGCGCCACAGCCCCAGCTGCCGGTATCGCAACAACTGTGAGCGTTTCACCGAACTAAACCGATTCTACAGCACCCTGGAGCGAGTGGGGCAGCTGGAGAGGGCCACCTCCTCCAGCAGCTTCCATCCACTGCGCAAGGATGCCGAGCTCCTGGACTTCGATGAGTGGCGCAAGGTGAGGCTGCATGAACGAGCCGAGAAGGAGCTGCATTACCTGGTGGGCAAGCTGCAGGATGACCAGAAGCAAAGGGATCTTCACTTTCGGTCCAAGGACGTGGAAGCCATCAAGTGGCGCCAGGACGCAGATCAAGCCCTGTGCACCAAAAAGAAATCCGTTGAGGATCTGCGGGACAACTTCGAGCAGTTGAACTTGCTCCGGCAGCAACAGCAGTTCGAATCCGAGCCCGTTCATCGCCACTGGAGGCGCAACACGGTGGCCGACCTGGCCAGTAGTCTGGAGCACCGCGTGGAGGTAGAACCCGAAATGGATCGCCATTTGGACAACGACCTAGTAAGCACCTTGTCCAAGGATCAGATCAAGAAGATCACCCAGCAACTAAACGAGATTTACTCCGGCAACCGCCAGATTCCCGCCGTCGAGGAGCAGTACGTGGTCACTGTGGAGAAGGGTACTCGCCCAAATGGCCTAAAAGTCCGCTGCAACTCGAGCATCTCCAAGGACCAGCTCCTCGGATCGGTTCAGCGTAAGAGGGAGGAACAGCAAGTCAACCAGACGCTGCCCCGTGCCACCCGGAGTCAGTCGCCTGTGGTGGTGGCCAGGGAGACTCGTGGCGCCATTGCGGCCAAGAACGCGGAGTTGACACTCACGAAGCCGCCAGAAGTGCCTCCCCGGCCAAAACCCACGCCCAGCCAGGAGGTGAAAGCCAAGCCGCCACCCAAGGAAGAAGCCAAAGAGGATTCTCGTGAGGCCACGGAAAACATCAACCAGAAGATACAGTATTTCGAGGATCGCCAGTTCGATGAACCACCAAAGACCATTTACCACGCTCGCGAGGACTCCTCTCCGGACGAGGCGGAGGTCATGCGACTCATCGAGCACAACATGCAGGAGCGGCAGAGGGCTAAAGGACAGACCTGCCTGCAGCACCAGGAGCTGAGCAACTCTCTGACCGATCTTAGCGGGGTGTTCGGCGAACGACCTGCCGCCCGGGTAAATTTTCACTTGCACAGCCCACCCGAGCGCCCGCCCGACGATACGGAACTTATCAGCTTTGGGAACGGTTCTCCGGATCCCGCAGACGCCAGTCTTGAGCTCTACTCGGACTCGTACTACCGTTCGAGGAGCTTGTCGCCCCAAAGCCAGGTCTCCGCCTGCTCCAGCTCCTACTTGCAGAGGGTCTACACCGGGGAAGTGCGGAAAATGCGCCAGCACTTCGAGAGCATCCACCAGTCCGGCGAACAGTCCCGGGAGCAGTCCTCAGAACGGCGGGATTTTTTTGGGCTTAGCTCGCTGCGGAGGGCGCGCAGCGATCCCGAAGTGAATGCGGGATCCAAAGACGCCCCGGACACCGCTTCGGAGGCGGTGTCGAAGGTGCAGGCCACCGAGTCTGGTGGTGGTGTGCCCCGACTGACCCACAAGTTCGAGGTACGAGGCGCCACGCCATCGCCCGAGCGCGGAAGGCGGCGTCAGAGGAGCGCCCAGGATCGTCTGATGCCTCACATCGATATCATTAGCAAGACGGCGGCCTTGAAGCGGGAGCTCCTGCCTCGGAGCAGCCCCACCCGGAGCCTGAGCACCGGCAGCCAGTGTGTTGAGCGCTTGAGGATGCGCTACGAATCGCCGGAGCTGCAGACCCACAGCTACCTGTCCACCTCGCACCCGGACATGCGGGATGTGCACGTCATCTCGCCGCACCTGAGTGCCGACTGGGTGGCCCACCGCCACCCACAACCCTCGAAGCCCAAGCCTCAGCTGCCCAAAAAGCCCCAAAGGGAGGTGGTCCAAAGAGCCAGCTCCACCTCGCCGCCACGACCGGCCAGGTCGCAGAGCCACCGCCTCAGTTCCCGGCTCACCAGCTGCATGAAGGACATCTTCGCCAACCAGAAGTTCGATCCCAGCAAGCATCGTCCCAAGGCTCGGTACGTTCCTGACGAAGCGGAGACCAGCAAGAAGAAACCGGATGGTGCTGTCAAGGAAAAGAGCCAGCCCAATGGCAATGGCACCCTGGAACGTCTCAAGAAGACCATGGCAGTGACTTTTAAAGGTGACTAGAAACAAAAACCATAACTTTCAGATGAGACAGTGAGAGGGAGGATGATTAGGGGCATGAGGTAAGGGAACTGGGGCAACTCTTAAGTAATCCCTTAGCCATTTGCTTCGTTGGTCGCCTGAACTCGTAGAGTTACTTAGCTGCTTCTGTTTTCATTGGGTTTAACTCCCTAATTGGTTTAACACTCGAAATTATCCCTTTACTCGTCTATTATCTGTAATCGTTGGCGCAGATCTCGACCCGAATGCGCCTCCTATTCCCCCCCAGCCGCCAGTCAAGGGTCTCTCCACCTACGATATCCCGTACAACTCTGACACCGTCGACGGAACAGGTGAGTGACGAAGATTCCGGGGGTTTCCTGGACGGGAATTGAATGCCAGCTTGTCAAGGGGTTACCTAAAAGTATTTTGCGATTATAATATGTAAATTTTTGGGAGAATCTTATATAATATCTATAGGGTTGATATCCTCTAGCTGAAAAACACCCTCTATCATCGTAGATTAATTATAATAATATTATAGTACATATAATGAGCTTAGTATAAGTGGTTCTACCCCCTTTGGGAACTGGTAACTCCGCCCCTGGGGACACTGCCATACGTTGACCTTTCCTAAAAGCGTTTTTACTACCGCTACGGCATAGAATTTCCGCAATTGGTGCAATTTCGCTTTGAAGGTGCGCCGTGACCAAATTAATCGATATCCTCAATGAAAACGCCGGCCACGCGGACGCTCTGACCCGCTTAGTCGGTCCGACCCACCACCCACCACCTACCTGTCCACCTGCCCCGAAAGTGGTGCTGTTAGTGTGCTGCTACTGTTATTGCCGCCAGTGGGGTGGCTCACCTTGCCGGTGTGCGCGTTGCCATGGCCAAGACGGTGCCGTCAACAAAACAAACAGCCACTGGAAGTGGGCTCTGGAATACTCGCGGCACTTGTCGCGGCCGTTAGTCAGTTTCACTTTTCCGTGCCAAAAAAACGCGTCGCTCGGAAAAAGCTCGTCCGCCGGAATTAAATGCCCCGCAACCGGGTTCTGACGGCTTACGCAACTGTGTGTGGGTAGCGGTAGCGCGATGATCCACCAAACCCTGGCACCACACCGCACCCAATCCTCCAGCTACTCCAAGAACAAGGCGGTCCACTGGCGAACGAAATTGCATCGCAGTTGCAATGACCTGGACGCGGACGACAAGCTGGAGGACTCGCAAAACTGGTGGCGCAGCTCCGAGGTTAATCACAATCCCTGGCAACGACCGCAGAGTAGTGGTGGCGACACTGCCATCCCCTACCAGAGCGACAACAACAACAGTGTCCAAATCCGTCCCCGCAACAATGTGGTGTTGCATCAGGAAAACGGTGTTTGTGATGTACCCAACTGCGGGAAAATCCTGTGGATACATCGCCAGGGATACGATTACTCCAGACCTTCCGCCCCACTGAGGCCTCCGCCTCCGCCCCAGTATCAGAGCGGTGCGGTGGGTTACCACGTGGTGGGTCTGCCCCACACCCCGCAGCCCAATCAGCGGCAGGCTTACCTGGCCAACCAGCGGGCAATCGGAGCTTCCATGCCCCTGCTCCTGTGGCAGCAACAGCAGCAGCAACAGTATCTGCCACAGCAGCATTTACGGCAATGGCCAGAGAGTTAGTATTTTAATAACTAAAGGGTTTATAAAAAATATTAAAGTGACTTGCTAGTCACTGAGTGAGATAAAAGAAAGCCAAACGATCGATTGAACCCCCTTTCTTCCATTCACCCGCCCAGCTGGCTGTGCACTTTCTCATTTGACTAAAGCGACCTTCCTGCTTTGCACTTTCTCACGGCTTTTCTTTTGCAAAAAAAAGTAAAAACTCGTTATCACCTGGGCTGCCAGAGATTGCAACAGAGCTGAAGAGAGGCGTCCAGCCAGGCACACGCTGCTCACCAGCTTTTCGCCACGCTCCTCACGTTTCAGTGATAAAAGCTGGAGACTGTGTGAGTAAGTGCGATAAAAGCTCCTCTCTGGGAAAGATCGAGATGGGGAAAGATACAGTGGGTGGAGGAAAAAAAATCCATTGAAAATATATAAAAAATTAAAGAACTATATCTTAATTAGAGCTAATTTTCAACCCTAAAAGATACTAAATATAATCATAACTGTAAGGCCCCATTATTTTTCATATTTTATCCCACTGTTGCTGTCTCCATACTCCCCGTAGAAACAACAACAGTATCTTGGAAACGTGAGTCGGCGCCGGTAAAAAAAAATAATAAAAACGGAACTTGTAGTAAGCGCCACTATCTTTGGAGATTACTCACCAAAAAAAGACTCTGACGTCGGCGGCGAAGCTTCGTCTTCTGGCCTCTCTCTCTCTCTAAGCTCTCCCATTCATTCCTTTCGCTCTCGGTGCCCCCCCCCCTAGTAGTGGTTTCTCTTTCTTTCGGCTGCTTCGAGGAGCCCCCCATATTGGGGGCCCCATTCAGTTTCGATTTCGGTTTCAGTTTAGCGCAACGCGAGCAACGGTAAAGTCGGGCGCAAAGTCCCTCCCCCTTGTCACGTCCTTGTCTTTCTTCTGGAAAGAGACTCAAGTGAAGCGTGAAGCGGTTGTTGTTGTTTCCAAGAGGCTTTATCAGAAGAAGAACCCAACCTTCGAATTCAATTCTGAATTCTGATCGATTGTTGTGACTAATGAGAGGCCAGAAAGGAAAACTTTATTGAGCGTGAAAAGTTGGGAAAGGCCTTGAGAAAATTATGTTTATTTTTAAAGTGAAAAAAGGAAATGGCTAATGGTTTTCTAAGGAAACCTATCTATTTCCTTTCCTAGAACTGGACTATGTATGTTCTTAAATAAAATTACTCACAACCCCACTCATACTCCAAATATTTGAGCAATCTCGATCTTCGGGTTGACTTTCAACTGATAACCCCAATTAACCAGTGTGGCTAATGTGGCCAATACGGCTCTGATTTTCCTCCATAGAAGGCACTTTCAAATGCTCGCAAAAATGTGCCGCAGCGAATCAGTGAAAGTGAAAATCCCCCGAGTGTCAATTAAACCTCTCTTTCCATTTCTCCGCTTGGCGTTAACAGCACGTACAAAGCGGTTGTTAATTGTTGTTGTCCGAGAGACAAAGCACTGCGGCTCATGTGGTATTTGCGGCACACAAATATTTGTGCAGCTGCCCCCCCATTCCACAGCGCACCTTCCTAGGTTTTCCCCTTGAGATTTCCCCCCGAATCGGGGTCAATTGAAGTTGAATTATCTTTTTATCAGCTTTATAGCCCGCTGCGCAGTTCCATTAAGGCATCAATTGAATCGAGTGGAGCACTTGGAAGGCAGTCGTATTAATATATTCCTGAAATGCGAGTAATTCGCAAGCAAATAGGGAAGCTCTTATCACGAGGTCATTCGGCTTATTAGAGTTCTCTATCTCCTGATCTCCATATCTCTGGAGTCGGTTCAGACCCCAATTAACGAGAACATTAACTTCAATTGCTGCTGAGAGAGAGCTGCTTAATTCAATTTGAGATTGTACCTTGTAGGGCCTAGGTGGACGGGGTTGTTTATTTGCCTACCAATTGGCAGACAGATATGTACGGCCGCACCCGACTCAGATAAGCCAGTGTTTCATAACAGAAGCGGCGGCAGTAACAACGATTTGCGGTCGGATCGTCTTACGTCTCAGACAACGACATCAACTAGCTATTTTTAGGGTAGAAAGGGGGCTACACCAGAAAAAAAAGGTTCTAAGACCAAGGTCTAGTCTTTAGATAGAAGGTCTATAACTTAGTTAGTAAGGATTCAGAGGGATCAACGCCTCCATAGCTGCTGCATCTACGCTTGAGCTTGAGCCTGAAACGCTTTTGTGCTTTGTGCCTCTTATCTGAACAGAGTCTCCCAATCGTTACTATGCCACAGACGTGAACATCCACTTCAAGACCCCGATCAGGCATGAGCAGCGCCAGAACATACCGGAGGACGAACTAGCCATACGCCAAGCGGAGCACATGCAAAAGCTCTACCAGGAGGAGCGTCGTCGCAAGTATCTACAGGAGTTGCAGGACATGAATTCGCGACGCCACACGGACAACTTTACGCCCTCCCAGAAGTCGCCCATCGCCCTCAATCGCTACGATGACTTCCCCACGGACGTGACCCTCAAGTCACTGGTGGGCCCCAAGACAGTGGCCCGGGCCCTATTCAACTTCCAGGGACAGAGCTCCAAGTAAGCTAAAGATACACCATTTGATAGGAATTCTTGGTAACTTCATATTTTGTTTTGTAGGGAGCTCTCCTTCCGCAAGGGTGACACTATCTACATCAGGCGACAGATCGATCCGAACTGGTACGAGGGCGAACACAATGCCATGATTGGCCTGCTGCCAGTTAGCTATGTCGAGGTGAGTGATAAGCTCGAAGTCAGTCTGTAGATTCCACATTTAATCCAATTGATATTCCATTATTTACAGGTTGTCAGCCGCGATGGAGCCCGCACCCCCTCCAAGAGGCCATCGGAGGGCCAAGCCCGTGCCAAATACAACTTCCAGGCACAGTCCGGCATCGAACTCTCCCTGAACAAGGGTGAGCTGGTGACACTGACGCGCCGAGTGGACGGAAACTGGTTCGAGGGCAAGATAGCCAACAGGAAGGGCATCTTCCCCGTCTCCTATGTGGAGGTGAGTCCCCTATTTCTAATGGAACAAGAACTTTAGCTAATCCCGCTTATATCGACAGGTACTCACGGACATTGGAGCTGAGGACATTGCGGCAAGGACGACCGTGATCAGCAGCCAAAGCACCACCAACCTGCGACCCACTCTGGACGCGCTGCGCACAAACATCAACAATGAGTTCAACACCCTTACGCAAAACGGATCCCAGCCACCAAATGGCATCCTCAAGGAGACGCGAACGCTGCAGAAGACGGATGCCCTCCACGTGGACACCAGTTCCGAGCCATTGGCGTAAGTACCCCCTTTCTTTTATTGAGAAACCTTCTTTAATTTCCGGAGTATTCCCTTTTAGGTACCGCGCCCTGTACAAGTACCGGCCCCAGAACTCGGACGAGCTGGAGCTGCTCGAGGGCGATGTGGTCCATGTGCTGGAGAAGTGCGACGATGGATGGTTTGTGGGCACCTCGCAGCGCACCGGCTGCTTCGGCACATTCCCCGGCAACTACGTGGAACGGGCCTAGAGGAGATGACCGGGAATCCTGTCCCCGGGCCGGAGGTCATGTCTCTAATCTTAATGAATTTTTGTAGTCTAATGCGATGAGGAGGACCGTGGCCGGGGCGAAGGCAGGCTCTAAGATTAACTCTGATTTGGTTTAACTGGATTATTTTATGTTGTTGTTGAATAATTCTTATCCCGCTAATTCTGATGCTTTCGTTTGCCGTAATTTAAAGCTATTTATTTATTTTTAAACAGAGCATTAATTATATCAATGTTGGAATTACGTTTATTTATGAAGTGCAAATATTAACCAGACGTTGTACCCTCCACTGTCCCCCACTCCGACACCCCATTCACCAACGCCCTCACACACACACACACACACACACCAAATATCGAAGAAACTAAATTAAGATCATACTTATATATGGTATATATTTTGTCGTTTACCTACTAATTTTAACTAGTCACAGCTAATTTCCAAAAAGAGAATCAAACTATGAGAAGCAAGCAGAGACCGTTGAACTAAAGTGCCTTAAAGTTGAAATTTTAATGACTAAAATTAAAAAAAAAAATTAAATAAAATAAAAAATCAAGTGCTAAGAACCAAGTGCCCCTGTTGAGTCGGCGAAATGGATATTTATTATTGATAATTAATATTTATGATGATATTGTCGAGTCCGAACCAACAGAAACCATTTTATAATCATTAAAAGCGTTTATTACACAGACACTGTTGCAAGCGTATTTAGTAAATAAAGATGAAACTAAAAAACAAATAATGAATTATTCTTTTTGGGTTTATAAACAAAGCTGTTCCAAAGGTAGGTTCTTCAATTAAAACAATAGCTTATAGATATATTCTTTAAATATAAAAGCTCTATCTTTTACCTTCCATTTTGGTGTAGTTTACAACTAATTCGTGACTTAAATCAACATTTCCCTCTTTAACATTAACCATAGCTATAGCTCCGCGAATAAATTATTCCAAGACCATCACGTTTGCTCCATTTTCCGTTTCCTCTCCTGCTTCAGCTCCCGCTTTACAGCCCGCTGCTCCAACTCCTCCGTGTACTCGGCGTACATGGCCAGCAGGGCGGGGTACAGCTTGTGGTAGTGCTGCAGATCGTCGACGGTCACCTGCATGTTGTCGAAGGCAATGGCCACCTGCTTCATGTCCTCGGCATCCGGCAGCCTCGGGCACTTGGCGTAGCGCTGCGAAAAGTGGGTGAGAATGGTGTGCCGGGCGTTCATGTTGCGGCCCTGCTGAATCGCCTGCGAGACTGTGCTGTGCGTCTTGACTCGCGCCTCCTCCTCCAGGTCGTCTTCCATTGTGGCTTCGTGGATTAGCACCGTGGAATTGCGACCCAGCTCGATGAGGTCCAGGCAGGGCATCGTGTCGCCGCTGTAGGTGATCTTTATGGGTTCACCTTCATGCTGGGCCGCCAAGGTGAGACTGATGCCAAAGGAGTTGGGACAGTGCCGCACCAGACAGGTGCCTATAGCGGTGATACCCAGGGGCTCCACCTTCTCGCCGGTCAGAGGACTTTCCAGCAGTTCTCCATTGCCCACCAGGTTGTACGAGTCCTCAATGGGCTCGATCTGGCGGTTGTAGAACTCCAGCCATGGTTCGATCTGCCGCGGGGCCAGCAGAATCAGGGGATCGACCTTCTGCTTCAGCTTCCTTCTTTCCCGGAGGAGGCCGATCAGACCAATGTGATGGTCGGCATGCAGATGGGATACATAAATGGCTTGGAGTTGAGCGAGAACTGTTTCCGCTTTGCTTCTGCCGTAAAGCCTCACAATCTGGCCAAAGGTCCCTTCGCCACAGTCCAGCAAGACGTAGGCTTCGGCCGCAGTCTGAACTAGAATGGAGCTAACGTTGCGGGTCTTGTTGGGAATACATGACCCTGTTCCGAGAAAGATTATTTTTGGATAGCTGTTGGCCGAGCTGGCCGGAAAGGAGTACTCCTCTTTGAACTTTGCGAGCAGTTCCGTGAAGCCTGGAACAGCATGGGTCTCCTTGACGTACTCTTCGGGCGTGAGCTTGGCTTCGAGGGTGCGATCTAGACCTAGTGGGAAGAATAATAGTTCATATCAGTAGATAACAGACTTTTCATCAATACCAACCTTTTTTTGGCCTCAAGTGGAAACTGGTCATGGACACAACACCCTGTTCGGCACTATCGTCATTCGATGGCTTCTCCTGCTCCTCCTCTTCTGGATCTTTCTCGTCTAGCTTGGTTTTCTTCAGGTTCTGGCTGAGGTTTTGACTCTGACACGGCAACTGTTCGTTCAGTAGCGGAAACACCTGGGGAGCCAGTTGATGGAGCTGATGCTGGATGCGATGGGCAGCAGCATATCCTGAGAACTGATTGTTCGGGGAGCCGAGGTAAATGTGCTGTGTGTCCGTCGAGAAGTTCTGGGCCACAAAATCCTTGTAGTCTGTGCGTGACGCTATCAGCTCAGGTGTAAAATGAACCACTAAGGCTACCTCTGTGAGTTTCTGGTCTCCAAGTTCTTTAATGCGTTTCGCTTGAGCCAGGAGTCCTGCCACATAATCCTCCGAGGGCACGTCCAGGAAAACAAACGAGAGGTGCGTTTCACTGGCCTCGGTGACATCCGCCGAGCGTACCACAGTTCCATTCGGCAGTGTGATATCCTGGCCGTTCTTCAGCTTTCCCAGCAGTGGACCCGGCGGCACTCCCTGCTCCACGCACTTTACCAGGTTGAGAGCTCCCGGTCGCGGCTTCAGTTGGCAAATGTAGTTGACAACGCTCTTGTCGGGATCCACCGAGCTGAACAGAGGCAGGGAATCCACCTTTAAGATGGAGTCCTCGAAGCTCCCGCCCTCGGAGCAGTCAATTGTCTGCATCTGAAGGTTCTTCAGCACCACAAAGCGCCGCATGGACTGTAGCATCGTACTGAGGTGTGGGGGCCCGTGGAGTCCAACGTTTCTCACACCAGCATCCTGGATTGTAAGCGCCAGTCCTGGCAGTCCACCCACAGCAGCCCACGTGTTGCGGGTAACGAAGATCTGCTCTAGTCGGGACAGGCGAGTCTTGTGCTCGTGAGCCAATCTCTGAGTTCCTTCTCCGCAGTTGAAGAGGTAGCGTGCCTGATCCGTAAACATGTAAACGGCGGCGGGTGCCCCGTTGGCCCCGGCACCGAGCACTTGGAGATTCACAGAGCCGGGAACCACGGAGGCCAGCTTCTTGCGCAGCACATTGGGTTCACGCTCATATCGGGGGCCTGTCAGGGGATCCGTGGCGGAGGCTATAGTGGCCGCCACCGAGCTGCTCATCTTGAAAGTTCGAATAGTTCCATAAAGCGGCCAACACCTCGATTTCACCACAAACATTCGTACTCAGTCAACGGCGCGGTCCTCACGTTTCGCTTAACAGCTGTTGCTTCTAAAGATGGCCAGTTCCAGAAACTTATCGATATATTTAATATTTCAAAAATGAAATACCTTTTTTAAAAACTAATATTTATTTCTTACTAAGTTTTTGGGAACCTTTTCCTATTATTAATATTTAAAATAATGAGAAACACTTAATTCTTTTATTCTTAAAGCAACATCTTTCTTTGTTTTCCAACACTGTTTCTGTGGTGTTTTTCCCCTTGGACTGGCCACACTTATGCCCACGTGCGTTTTGTTTAGCTATTGCCGGGCTCTGTATTTAATCGCTTTTCATTGAATTTATTTTAATTTTCGTGCATTCAGCAGACTAGAGGACAAGTAGACATGGTGTTCTTTACATGCAACATTTGCGGCGAGTCGGTTAAGAAGCCGGCGGTGGAGAAACACTACCAGACTCGCTGCCGAGGAAAAGACAAGAGCGTATCCTGCATGGATTGCCTTAAGGACTTCTACGGCGAGGAGTATGCAGACCACACAAAGTGCATCTCGGAGGCCCAGAAGTACGCCAGCCAGAGCCAGGGGTTTGTGGCCAAGGAGCCGCGCAACAAGAACGCCCAGAAGCAGGACAGCTGGATGGACTCCATTCGTGCGATCCTGGACAGCAGCGAGTACCAGCTGACTCCCGCCCTGCGCGCCGCCTTCCAGAAGCTCCAGAGCGTGGACAATGTGCCGCGCAAGAAGGCCAAGTTTGAGAACTTTGTTGGCAACTGCATGCGACTCCCACGACACCAGGCCACCGAGGTGTGGGACATCCTCGAGAAGGAGCTCAACAAACTGAAGGTGGCCAAGCAAGCTGAACTGGCCAGAATTAAGGCTGAAAGGGAGGCAGCGGTGAAGCAGAAGAAAGAGTCTGAGGAGGCGCCGCCCACGAAGAAAGCCAAAGTGGAAGAAGCTCCCGAAGAAGCCACCAATGGCACTGCCAGCAGCGATTTTGATTGGCTTTCACAGCTCACCAAGATTGTGTCAAAGCAGTCCGAGGGCATATTTGTGGAGAAGCTGCGGAAGAAGATTCTCAAAAAGTATACCAAGCACCTGGCTGTGGAGGAGCTGAGCGAAAAGCAAGCTAAGAAATTCACCAAGCGCTTCGACAAGCAGCTAAATCAAGCTGAATCCCTGGTAGTGGAGGGCGATCTGGTCAAGGCATCCAGCTAGCAAAGTATCTCCCTTAGACGTAGTTAAGTTATAGCAAAGTACAATAAAAATGTAAGCTGCAAGTGCTGTGTATTTTCGTGTGATTATTGTATCTCTCTAGGCCTTGTACTTGAGGTACTGCATACACTGCTTCAAATAGTTTCTGGTCTCTTTGCAAGCGGCCGTTTGTTGGAATTTCTTAGCTGGGCAGTTGAGGATCATCTCGTTGGCCACGCACTCGAAAACCAAGCCAGGATACGGATGACAGCCGTAGGAGGAAAGGCGCTTAGCCAGCTTCTTGACACCCGAGTGCGGCAAGAGGGAAAGGGCTGCAAAGAAACCCTTCCTAGGTGTTTGATACTTCAGTTGTATATATAAGTCTCCTACCATGTTTGTCGCACTTGATGTAGGTAGCATAAAGTAGATCCACATCTGCATCGTTGACCAGGTAGGATTCCAAGTGATTCTTCACCAGACGGAGTCTGAGAGACTGACGGGTCTTGCCCAGAATCTCGGTGCTGTTAAAGGTGCATTCTGCAGTGCACTGACAATTGAATTGGTTATCCAAGGTTTGAGTCTATTGAAAACCTAAACTCACAAACATATAGCTCTGTTCTTCCTCATCCGTGGAGTACTGGATCTTGTCATGCCACTCTCTCTGGCAGTCGGTGAACTGTGGGCCCTCTTCGTGAAGGTCACAGCAGAAATCGTGCTAAAATACACAGGATTTTATTTTAATTAGTGCAATATAACCCAAATACCTCTTCTGCTGAAATAGTAGTAGAATAGTAGTATCTCTGTCAAAACTAACAGTATGTTAAGGCCCTGTTGGCAACACCATTACTATAACAGAGTTTAGACCACACACTGTTATGTCCTGTGGTTTTTAGAACAAAATGGTTTCCTCGTAAAAAAAAACATTAAACTTAAAATAAAAAGCAATTTTTATTCAAAATTTGGAAATGTCTGTTACCAAAATCAAGTAATAGCTTCAACTTTTATCATAACTCACCATTGTATCCACCGCATTTAGTTCGCAATCCTCGTCCAGGTCGGAGGAAGTACTTCTGCCCGAAACCCCAAGGGCCAAGACCAGGAAGAAGACTCCATTCCAAAATTTAAACATTGTGAACAGTCTGGGCCCACAATTCAGGGGCTTTATATCGAAATAGCCCCTATGAAAGTGTAATTTTGCGTAACATTTGATGGCTTTTAATTTGAGGCCTAATTTATGTTTTTAATTATTGTGCCCGAAATCGCCCCACCACTGGGAGTAGAGTCAGAGGCGTCTGAAATTGGGATTCGGGTGCAGCGTCATCCTCATGCAGCGTCGTCATCATCATCGTTCCGCTCCAGTTCCTGGAACCCATTGCAGTTCCATTAGCCCGCTGCACTCGAAGATAAATGATGAAAAGGCGCAGGCATCCATCACCGATCAAGCGGCGCATTATCCAAATATAGCAAAAATACGCACCGTGGCACGCACTTTCTTCTGGTCTCTTTCTTCTGGCTTCCAAAACGATCGGGATGCAATGCTTCTACTCACATCAAATGCATGCGGAAGCATTACTTCATTCCCAGGCAGGCCCATGCCCACTCCCTCTATCCACTCCCTAGCCTCTGTGTTCAGCTGCAACTAATTAACCGAGAAATACATCATAAATAGTCCAACTGCCGGTCCCTCCGCCGACTGCGGCTCTCGTTGCATCTCCATTTCCAGGTCCTCCCACCCCCAGCTCTCCGCCCAGTGCTTCTCCAGCACCCGATCATCATCAGTCAGGGCGCAGACGTTGCGTCGCTCCCTCAGAAGTCAGAAGTTACCCATTTGTTTATTTTCGACTCGCCCCCACCCCGCCAAGGAAAGGGATTGGTGTGGATCAGAGATGCCTAAATAGTTTTATAAGAATATATATATTTTTAAAGTTTTCTTTAAATTAAAAAGATATTAAAGAAAAGGTATAATACATTTTTTATTTTAAAAATCTTTAAAAACAAAATATTCTAGAGCAAGGTCACTTAATCTTAAAGATTATATGAGAATATCTTAAATAATCCTCCTAAAAACCGATTAAGAAAGTCATTTTGGCACCACTATTTTTTTGGGGCAAGACATTAGGAATGGGTGTGGATATGCGTGTGGATACGGATGTGTCTGTGTGGTAGGTAGCCGTTCTCCACTCCGCCGTGGCGGCGCTTCACGGTGGCATGCAACGGGGAATTTCTGGTCTGGGGGGCAAGAGCAATCAACCGGCACGTGCCCGCCTGAAGTTCAGTTCTCTGGAATTAGAACGCCCGCAACTAACTAGCCGCATCCGTGTTGCCAAGAAGCCAGGCCTAGAAGACTCTGTCCGGATGGGGATTGCAACATCAGAGGTGGCCATCTGTCCGGGAAGTATAATAATGGGCTCAAATATAATATTTTGAATATCATAGTTTTACCAACATCAGAAATTTCTTTATAAGAACCAAAATCCTTTACTTCTAAGACACTTAATATGCCAGTTCAGTTTCATATTATACCAGAAAGCTATGTTAATATGAGGTTATAAATTAAATAGATTTATTTTTGTAATATTCCCACCATAATAAATATTTAAATTATATTTCTATCTTATCTCAATAGTCAGTATCAAAAGTGCTAGACAATTTTAAATAAGTATGAGTCGGATTATTTCCTAAAAACACCTTTAGCTTATATTTTGTGGATGTCAAAAAGTATAAATTCCACGATTACTGCTTTAATTAGTATTTTCAGAACTTTTGATTATTTTCTATTGCTTTGTTGACACCACAGGCAGTGAATTTCGGTGGTAAACATCAACAAAGTTCTGTCATAATTGCTCTTTCCAACCTCCAGATTGCAGTTTGTGGATGCTATTTGTGGGACTGCAATTGCATAGATGTTCGAGTATCTGCCGCCTCCAGAAACACTCTCACTTTCACCCACACACACGCAGATACAGATACACTCACAGATGCAGATACAGATACTCGGATGTAACGGACGGATGGGCACCGAGTCGAAGAGAATCCACAGCGGAGACGACGACCATCAATCGAGAATCAGTTGGCAAGCCGTGCGGTTCGTTCGGTTTCGCTCGCGTGCTTGGGAAAAGCAAAGGAAAAGCACAAGGCAGAAATCAGAGGAAAAGCAGAGGAGCTGGTGCTGTGTCGCCACTTGGAGCGACAGTTCCAAAAAATCTGACAACTATACAAAAAATACCACAAAAGAAAGAACGCACCTATACAGACTACAAACTTTTCGAATAGATAGATAGTGCCACATTTTATTTATAAACCCGCCATATTTTTGGATCAAACTTGAGGCGAAAGCGAAAGTGTTCTAGGAATTCTGTTCTGTGTGTCTTGAGTGCGTCTAGTGTGAAAATGCCTTTGGCGAAATTCTAAGGCCCTCGCGTGTCAAAGTCGAAGAAGTAAACAGATATACGTATTGCCCATCAAAAATAAAGAATACCAGATATATCCCGCCACAATGCCGAGCTTCGGCAGTAAATTCCTTGCCTGCTTGCTCCTCAGCTCGGTGATCCTGGTCAGTGGCCAGTTCGAGCACTATCTGGACAGTTTGCGGGCCAACGAGCTCTACGAGTTCGTGGACGATGGCTCCTCGGGCAGCCTACAGTTCCTGCCCAAGGGCGACAGCGAGAAGATCCTGCTCCAGCTGGAGCAGCCCGTCCACTTCTACGGAGAGCAATACGAGCAGATATATGTGAGTAGCAGTCGAAAACCCCCTTAAATCTAGATTCCCGCCTAGAATACAAAGTATCTCGAAGATTGTGCACTGAATGAATTTCGCGTTTGCAGCTTTCGTGGTGATAAGACAGATGGACGGGCCATCGATCGGCGATAAGCTGCAATCATTATGCAAATATAGTTTCTATTCTATTTGTCCGCATGTCCGCCTATTTCTGGGTTGCCTGCTTTGTTGTGGACGGCGTATTTATAGGCGACATTAATTTTCGGCAAAACATGACAGGTCGGACATCGATTTCCACACACACTCTCGAGTGTCCCAATCCCAAACTATCCGCAGCCACTTGAGGGTGGTCCAAGACCAAAAACTCAACCCATTGATGTCGCTTTTGCCGCCTTGGCCAAGTGCCAGGAGTTCTGAGCAGAAGAATCCCATCATCTCGCCATCTCGCCAGAACACTTTGGGTGTCTCTGGGTGTGAGTGCTTTAGGCACTTGGCAGCCGAAAGTTATGAGTTCTCCGCGTGGAGAGTGTCGCCTATTTTTGAACAACTATGCTTTTTGTTTCTGGCCGTGCCGTGCTCTGTATTTTGTTAGTTAATTAACTGAATTTATGTGTCTGACGTAGAGAAATAGCACGCGGCACAGAATCGCGCCACAGATCGGATACTTCGAGAGCACAATATGTCCATAGAAATCCATAAATTTTATTGAAATTCCTTGCCCCAATGGACGGTGCCCCAAGATGCGAAGAGCTTGGGGTCGAAATTGATGTCGAAACCATTTGAAGATCCCAAAAATAGACCTGTCACACTCACATTCATAATAACGTTTTAATAACCCGACCTGAAAGTCTAAATACTCAGTGATAGCATGTGCATATTTTTTGTTAAATAAATACATATATTATTTTTGATAAGCTAGGCACTCTTCAGAATTAAATTTTTAGCAAGAATTTAAAATCATTAAGAATATAATAAATCCATTGATTTATGTATAACTCATACCATTCCAATTCTAAGCTTTTAAACGAGATAAGAATTGCCTTCTTTGAAGTGGAATCATGACTTGTATTGACCCATTTGCCTATATTTCTGCTTGTGGCAGACAGACTAAAAAAACAATCTTGGAGTGGCTCCTAAGAGCCTTCAATTTGCCCAACAGTTTACCTCAATCAATTATCAATTAATTGATCCAAATATTTAGTAAAATAGGGCTGGGATTATGGCCCTTTCGTTCCCTCTCCCAACCTCAATTGGAAAGGCATTGCGGCATGTGGATCACCCAGTTCATAGAAATCACCTTCCAGGCAGCCGGAATTCAAAGATATTTTTGTGGCGGGTCAAATGCCTTGCCACATGCCGCCTCTTCCTGCGGCGATAAATGCAGCCCATGGTGCTGCCACAAGAATATGCCACTGATTTATGTTGCGGCCTGTCGGCATTCAAAACAAAGCATTTTTCAAACACCTGTGCTCCAATTCCAATTCCGATTTGTTTATTCAGATTGGCGGTTGCACATAGCTGGAGGAGAATGCAACATGCAGCATGCATGCTGCATGCTGTCAGCTAATTATAGACCGATCGGTGAGCGGATGTCGAGGACTCAATTAGTGTCGGCCCTGTGGCAGAACAATTATCCCGAAGGCATCGCAATACAATATACACACGGATATCCCATATCCCAAGATCATTTGCACCCTCGTTAATGGTTTGTTGTTATTTTGTTTCCGCCAAGAGGATTCCCATTCCGGAGCTAAGTGGCCCGTTAGCACTTTACGGGGCGTACCACTGCAGGGCCATATCATTCCACGCCATATGGAGGCCAAGTATTTCCACTTGAAAAGGTCTGATCCACACTTCCTCATTCCTGGTTCCAAACTAAATGATCCATACATAAATTTATAGCAGCGGGGATGCCAAACTTGTAATTTTAATAAAACAGAACTGTTCGAAATACTTTCCGTTTGGGAGAATCCTTAAAGATGAAAAATGTAAAAATTCGGGATCGAAAATTTTGTTCTGAGGTGCAGATTGAAGCAGAATCCCACTACAAATCGTTTAAGGTACTCCTCTCAAGGATCGGATGAAAATTGGCCAAGATATGGACTTGGTTTGGGGCCAACATCGAAATCCCGGGTTTTGCAAGGGGGTCCATCAGAAAAATTTGAAAAATCGGGATCGAAAATTTTGTTTTGAGGTTTTGATGCAGATTGAAGCAGAATCCCACTACAAATCGTTTAAGGTACTCCTTTCAAGGATCGGATGAAAATTGGCCAAGATATGGACTTGGTTTGGGGCCAAAATGGAAATCCCGCATTTTGCATTTTATTTAAAAAAAAAATATGCACATGCTATCACTGAGTATTTAGACTTTCAGAAAAATTCAGAAAAATTTGAAAAATCGGGATCGAAAATTTTGTTTTGAGGTTTTGATGCAGATTGAAGCAGAATCCCACTACAAATCGTTTAAGGTACTCCTCTCAAGGATCGGATGAAAATTGGCAAAGATATGGACTTGGTTTGGGGCCAAAATGGAAATCCCGGATTTTGCAAGGGGGTCCATCAGAAAAATTTGAAAAATCGGGATCGAAAATTTTGTTTTGAGGTTTTGATGCAGATTGAAGCAGAATCCCACTACAAATCGTTTAAGGTACTCCTCTCAAGGATCGGATAAAAATTGGCCAAGATATGGACTTGGTTTGGGGCCAAAATGGAAATTCCGGATTTTGCAAGGGGGTCCATCAGAAAAATTTGAAAAATCGGGATCGAAAATTTTGTTTTGAGGTTTTGATGCAGATTGAAGCAGAATCCCACTACAAATCGTTTAAGGTACTCCTCTCAAGGATCGGATAAAAATTGGCCAAGATATGGACTTGGTTTGGGGCCAAAATGGAAATTCCGGATTTTGCAAGGGGGTCCATCAGAAAAATTTGAAAAATCGGGATCGAAAATTTTGTTTTGAGGTTTTGATGCAGATTGAAGCAGAATCCCACTACAAATCGTTTAAGGTACTCCTCTCAAGGATCGGATGAAAATTGGCCAAGATATGGACTTGGTTTGGGGCCAAAATGGAAATCCCGGGTTTTGCAAGGGGGTCCATCAGAAAAATTTGAAAAATCGGGATCAAAAATTTTGTTTTGAGGTTTTGATGCAGATTGAAGCAGAATCCCTCTACAAGTCGTTTAAGGTACTCCTCTCAAGGATCGGATGAAAATTGGCCAAGATATGGACTTGGGTTGGAGGGACATTGTGCTGATCTCTTTTCATTTTGGACAAATATTATACCTTCTTAGGGTTCTATGTTGTACTTTGTCATAAAATGTGAATAATGATCACTAATAACGCCTCTCTTCTTTGAAAAAAATCAATAATAAAATATTGCGTTACTTTTCAGATAAATACCAATGGTATCCTGACATTCAATGCGGAGTTCACGGACTATCTGAACCAGCCCTTCCCGCTGGAGTATCCCTCGATAGCCGCCTTCTACTCCAATGTGGATACCTCTAATAGTGACGACTTTACATCCATTTCGCTCTTTGAGACCAAGGAGCAATCCACCCTGGAAAAGGCCTCCTCGCTGGTTCGGTATGCTTTCAGCAGCCAGCAGGAGTTCGAGGCCCGCCAGGTGATCGTGGCAACGTGGCGCAATGTGGGCTACTTCGACTCCAAGACGGATCGTCTGAACACCTTCCAGGTGGCCCTCCTTCTCGGAGAGCAGCAGACCTTCGTGCAATTCATTTACCCGGAGGGCGGCCTCAACTGGTTGCAGGGCGAGTCCGCCGCCCGTGGTCTTCCAGATATCCGTGCCCAGGCCGGGTTTGTTGCCGAGGACGGTCGTTACTATAATCTGAATGGTTCGGGATCGGAGAACGTAAGATTAAAATAGAATATGCAAATACTTTAAATACTAATCTCTTCTACTTTCTAGGCCCGTTTCCTGAGCGAGAGCACTAACCTGGGTGTGCCCGGAGTATGGCTTTTCGAGGTGGCTCCCATTGAGCCTGGACAGAATGTTAAGACCCCGGACAATGCCGAGACCCTCACGGAGTCACCGGCTCTGGCCCAGAGCTGCCAGTCCAGCGCGCACCAGTGCCATGAGAAGGCCCAATGCCACGACAAGTCCGAGGGCTACTGCTGCGTCTGTGAGCCTGGATTCTACGGCAACGGCAAGTCCTGCCTCGCCAACGGACTGCCCATCCGAGTGATTGGAACGCTGACCGGAGAACTGAACCATCGGCCGGTGGAAGAGCAGGCCCAGTTGCAGTCGTATGTGGTCACCACTGATGCCAGGTCCTTCACCACCATCAACCCCCTGGAACCGGAACTGGGTGCCCAGTTGCGTCTGGTGCTCCCTCTCCTGACCACCGTTCCCTGGCTTTTTGCCAAGTCGGTGGGTGGTGCTGTCAATGGCTACCAGCTGACTGGTGGAGTCTACAGCCATGTCTCCCGCATTCAGTTCGATTCGGGAGAGTCGCTTTTGGTGAACCAGACCTTCGAGGGCCTCAACTACTGGGACCAGCTGTCTGTGAAGATCGAACTATACGGTGAAGTGCCCACCGTGCCCGCAGATGCTCCCCTCCAGCTGGCCGACTACGTGGACGAGTACCGCTTCGTGCGTCCCGGAGAAGTGCGATCGGTGAGGTCGCACCAACTGACCCTGACCGAAGAGCAGCGGGTTATTGGATTGCAGGTAAGTCCTCTCCCAGGATTCTGTCAACGTAATCATACTTACAAGGTCCTTATTTTCGTCTCACCCATAGGTGGACCAGCGCATCCTGTACACCAGTTGTCTGCGTGACGACGAATCCGATCCCACCGAGACAGTTGCGTTCCAGAAGATCTCCAACGTTGTTTTGGACTACATCCCCGGGGACGAAGCCTTAAGGATTAGTGCCAACAGCAAGGTGGGAGTGGATGCGGAGTCCAATGCCTGCACCGATGGCACTGCCGAATGCGTGGAGAACTCCGTGTGCGTTCCCCAGGACGACTCCTTCAGATGTGACTGCCATCATGGATTCGCGGCTCAGCTGGATGATCGTGGCCTGGAGATCTGCGTAGACATTGACGAGTGTGCCCTGGGCACCCATGTCTGTGACGAGAACGCCTCTTGTGAGAACACCGAGGGAGGATTCAACTGCTACTGTGCTGAAGGATTCAGCGGCAATGGCTACAGATGCGATAGCAACAACACGGCTGATAACATTGAATACCCCACACCTCCAACTCAGGATGAGAATCCCAATCCCAGCCCCGACCCCATTCCCTATCCTTACCCCGATCAGCGACCTGATCAGGGACAAGAACAGGAACAGCCCCAGCCGGAACCTTATCCTTATCCTGGCGAGGATGAGCAGGTGCCCCATCGTCCCGATGAGTGTTATGTAAGTATTTAACTTTTCTACCTTTATGTTTTATTAAATGTGTGGTCCCTTAGCGCTGCTCCAAGGATGCAAACTGCTATGGAGGACGTTGCTTCTGCCACGATGGCTTCTCCGGCGACGGCTACAATTGTGAAAACATCTGCGGGCAAGAGCAGGTCTGGGAGAACGGACGCTGCGAGCCTCTGTACCTGGACAAACACGACCTGGAGCCCAGTTGCGACTTGTTTGGAGAATGCCGTTGCCCGGACGGATATGAGCTCTCCGAGGATAACCAGCGCTGTGTCTATGCCCAGGACTTTGACATTGAAAAGAATGGAGAACTGAGTAAGATTGCTACAAATCTTAAAATAGATGGATATCGTTTATTTAAATGACCTACTCCCCTACAGTTCCTTGCGATGTGGATGCCAATTGCCACATTAATGCCACTTGCAACTGGTATGAACACGAATTGCGTCACATTTGCACCTGTTCTTCTGGCTTCAGTGGCGATGGTTACACCTGCGAGCCCATTGACGACTCCTGCGCCATTGTAAGTATTGATTAGGTCACCTACCACATCCCCATCCTATAATTCCCGTAACATTTTCAGAGACCCGATATCTGTGATGCGCATGCCACTTGCGAGTACAACGAGCAGCTGGGAAAGTCCGAGTGCCAGTGTAATCGGGGATACGAGGGTGATGGCTTCCGTTGCCAACTCGCTGCCGAGTGCGAGGCCAATGAGCACTGCGGGGAGAATGCCTTCTGCGATGGCGGAGTGTGCCAGTGCCAGCCGGAATTCGAGCGGGATGTGAGCGATCGATGTGTTCCGGCCGGACGTTGTGGCAGTGTCTTCTGCGGATCGAATGCCATCTGCAAGTGGGACGCCGAGCAGGGTGTCCAGTACTGCGACTGCCTGGAGGGCTATCAGGGAGACGCCCTGGTGGGATGCGTCAGCAAGCCCATTCCCTGCAACCTGCGAAACACCTGCGGCATCCACGCCACTTGCGAGCCCACAGAGTAGGTCTTCCACTCCCTAGACTCCGCCAACTATTCTTCATTATCCTATTGTGTATTGCAGGGACCCTGCCCACTACGAGTGCCAGTGCATTGCCGGTTACAATGGCGACGGCTACGTGTGCATCGAGGAGCAGAACTGCCTGAATAACCCCACGCTCTGCGATCTGAATGCCCAGTGTCGGTCCACCAACGCCGGTCTGGTCTGCGTCTGCAATCAAGGTGAGTTCCGGTCAATTGTCCCTGCCCTGGTATGGGGCCACGGGCGGACGGGTCTGGACTGCTTTCTTCTCCAGCCGGTCGTGTTCGCAGGGGGCGCACGAGTTGAAGAAACAGAATCCGAAAATCGCCAAGCCCAGGACTACATTGAAGTAGCCGTTGTTCTTGTCCCAGGTCATCGGATGCATGAAAAACTCGCGCATCGACTGCCAGCTGTTGGGGCTCTTGAGGGGGTCCTTGACGTCCTTGGCATTCGGTGGATGAATGGCCCTGTGCGGAGGGCCACACAACTTCACTTTCAGTGTTCTGGCCGGGGGCCAAGCTTTTGTTAACATTTTCTGAGCGACACGCATGCCTGAAACCGATTTCGGTTAAACCAGTTTTGAAACTCGGCTGAAAGGGGAACCTACCTTGAACTACAAAACTGAAAATTTAGAAGAGAGGATAGAGTGAAAGTGTGACCCAAAAAACAAAAAAAGGCTCAGGACAGACTGATGGAACAGAGAATGCTGGGATTGTCAATTGTTTTCTAAAAGAAACTCATCAAAATCGTGTCCCCTTTTCTTCCAGGATTCTATGGCAATGGCTCGGTGTGCCTGGAGCGCCAACAACACGAGTCGGACTTCCTGCTGGTCAGCCAGGGAGTGGTCATCGTACGAGTTCCCCTGAACGGACGCCAGGTTCTGCCCATTGCAGTGGCCTCCATGGCCATTGGCTTGGACAAGGACTGTGTGGAGGGTCGTGTCTACTGGGGCGAGATTACCACCAAGAAGATTGTGAGCGCCAAGTACAATGGCTCTGATATTCGTCCCTTCATTGCCACCGGTAAGATTATAATAGTGAGTCCCCATTAAAATCGTACTAATCTTCATATTTTATTTAGATATTGAGTCGCCTGAGGGTATTGCCATTGATGTGGTCTCCCGTCGTCTGTACTGGACAGATTCGGTGAAGGACACCATCGAGGTGGCCAGCCTGGACGATCCTTCCTTGAGGGCAGTGATCATAAACAAGCAGTTGGTGAACCCACGAGGCATTGCCGTGGATCCCTATAGGGAGTAAGTTTATTTTCTCAAGTCTGATAACTTTTTGCTAAATTATGATCTTTACTAGAAAACTCTTCTGGTCGGATTGGGATCGCTCGGCGCCCAAGATCGAAATGTCCAACCTGGATGGCACCGAAAGGCAACTGTTGTTGGGCCACGATTCGGTGACCCTGCCCAACTCGCTGGTGGTGCTCGAGAACTCAGGAGAACTGTGCTACGCTGATGCCGGCACCAAGAAGGTGGAGTGCATCCAGCCCCAGAATGGCCAGACTCGCACCATCTCCAACGAGCTGTCCTATCCCTTCGGACTTACCTTCACTCACGATCAGTTCTACTGGACGGACTGGTCCACGTAAGTGGCTTTACGACTAGTTGTTCTATACAGATCTGTAACCCTGAACTTTCAGTAAGAAACTGGAGAGCGTGGACAGCCTGGGCACTCGGCAGAAGGCCATCCAGACCCCGTCCTTTGGCAGCCACAAGATGTACGGCATGACGTCCGTGGAGCAGAACTGCCCGCAGTACCAGAGTCCCTGCCAGATCAACAACGGAGGTTGCACGGATGCCAGGCTGTGCCTGGTGAACCGCCTTGCCCCCTCCGGCAAGAGCTGCAAGTGCACCAGTGCCTCCACCACTTGCAACCTGCCCACGGCCTATCCCGGCTACTAAGTCTACCTTTAATGCAAAACTGAAATTATTTTTCGATACGTATACAATCGCACAAGAATACAAAAGCAAGCTAAGAATTCTTCAAGTTAACCACAAAGGAAGGGGCGAGAGCACAGTAACTTAACTTAACTAATTTAAAATAACTAACTAGGAATGCCTGTGTGCCATTTTATGTAAAGCAACCCAGAGAGGAATAATTAATAAAGAAAAACAGGCCCTTTTGTGGGTCAATTACATTACAGAATATTGGCTTTTTATCAACTTACCTTTCTTATCCCTTAAGATTTAAATAATACATCTTATGAATTATTTCCAACTATAGTTTGAGTTTATTGTGAGTTCTGTTCGGCCTGCCCTAAAGAGCATGGCGCCGATAAATATTACAGCAAGTTTATACCCTAGACCACACTAATTGTATCTCTAATGCTCCGTATCTGCAGTTTCCGATGCAATTCAGTTACCTAATTTTGGTTTTGTTTTTGTACATTGAGACATCGATTCGATCTATGCGGTAGATGCAGATATACAGATACATGGGTATACATATACGGAGATCTATATATAAATAGGTTTTCCTTTGGGGTGCTAGGCGTAAGCTTAACTAGTTGTTTTATTCTCTCGAGACACTGGAATGCATTTAATCGTCATCGTTGACTAAAATTTTCTTATAAAACAGCTTTGGGTGCATTAACTAATTTAATTTTTGTTGTTAGTTGTTAGTTGGTTTCTTTGGTGAGTGGATGTGATGTAAGTGGTAAGTATTTGGTGTGTAGGTACATCTTTGCATTAACTACTTCCTAAAGAGGATATAACTTGGCCGTCGAATTGAGTTTGTGGGACGTGGGTTGCGTTGCACTATGCTACAGGGTTCGGGCTCGTTAAGCTGCAACCGATCCTGCTCATATAGCTCATTGTATTTTGGTTCAGTTGCCGTCAATCCGTACTGGGTCCAAACTAGCCTTAACTGGTTACGTCTCTAAGCTACGGCTCTATTTCTAAATTCTGTTGTCCTTTCAAATTTAAGTTTTAAGTTTTCTTTAGATCCTAATAGTTTAAATTTTCGTTTTTTGTTTTGTTTTTGAATGCGTGGTTGGTACTTAATTGATAGAGTTTATATACAAATTCTTTGATTTATTTTTAGTGTTTTTTTCTTTTTGTTTTGTAAAGCATTAGAGTATACCAAAGCCCGTTCCAATTTTTGTTATGAAAACCGTTTCTTCGTCATCTTTTCGTTTTTTTTTGTTTTTTGTTTGTAAAACATTTCTAATAGGTGTTTCTAGTGAGTGTATAGTACAAGACATTGATAGCACCGTCATATATGATCTATATGGGGTTTACGTGGGTCAGATAGGGATTCTAAAAACCAGACTGAAGCCCACTAAGACAGTGAGGTCATACCTAAGGTATTTACATGGCTTTTTTTTATTATTATATTCTGTAGCATTAAAGCCCGATAGACTAAGCATCAGATATATATATATACAGTTATACAGAGTTTGCTAAATCATCGTCGTATCCAATAGTTTAACTACAGTTGTTGTTCCCAAAACACACTTTGCTGCGGCTCTTCCGATAGCCAAGCCGACATAATCATTGCTTATTATTAGATTTAGTATATATTTTATATATTTGAATTTATGTATCCCTCTAGGGATAAAACGATAAGCACGCTTTAACTTAATGGGACCGTTGGGGGAGGAGGGGTTCCCAGGGAGACACACACCACAGACAGTTTATCTTTTAGTTAGTAGGGGGTGGGCTGATTTGCTTGGATTAATAATACTTTTGCTCCGATCAGAACTTATCTCTACGCGTGTGTCTGTGTGTGCCGGCCGAATTCTATATCCATTTGTTTTTCGACATGGAGGAGCGGAGGCGGCGCCCCCACATCAGGTTGTATCATACAATCGTGCCCTGCAGATGCTGCGGCGAGGACACCTGCGACGGCGCCTGGCCTAGAGAGTCCTGGGCCTGCAGGGACCCGCCGGCGCCGGACGAGGTGCTCGGCCCCGGGCCCAGATCCGCCGTATTAATGGCCAGCGAGGAGCCGGCACCCAGCAGGCCGCCGGTGGAGGATCCGGCCCCGGAAGGATTGATGCCGCCACCACCGCCACCGCCCACCACGCACGGAACACCCAGCATGGGGGTGGGCTCCTCGGGCGGGGTTACCTGCAAGGAGATTTGGTTCTACAAGAGAGTGAGTAAGAGGATTGAAATGAATAAATTGATGTCCAATCATTTACCTCCATGCCTATGCTGCCGTTGAGCGATATCTTGATGGGATTGCTGTGATTCGTTGCTTGCATGAGGGTGGTGAAATGACTGATGCCGATCTCCTCCAGCGACGACTTTCTCCGGCCGTGGCTGACGCCGACGCTGGGAAGGCCCTGTCGCAGGGACGAGGATCGACGGAGCAGGATGTCGTTGTCGATCTGCAAGAGGAGCAAGCGGAGGAACAGCCACCAGAATGGCGGGTATTAGTGGATATTAATCACGAATCTGGTCTCGTGGTGGTACCAAACTCAACTCAAATTACGTTTACACATACAAATTGGCTATTTTGTTGCAGTTGCATTTTAAGTCACAATTTAAAATGTAAATTTTAAATTTAAAAGTTTAAGTTTACAATCAAAACAAACAAACACATTGAACAGGAAACACATGATCTTCAACTCGCAATGCGGCTCGATGATGGGGCTGACATCTAAACTTGATAGATATTTTATTTTATTTTCGATTTTATGATCTTTTGATTATCCTCTGAGTGCGAGCAATGATTGTGATTAATTCATGTTGTTGTTGTAGTTGTTGGTTGTTGCAGTTGTTCTTGCTGTTGCTGCTGTTGGTTGTTGCAGTTGCAGGTGGAGTGTTCTTTTGCGGCTCTAGTTCGAGTATATCGAGTTCTCGGAATTTTGATGCTTTTTGTGTGAAAGTGCAAATGCTTGATGCCCGGAGACGGCAACAAGCAACAGGGTGGAACACATTCGTTTGTTTTTAGCCAATTTGTTTAAGAAACCGAACAAAATAAAACTAGGTTTGTTTTTGACTAAAGTGTATAGCTAGGTTGGTAGACTATGTAGGTAGTTTTGGCTTATAACAGTGGAGTTTACATGGCGGTCTCAATATAAAGAAGCAATTTTTTAAATTTAAGAAATATTTATTGGAATGAGCATTAAAGTTTAAAGATTAAAATTACTTATTTAAAGGTTTTTCTTTATCTTAAAGCCTCGAGAAAAGACTTCTATGAGAAGAATCCCACAAAATGGAGACAAGCCCCCTAAAAGAAGATTTTTAAATTTTTATTAAAAATTCTTAGGAAACCCTACAAATACTCTTGTGACCGGAATGTAAACTTTCTAGTTTAAGCAACGCCTTTTAAAGAAAACTAAATGAACCAACGTGAAGAACGTGAATAGATTTTCAAAATCAAACAAACATAGAGACAGAAAGGGTGTGTGTTCCAGTGTGTATTTGAGGTGTGTGTGCAGGTGTCTGTGTGTGGTTGTGGTTTATCTTTGGGTAAGTGGGTGTAATAGGAATAATAGCCAACCCGCAATGAGTTACTCCGTCCTCGCTGATTGCCAACCACCGTCGGACTGTCGGGTAGAGAAAGAGAATTCGATTTAATTTGCTGCATCGGGGGGCTACAGCGCTGCGAGGATGATCCATACCCGGCCAATGTCTGAACGCTCTGCATTTGCATCGGGTTCAAGCCGGCGATGCCGGAACCGCGTCGCGATCCAGCCCCGACGGCGGTATTGGCCATATTCATGTTCATCTGCGGCATTTGCGGCATCTGGCCGCCCAGGTTCATGTTCGAGCAGAACGAGATGTTCGATTTCCGGCGCGAGTTATGGCGTTCGAATGTCTTTTGGGCCGAGAACGGCGATGGCCTGACCAAGTAGCTAAGGAAATAAAGCAGAAAAGCTAGAAGGTAACCAGCTTAAGGATGAATCTCTCAACTCACATGAGATCGCCTTCCTCCAATTTGAGATCACAGCTTGGATTTATTATCACATAGGATAGGTGGTTGCGCTTCTCGCTGACATCGTCGTAGTCGATGGTGGGCAGGTTCAGGGACTCCATCCGACTCCTGACCAGGTTCGCGATCTCGGCCCTCTCGATCTGCTGGGCGTGGTTGTCCCGGGCCTCGTCGGCCAAGTTGATGGAATACTAAAAGGGAGAAGAGAGACTATAGCCCTCCACCTTCAGCAACAGGAAATCAAGTGTAAGGGATAGTTTGAACCCCTATATAGAGAGACTAGTTGATCCTGGGTTAGTGTTGCTGTGGTGCGGATGGGCAGTGGTGATGGGCGGATTGGCGGACTGATGGGCTTCACCGCTGCTTGCTGGCTTTGTTGTTGGTTAGTTGTTAGCTGTGATGCATGCTACCATTCAAAGAGAACACCATGCTGCAAAGGCGGAAGGAATCAAGGACCTACCTGGAACCCAAACAAACCCTCTAACCTTCGACCTTGGGCCCCGCTACAGAACTGAAGAGGTGGAGTGGAATGGTGGGCGGGTGGAGACGGGGGTGCTGGCTACTTACGGTTGATCCTTTACGCTCCGAGCAACCGCCCAGACAATTGACCGAACGTTGGCGCTGCTGCTGCGGCCGGAAGCTGCTGGCGCCACCTGTTGCCGACGACGGGGGGCGGTAGGTGACTCCGCGCAGCATTTCCGTCGAGTCCTTCGTCGAGTCCGGGGTGCCGGTCTCCTCGTCGTACTGAGACATGCCCATGATTTGTTTGGTGTATGCAAATTCGAGTTCGATGAGTTTGGTTAAACACAAAATGATTTACATATTTAATTGGTTTTTAATTGAAATGGTAAATTGCTTTCGCTGAATGGTGTGTGTCGATAGATGTGTGTGGCTGAGTGTTGGTCTATGGCAAGTGGTTGAGTGGTTCAGTGGTTGAGTGTTTGTGGCCTTAGCAAAAAATTTCAACATTTAGGTTGTTAAGCATGCCGTGGAAAGCAAACACGCCAATGTTCGTTCCACTTTCCGCTAACAGTCATAAATTATGGAATGAAATTCAGGAAAATAAAAACACGCGACTTACTGATTCAAAAAGCGAGAACCAAAAACAGTTTCTAAACTTAATGAAGAAACTAGAAGAATCGGTGCAGGGCAAGCGTTAGGCAGATGTTTCTGGAAATCACAAACTACTAACTCCAACTACTTTCCAGGGTCATTCGATACTAATTGAATTTCAAAATCTTTTTGTTTTGTTTGCCAATTATCCCGAAAATTCGAGTTTATCCGGTGCCTACGGCGGGGGTATTGATTTTCTTTTAATCGAGCAAGCATTTTTAATGAGCACTCGATGCCTGTCAAGTGGGCATTAATTAAGCAAGTTGGACTGCCTCGAGAACGGGTTAGGGAATATTTAAAGGGAAGAGAACTAGAATTTCTGGCACAACAAGCATATGCAATCAGCTAATTAAAAGCGGCATGCAAACAGAAAAAGAAACCAGGAACGTGAAAACAGGAACGGAAACGGAAACGGAAAAAGAAACAAAAAACAAAATGAAACCAAATTAAAGTCGGAAAGTTCAAACATGCAGCAGCCAACGGGTCACGCAGGACCAAAAGGATAGGCTGGCTAGAGTGGGGCGGGAGGAGGGATAAATCTAGTACAACTACCCACTCCCAAAGGACAACATCTACGACTAGACTACACACAGTTACACACACACGAACGATTAACGAATCAGAGGCCAGGCATATATGAGATTGTATGAAGTGTGTGGCTGGTATTTATGGGTTTTCCATTTTCGTTTTTGAGTTTTTGGTTTTCTTTTTATATTTTCTGTTTTGTTTTTATCGCTTCGGGTTAACTCACTGCGTGCGTGTGCGTCAGGTCCAAATACAAACGCAAATCAATTGTTCAATCGGTACAACGGGTCGTATGTGTAATTTGTTTGAGTATTCTCATTGACCTGATCTGATTGATATACATATGCTCACACAGCGATGGTGAATGGATTTTCTCTGTTCTGTTCTGTTCTGTGCTGATTTGTTGTCCTAGTTTAATGAAAATGCATCGAGGCAAATCAAAATAATCCAAAAACGAAACGATTCTGGGCGAGGATGGATCGCAGGACATCACTACGGTATGGGTGGCAAAAACAAAACTTTTATGGGGAACTGCGATTGGGAGTGGGAGTCGTAATTATAATCAGCACGCTATGCTTTATAAAAATATACAATATAACTCGATTCTGGGGTTTTTTGGGGGGGAAGAGTTTACTTTACAAAAGGGTTCAAATCGCTGCTAAAGGCATCAACCAAGCGTATATTCTTATTTATTTCAAAAACTATGCCTTTTACCAGTTTGGCCAATGAATTTTACAACTTTAGAGATTATATATATTCAGATATATATATAGAGAGAGAGAGAGCGAGAAACAGAGGTATACAGGTTAGAGTAAACTTATGCACTTAACAATATTGGAGGTAAAAATGCAAACTTTGGATGATGAACAGACTTCAGACTCGATGCAGTTAGTAGTAAAGCGTAAGCGTGTGATTGACAAAATCAAAAATAAAAACCAACTCAGGGATATCAAAACCAAAAATACAGTTAAATCATCAATGGCCTCAAGAGGGGGGTAGAGGGCGGCAATTGGCAACTGAAGGACAAATCTTTTAAACGCTTTCTTTCGAATTTACTTTCGCTGTGTTTTTGTGTGTGTACCTAATCGCAACTCGAAATACGATTACGTGAGCAAGAGACAAGAAAAATAGCTATTTAATAGAGCTAGTAGAGAGATATAGAGTTAGACATAGAGAAAGAGATAGATATATAGGTAGAGACAGAGAGATAGATAGACAGGCTGTGGACAGGTGTTGAGGAGTGTGTGAGTGAGTTCGAGTGTTAGCTTGGGTTAGAGAATAGAATGCGGTTGTCTCTTGAGTGTCCTGGGAAGACATTTCCCCTTTTTGGTATTAGTTTTTTGAAGCTGATTTTGAGAGTACTGACTCGGGATATCTTGATATCCTGAGTGCTTGAGCTGCTGAGATTTGCTGTTTGCAGTTCCTTGGACTCACCGATGGACGCAAGCGCACACAATGTCTGCTGAAGGCCGAGAAGGGTCCCCATCGCTCTACCGGCGAGTTACTCACATGAGAGGTGTCCGCATTCGAGGTGTCCTGGGTGCGGTAAATGCCGATGGGTATTTCGCAGGTGGTGGAGCAGAGTTTCTGGTACAGTCGCCCGTACGTGCGTATCCACATGTCGTCCTTGGTGATGCGCATCTGCGGGACATCGAATTAGCCAACTCAAAAATCACTCTCTCGGCCATCTCTCTGGGCTTACCGAAGTCAAGAAGCCACTGCCGGGGGCCTGGTCGATTCCCAAAAGCAGTCGCACAAACGTAATCACATAGTCCTTGACAAAGGCCTGGTAGAGCAGGGTGTCCAGCATCGAGGCACTGAATACGGCGCCCGCCGCGAACGGCAGCCGGAACATGTAGGAGATGTGCGAGCCGCGCTCCTTCTCGCGCTGCAAAGAAGTGAGCGGCCAATTAACCAAATGACACTTGCCGGGTCAGGGGGGATTTAAACGCTCTACCGACCTTTTCCATTTTGCTGAGGTGCAGGGCGTACTTGTCGTGGGCTCTGAACTGCATGAACCTCATATTGGAGCTCTGCGACAGCTCTGTGATGCTCTTGATGCTGGGAAAGAATCTGAAAAGCGAGTAGGATGTGAGAAGTATGATGTGATTCGATGAAAAATATAATCCCTTACTTGAACATGTTCTGAACAGCCACAATGGTGTTGCAGTCGGAGAGGGAGTCCTCCTCGGCCGAGTTGGACAGTTCCTTGTTGACCACCACCACGCTCTCGGCCAGCGTAATGCCAGCCCTCAGCAGATCGTCCAGGCAGTCTATCGAGCCCAGCATCCAGTAGACCTAAAAGATACCATTTAAGACCCAATGAGCCAGAGCCAGAGCCAGAGGCCAAGCCACCCACCAATGGGAAGTACGAGAGGGCATCCAGAAAGGCTACGTCCGGCCTTCGCTCCAGCAACAAGATGATCGGATTCAGAGACGTCTTAGAGCGGAAGTGAGCCCTCAGCGGAATGATGAAGTTGTAGATGCCGTTGGAGGCGTAGTCCGCCGCCAGGATGATCGTCTTGTTCTGCCACTGGTACTCCTTGGCATTCCGGTAGCTGCAGTGCTCACAGACCTGCCGGGGACAGAACAGAGACATTGGCAGCTGGCTAATGGAAGTGGGAGAAGGTGTCAGGTCTCACCTGGGCCAGCTGGAGACAGCAGAGGGGCTTCTTCTCTTTGAGCAGGTAGCAGAGCGTGGGACTCACGCCGATGAAGGGTGACACGGGCGGAAAGCCCTTGACAATGCTGGAAAGGCAGACACAGATCCGGTTTAGACGTGGGAGGCTCCTGTTCGGGCCGGGAATCATGTGGGATGGGTGGCGCTGTGTGTCTGGCTGTGAGGGATTCGGGTACGTGGAGGAAGCAAGCCGAGTGTGCTGGGATTTAAACGTTTTTACGGTTAGCTACGACAGGAGGCTAGAGAGTGTAGGAGTGGGGGTGATGCAAACTACGAGCAGGTCCAAAACATTCACTACGAATTAAGAAATGCCAGAACTTAAATTGCGGCTTCTGGGATGCCAGGACCTCGGCCCGGACCTCCAGAGTAATGGCCTGTCACTCCGGAAAGGCAAACTTTTTGAAGCTCCGGGGTGACGCTTTGGAGATGAATGCACACACAATTGAAGGCGAAAAGCAAAACAAGCAGAAGCACGAAATGCAGATGAAATGGTCACGAAAATGCGGGATGCAAATGCATGTAGTTTGGGATTCTGATTCAGATTCAAAGCCAACACCAAGAACAAACATCAACCAGTGAGGAGCAGTCTTAAGTTGTTGCTCTGTTGGTCCAAGGTTCAAGGTTCAAGGTCCAGAAGGTAAACGGCGGCGTCATTAAAACGTGACCTGCGGCAGGCAAACAAAAGCAACAACAAGGAACGAGCAACAGCAACTAGAACAACGACAAGAACTCTTCAACAAATGGCGTGTGTCCGCGGAATGGCATGGTGCCGCTCCCCTGCCCAATCCTTGGGCAATCCTCTCCCCCAGTCAGACTTACCCGGAGTAGTCGGCGGCCCAAACCGGACGCCCGGGCCGTGTCTGTACGGAACTGCTCGACGTGAATGCCGCTCCTGCCCCTGCTCCACCTACTCTTGCTGCTGCCGCCGCCGCCGCCGCTGTGGTGGTCGTTGTTGTGGCCGAGGTAGTGGAACAACTGCAGGAGCAACACCTCTCCTGTTGCCGCCTGCGGGCCGCTGCCAGTCTGGCCAGGGCTCCTCCGCCCAGTCCCAGCCCCACTCCCATTCCCAGTCCCATTTCGGGAACACTTCGGCACTCGCTGTCGCAGCTGTAGCTCTTCCTCATAACGCGCCTACGTAACTGGGGCAGGTACTCCTCGGACGGCAGGGCAGTTGGCAAATCGGTGGAGGCACCAGGATCATCGTCATCCTCCCCAACAGCGGCAGCAGCTCCATCAGCTGCAACATCAGCAGCAGCAACAGTAGCAGCAGTGGCAGTGGCATTACAGAAGCTGCAACTGCGCTGATACGAATCCTCCGAGGAGCTCATGATGAGCGAATAGGTGCGCGATTGTGGAAAGTGCCCACCCAAGCAGCTGAGGCAGAGTTTTCGATTTTCGTTTAGTTGGATGTGTTCAGAGTTGGGTGATAATAAGTTGGGAAAGGTGGGGAGTCTAGTGCATGAGTACAACATATAAAGTTTACATTCATAGTTAGGGGTCTGGCACTCCTCAACGATCCATCCTCGATCGTTTCGGATTACCGACATCACACTAGTTTGGTCTATATGTACACAGATTGGGGTTCGAGGTTAGTTTCGAGGTTGGCTAAGAAGTACAGTTAGTGATACACATACGTTTTGGGGGTTAGAACTCTATGTGGATAGAGACACTACACTGGGAAAGTGGGGAAAACTGTGCCTCGGATTAGGTGACTAAGAGGTGGACGGGTAGGGGTCGCTTTCTATTGCGTGTTTGGTGGTAACTTACGCAATCTTCTCGGAGGGCGAACGCCAGGGCATTTCGTCATCGATCTCGTCGTCGCTTTCGTCACCCTCCTCGCCGTCGTCGTTGCCCGCGATGCTGAAGGAGGAGGAGGTGAACATGTCGGGCACGGGCAGGATCGAGGGGCGTCTGCTTCCTAAAACGCACAAAGGAATAAGGTTATAATCAAGATCCTTAATAGATGGACTTACCCCTTCGCTGGTTGAGCACATCCGGACTGAGCAGGTTCGGGTTGTTGGCAAAGGGCACGTCCAGGTGGTTGCCCGTCGTGGTCAAGGTTGCCGGGGTAATGCTCAGGGACGTGCCCACATTGAGGCTACTGCCCACCCCAAGGCCGCCCGATCCACTCGCCTGCGGCGGCGGCGGCGGCAAGGTCGTGGTGGTGGTGATGGTGGCCGCCGTCTGGGTCACCGTGGTGTCCCTGAGGTTCTGCCTGGAGTCCGAGATTATCACAGCCGTCGGATTATCGCTGGCTGGACGGGGGAGAGGGGAAAGTGCCGTTAGTCGCGGTTAGATTGTCGATCAATATCCACTCTAATTACGACTACTTGGTATACAAGACTCTTGCTATACAAGATAAAATGTCCACTAATTTCAGCTGAGCGACAAAAAGGTGATGAAGAAAACTAGAGAGCGAGTAAGTTGGGTGGGGGCTAGGTAAGGGGGCGTGGCAAATCTACAAGGCAAACCTGGGGAAAACAACTCGTTAAAAGTCCTCGACAAGACTGCACTGGCCGGGAAAGTTTCGGCAAAGTGATTAAGGTGCAACTTTGCCAAAATGTTGTCTTTCCCTTTCATTTTTTTTTCTTTTGGGCCATAGTTTTTGGTTACTTAATTACAGGGGCAGGCGGGGGCCAGGCGGGGCGGGGAGTAAAAACAGGGTTGATTTACAAGGACATGGCTAAAATTGTAGCGTACAAAAAGCTAAACTATTTCTTTGCGGCTAATTTACACGAATTGTTGCGTGTGGTGATATTATTATTTACAGCGTTTTTTATTATTTTTTCGTTTCTACCAAGTAGACACCCAAAAACACATGCTCGTACATACACACACATGGCTAGAACTACAAACAAACAGGGCTAACAAACAAACAAAGGCTAAAACAAACAGGGAGAAATGCAAAGACAGGCAAGAAGAATTGGCAACAGGCGGAAGCAGGCCCAGAAAGAGTAATGTTTTGGCCAAAAAGAACTACGGAGCGTGCAGAAGAAGCCGTGTAGAAAATGAAGCAAACAACAAAAATAGCTTTGCATAGTGCGAGAGAGAAGGGTGTATGTGGATGACAAGGCCAGGCTAGGTGTGGTCTTGAGAGTGGACCTCGTTTATTTAAAGGAATGTGGTTCAACCTTATTTGTGAACTACAACTAATTATAAAATATTTATATATTTAGAAAATAAAGAACAAATTAAGAACAAATTTTTGTTAGTTAAAGTTATTTGAATGCAAATGCAAGAATGGTACCTTGGATAACATGGCGTATGAGTAATATTTTGTGCTGACATTAGCAATACTCTTAAGCTTTCAGATTTGAAAATCATTTTCTCTAAGAGATTTTATCCTTCACTCTTCTCTTATACAAAAATATTTCTTTATATGTAATATATTCGTTACTTCTAAGCTCTTCATATGGACTTCACATCGTAAATTACTCATACGACCTGTTGGCACCAGTATTTTGAAATAATAACAAAATTCTTAAAATTGAAGTCTAGTTAGAAAGTTTAGGACGATAACTAGTGTAAGTTCTATTCTAAGGACTACCAACATTTAAATAAAAGAGGTCCACCCTGGGTATCCTGCGGCGGACGGGCGAGTGTGCTTGTGTGTGTGTTTGAGTGTTGATGTGCGGAATAGAGGAATGCAGAAAGGAGTCTTGATGGCAGCGGAAATGCTTTTTGACATGGGTAGCGGAAGTGAAGGTGGCTTGGGTGGAGGGGGGGACAGCAGCTCAAGCCTTAAAATTGAGACAGCTAGAGCCAGAGAGAGAGGGAGATAGATAGAATTGGCTTGTCTTGAAAGGGGGGACTGAATTGGTGGTGTGGCGGGTGAAACATAGATTTAGGCAAAGAACGTGTTTTTCAAAAAGACAAAGACGAAAGAAATAAGTGTGTTTTGCTTCATTTTTTGTCCAAAAAGGGGTTTGTTTTGTTGACTTGCAGGATTTTTTGTTAGTTCTCGTGTCACACTCACGCACAAATAGTGATGCAAACTCGCCACTGTCGGGTGTTTGCATTGACGGATGCGATTGCGATTGCGGATACGGATACGGTTGCAAGTGGGTGGCGTGGCCACTGCCGCCGCCACCCTCGTAACTAGGACTGTGGGGCACACGCACACAAACAGACGGCACAGACTGTGGTGGTGGTGCGGCCGCTGCTGCGGATGTTGCATTTATTGTTGCTGTTGTTGTTGATGCTGATAGTAATGTTGATGATGTGAAGGTTGTGCTAATTGTTGTTGTTGTTGTAGCTGTTGCTTGTATTGTTGTTGCTGTTGTTGTTGGTACTGCTGTTGTTGTAGTTGATGACGTATAGTTGGATGTTATTGTTTCGCCACAATACATTAAAGACAATATTAGGGGTGTACATGTGCTCTGGATGGGGTATACCTCACACTAACGTGGTCATATATGAGGTCATCAGGTGGGTGTTCGTTTGTCTGTGTGTGTGTGTGGGTGTGTGTGTGTGCGCTATAACTAACCTAGAGCTCTGGAATCTAAGTTGATCCCAAGCTACTTGCCATCTACGGACAACTATAAGCGTGTTCTGCTCCTAAACCTCTCTTGGTTCTTAACGTGTTTGCTTAGAACTATTGTCATTTTATAATGGAGACAGCTAAGAAAGCACTTAAACTTATAACCCCGCAGGTAGGTAATTAATTAAAAAAAAGTATAACCAAACGAATCACAGGCCCACAAAAAAACAGACACCGAAAGCAGTTTCTTTTCATTCAGACAAACCAAACCGAACAAAAGGATAACTTGAAACTCAGCCTCAGAAATAAATTAATCAGATTAATGGTTTAACAGAGAAAGAAGGATAATAAGTTAGAGATAAAGAGAGAGAGAGTCATAGCAATAACTTGTTGCTAAGTAAGGATATATGGTAAGCTTATAATTCATATAGATATACTTTTTATGTAAATGGGCGGGGTTCTCTCCACATTCATTCGCTTTGTATTTTAAATGGTTAGCATACCACTAACCCACTCACACACTGGCACACTCGCACACCCGAGAAATATTTTTGAAAGGGTCTACCCACCAGTTGCAGCCGCTGGGTGGGTGGAGGCGGAGGAGGAGGGACCACCGCCCCCGCCTCCACCACCGCCAGCGTCCTTGGCAGCTGCCGCCGGGTCCGATGTTTGATTTTGATTAACGACGAATGCGGAATTCTCCTCCTTGGTGATGCTCATGTAATAGCACGTGTCATCCTTTTTCATAATGTGCCTGGGTCCTGGATTCAGCAGAATGGTGTCCTCGTAGAATTCCGGCAGTTCTGCCGGACGCACGCCCACCAGGGCCACTCCGTATCTGCGGGGCGCGCAGTCACACAATTTAAACATCAAAATTGCGGGTATACGGGAAGGGATATATGGGATACTGGAATATTGACAGCCAACTTACTTGCGATGCGAATGGAAGCTGGCGTATGTAAAGCTCTTGCCCTCGTATTCACCGAAAAATCGACTGTCTCCGAGCACAATGTGATAGATCTCGTTTCCGGAGCACTTCCCGTACAAGCGATGCCACTCCTCCGGCGATTGCTGGCCCTCCCTGTTTAAATTTTTCAAGTTGAAAGATTAATAATATTTAATTTTGGTTTAGTGGCTCATGAGAAATGCATGAGTCATGCCGATGGGGGGCCTGGCCTGGCGGTAGTGACCCAATTAGAATCCGGCGACAGGTGAGATTACATTGGCTTTTCGTGTCGCGACCGCACGGCAAACGGAAACTAAAAGCCGCATTTAATTGACGTCTCGGGCGAAACACCATTGCCCTTCCTATTCTGCTAATTTTCACACTTTTCGACCTCTGGCGCACTGTTTACCACCTCTGGCATGTCACAAAAGCAGTTTAATTAAAACTGAAATTTTAAATTGAATTCCTGGGTTGTGCGATGCCGAGGGCAGAGAATATGTGCCATGAATTCATTAAATTTTCACGTTTGTTTACTAGCCATTGTCGGTGTTTAGCCTGAAGAGCTATTTGCTTGGTTGATGTTTACTATTACAGACTTCTTAAGAGTTATTTAAATAATAAGAAATGATTTACGAAAACCATAACTAACTTCCAACAACCTCTCACTTCCGAAACATTAACTTCAAGACCGAGCTGCTCTTCATGAAAAAATAATCTGCAAGCCATCATTTTCTCCCAACTAGCTTATGCATTTAGCCACCCACCTAAGGCTAAGCTAAATTAGCTTCTCCCACTACAAGCACACACAAAAAAGAAGAAAACATGGAAACAAAAATAAATAAAGGGAAAACACGTGAAAGGCCAGCGGAGGAAAAACCATCTGAATGAGCAATCAACTATGTCCACCGACTTGGCTAATGACGCATCCAAGCGAGCCGATGACGCACAGCAGATAGAGAATTTTTTTTTGTGTTTTTGCATGTAGATGTATGTATGCCAACTGGCCAAATGGCCAACAGTTAACCGGCAACAGTTAACAGTTGACCTGGCTGAAAGAATACTCACTGGCCGCGGGAGGTGTGAAGGAGGAGGGTGACCAGCGTGCTGGCGCCGGGGCAGGTGCAGTTGTTGGCCAGGAGGGCGTACTTGAACTCATCCTCGCAGACGACGTGCTCGGCGAACTTGACATGCAGCTTGTGCTCCGGCCTGCGAAATGCGAAAATCGCGAATCGAAATCGGGGAATGGAATTTCCGCAGGATTTGCAGACCAACAGATTGGTTTTACGTTGTGCGTCCAGCATATGGAAATAGAAGAGAAGATAGTGATTAGGGTTTATGTTGGGGATGGGGATAATGTGTTGCTTTTACCTGAAAATCTGCACATACTGCGGCACATTCGGCGCAAAGTCCTTGACGGCCCAGGATCGTAGGATGGTGTGCTCGTCGGCGGCCGTTTTGTCGGCGTAGTTGCGGGCCGCCAGGATGAAGCACGCCTCCGCCTCGTTCATTCGAGCCCTGGCCAAATCGCCATCCTTCAGACAGGAGCCCTTCAGACGGGAAAATAGAGTTTTACTTTTCAACTCCCACGTGAGAGAAATGGCTGGAAAATCCCACCTGTATATAGATAACGCGCTGCGCCCAAATGGGCACTTGAAGGATCATACGCATCGTGGTGTCCAGTTCCATGGGGCTTAGCAGGACTACGTAAAAGTCCTGCAGCAGCGGGTGGGCGTAGAACTCGTTGAGAAAGTCCATTATGGTGTCCGCGTGGAGGGTGGTGGAGCAGACCACCACATGCTTTTCGCTCTGGGCCCGATGGGAGCTGTAGCTTCCTCCGAGCTTCTGCCTCTCCATCCAGGTGAACGCCAGTTGCTCGAACTTTAAAGGGAAACCAATTAAACATACTTTTCCGGTCGCACTTCACACAGCCTAATTCCATTTCCCAGCTTTAATTGAATTGAAGGGGCAGCTGCCTCTGGACGTTTGCAACATTTTGGTTGAAACGCCACCTTGTTTTGGGTTTTCTTTCATTTTTATTGGTTTGACGGGCTATTGGGTCGTGAAGGTCATAAATTCTGCAGCATATTGACATGCACTTCGAACTTTTAGAGCCACGCCCCAAAACTATGCCCGAAAAAATAGGCAACTCGGGTAAACAACAAAAAATTTGATGGATGCTTGTGTTGTTTGCTATTTGGCCAAATGGCCCGGGTCAGTTGTTTTTGGAAACTCTCATTTTTTTTAGGTGCTTTATTAACTAAGATAGTCACTAGTTAAGATCTGAATAGTTCCCCAAAAAAGTTTAGTACATCTATCCATCATGGTAGGGTGCTTTGTCTAGTTTGCTGCCATTTAAGCTTATATTTCTGTTTGCAATCTGTACTCCTCCCTCTGGTCAGTTGTGTGTGTTTTGTTGATAAAACAATTGTTTGCAAATTGTTCAACATGGAAGCCAGTCAGCCAGTCAGCTAGTCAGCTGGTCAGAGGGGCAGTGAGGCAATGGATCAGGAAATGTGAGGAGGGTTCACGGACAGACAGAGTGTGGCAAGCAAATGGTAAACAATTTCCACCATCAGCATCCCCCATTCCGTATTTATTAATATCGATTGATGACCAAAGTGGGCTATATCCACAGAACATGGTCGGGACTCCGGACGGCGGAGATGCAGATGATGGATGGGTACAAGGTTCGTCCTGGCTTATGGCGCATAAATATTTGATGTTGGCTCTAAATGAAACTATTTGGCAAGGATAGGGAACCCGAATCCTTTTCGTTTTCGGGACTTACCTGTGTGGGCAGGACAATGAGGGCGACACAAATCATGATGACCATGTAGAGCTGCGACGGCCAGATGTCCGGCACAAAGTCACCGTAACCCACCGTGGAGAAGGTCACAACCACATAGTAAGTACTCTGGAAAAGGTTCAAGTGACGATGGCCAGCCCGCTGAAAGTGCTGGATGCCACAAACGCTAAGAATGGATATTTATTTTGTAGAGCTTGAGGATTATATATTGAGGAATGGAGGTACCTGGTAAACACCAAACACAGCAAAGTGGCTGACAGAATGGTTAGTTGCTGGGAAAGCGCCGACTGAGACTTCTGCATGGCCCGATGAAGGTCATTCTTCAAGGTGAACATAAACTAGTTATTAAAATGCAATTCTAGTTAATCAAATCTTCACTTACAAACATATTTTCCAGCGAACGCTTGGCCAGCCAGCAGTTGAGGAAAATGGGTATGAACAAGTTCCGAAGTGGCGGGTGAACAATCTAAAAAAACATATACTTTTCAGTTTTATTTAAAATAGAACCCCAATAGTCCCTACTCACCGTTAGTGCAAAGGGTATTGTCGTTACTAATTCTAGTATAAAGTGAAATGAGAGTATCTGTTGCCAGATGTTGCCCTGAAAGAAGTCATGAAAGTCATTACTGTACCTATTTAATACTATTTTGGGGGATACTACCTTATAGCCTAGATATGTGAGAACCAAGGATTGCGTTAACGACACCATGGCCAGCATTAGTTGCAGGACCCAGAGCACTGTCGGCCTATTCACCCAAAGTATGGCGTCCCAATTGATGATGGGATTCTCCTGGAACTCCTCCTCCGTCAGCTGGGCCGAGATGATGAACTCTGTCTTGTTGCCAACTTCGCAGCCATAGCTATGAGAAGTTCAAAAACCATTAGACATCACCTTAAAAGACTCTATGGAGGGTACTCACCATGTTATAAAGGTTGGATTTTTATCCAATATCACACGTATTATGTAGAGAACACACGACAGTAACTTAAGGAATAAATCGGCGATTCGTATGCGTAAGCCTTTTTTGTTTTTTTTTTTTTTTGGGGAGGAACATAAGGAACAGAGTTAGAATTTGGGTCAGTCGAGCGATGGGGAATCTAGTCTAGGAATGTTTGCCCTGTGCTACCCGAAACAACTCCCACTCAATCGAGACTTGTTTACCTGTTCAATTATTTCGTTTCCAAATCAATATTTACCCAAGATTATCGAATTCTCTTTTGTAATGTCATTCGTTTGTATGTGTGTGTGTGTGGGTTTGTGGTTGTGTGGGTATTCGTCCTGTCAGGATACATGTTTATAGATATTTGTGTGTGAAGAGTCTGCCCTCACACTAATCAAATTCAATTAAATTCCACCTCTTGTTGATTGTTGTAATCAAGTCGAATATTTTGGTTAATTCAAAGACAATACAAAGCCATCCACTTACTTGAACGCTGATTCTTAATGAAATAGAGTTGCAGTCTTTCTTTAAATGTGTTTTCGTTCACATAGTACTCCACTCGAACTCTGCAAATAGACGGAAGGATAAAGTCAATTGGTGATTGAGCTTATTTCGAATTAAATTGCAGAACAAAGCCTTTTCAGTAGAGTCCTTGTTCTTCGAGACGCCATTATCCCCGCCCTCATTCAATTGCCCCTCGAACCCCACTTTCCAGGCACTGCACTTGACAATTGATGCGCTTACTTATCACATTAAGGAACGCAGCTGGTGCAGTTTCCCTTTCGCTCTATTACTATGCACTGCTAGAAAAAGAGGGGTCAGAAGTTGGACACAAAGTATGGGTATATGTTTATGGAACTATAGATCTAAAATTATTATAATATCATTAATAATCATTTTCTCAAACCTATAATTACTTTTTCTTCAGTGTATATAGTTTCTGCGTGCAGCTAAGTATCTAGGAATTACTAAAGACTCAAAGCGAGAGCGAGTGAAAGTAGCGAAAGTAGTTGTAGTAGTAGTTCCAGTAGCAAAGCAGTAGAACACACGAATGCCCTGAACACACGTGACTGTCCCGGCCCCCCGCCACTTAAGGACTAAGGATGTCTGGGCAACTACGCCGTGGATGAGTTTCCTTCAATGATTGTCTGTCTTCGTCGTAGGGGCCTTTCGTTTATGCCCCACAATCGGATCAAAGGAAATATTAAAGTTACGCCCTTAAAAGTGACTTAAAAACTAAAGGATGTACGTTAAAGCAACTTTTTCCTACTGGAGGGTGCTCAGAGCTTCTGCCGGCAGCAATATGTGGCACGGGCACACATGGCGTATGTGCAACGAGATGCAAGGCTAATGGGTTTGCAGAAACTGTGGCTGCCTAAGTGAGAGGCAAGCTCATAGTCGAGCAAACATTTGCCAGACATACAGACAGAGGATCCTTTTAAGCAGCCACTTGACTGCACAAGACATGCCAGATGGCAAAGGATAGACTCCAGGATATATGTATCGCACCCAGCTCTGGTAATTAAAGTAGTTCAAAGCTCTTAAAGTGCGGAGCCGGACAAAGGAAAAAGAGATTCAATTAACGACTTGGCACCTTTTTGAACCTTTGTTCTGGCTTTCAAACAGAACTCTGAATATTCATGTCAAGGTTAATGCACCAAGTGGAAAACCCAAGGAGCCTGGGAATAGTTCAAGCATTGCTCCCGGCAATGGCACCTTGGGGGCCATTCGGGGATTCTGCTGCGCCAGGACATAGGACGATGACTGCAAGTGCGTGGTGAAATTAACGAGCGTCCCAGTCCTCAACCGATTCCAGTCCTCAACTCACACGCAGTGGCAGTGGCAAGTGACCAATCAGTTATGACCCGGCCAGAAGCAGAAACATCGTGCCACTGCATACAATCAACTCTGAACCTGGAGGTGGATATTTCGTCCTGCGGTTTGTGCTCGGTTTCGGGTTCATTCCACTCGCTTTTTCTTCTCACTTGTGCTGGCCATTGAACGCGGCAGAGCGCCTCTACCAGATGGCCATAAGTTCTGGCCATAACTTGCGGGCGAAAAGAGCAATCACTTGGCTCTGCAGCGCTTTAAGTCTTTAGTCACGCAGCAAATGAAATTCGACAAAATGCAATCAAAGCTACGGAGTGATTGCCATGCAGCTTCAATGAAAATATTTTCGTTAAATTAAAAAATATACTCAGTCGGGTGGTAGAGCAGCAAAAAAGTGAAAACTACGAAATTGGAAAACAAGCAAAACTTCTATCTGATTGGATATCGAATTCCATTGTTTATTTATTAGAAACTTAATTTAAACTCTCTGGATTACTCTGGAGTTTTTGAGGTCTATTCTAAAGCGAAAATTAAATTTCACTTTCCCATTTATGGTCCATCGTTTATGTGAACTTTTCAGCCTCGGATAATTGAGTTCACGCCCCGAGGGCCTTTACATTTTCCTATGTGAAGTTCTGGGCCCAAAACCCGCAAAGTTATGAACTTTTAAAGTATCCCCTACATCCACTTAAATTGATTCCCTTAGCCGGGATTCAGGTTTTTTTTGGCCAGGCTTAGCCGGCGACAAATTGCACGTTAATGTGTTTTTGTTGTCCCATCATTTGATTATCCAGAGATATTGAGTTTAAAGCTCTATGGATGAAATGGCCAAATGGCCAGGACGGGGCCAGCCCGCGGCAGGATATGCTTAGATTGTTTTACCTTTATTGATTTTTGATTTGGCGCTTTTTAAAGAAAATTTGATTTAATTTTGCCAGGCTGCTGGCAGCTAGGCGTTGTAGGCTCAGGTTTCTGCGTTTCGTGACGAGATTTGATTACAACTCCTTGATGAAATTTGGCTGGGAGAGGAAACGAGGCGAAGCGAAGCCAGCCAAATCAAAGGCCACAAAGGACTCTGGGAAAATGCCTAGCATAACAAAGGCCGAGAAAGGTTTTTCTTTCCCGACTGCCAGTAGGCTGCCTGCCGCCAACACAAAGGACCTTCGGACAAAGGACACCTATGCGTGGTGTAAGCTGGCAACAAATTGCATCTCTGGGCGAGGCCTCATTTTTTGTGTTGGTCCTTGCTGCCGGAGACCGTGTTCCTGCTCGTTTATTGGTGTCCTTATGAGACATCTCAATATCCTCGCTGAAGTATCCATTAAGTCAGCGCTGCTTTGATTGCTTCTCGTAAAAACTAAAGAGCTCTCAGCTAAATCATTGAGCCATCTTCGCCACAAACACAACTGCCCGATTATGTGTGCCAGAGACAGCAAGAAGTGGAGGGGATGTGCAGGATAATGACATAGGAATGAAATGCATTTTGCATCAAGGATTTCCGGTTCTCATTTGTCATTCCAAGTCGCATTTGCAAAGCGGAAAGGAAAAATTACTAAACTATTTGAGGATGTATACATTAAGAATGTAAATATTTTATATTTTATATCCTTTTAAATATCACTGAATTTTAAATATTTTATATCCTTTTCAGTGAGCTTGTCTGGAAGTCATTTTTGCGAGTGTATGTCCTTGAAAGCACTCTCCAATTAAATTCTTCATTTGAAATATAATTCCACAGTTAAAGTATCAATAAGAAACTGGCTCCATTTGGTCATTGAATTTCAAAGAAAATTTCCTTGAATAACTTTAAGGAGAAGAATAATTTTTAAAACAAAACTCAAACCAAATTGCCCCCAACTGTGACCTTTCCGCGAAGCAGGACACTCATCTGCCCGCCAGGACTCGCGTACTCCGGCAGTTTTCACACTTTAATGTGTGTGGGCTTTTAGTTGAGTCCTGATTCGATTATGAATCGACGCCTCGCTCCCGCTTTGACCTGTTAATGGCAATCACGCTGTGCTCGACTGCTTTTTAAATCGAATTTTGAATTAAGTTACATGACTCGAGGGCTCCAGGATCGGTCGAGTGGAGTGAAGGGGAGGAGTCGCGCGACGGCTTACCTGGGTATTCGATCATAGGAGTCCCACGAGGAGAGACAATTGTAGGACGAATTGCGACTGTTGCCCGCCATGTTGCATAATAGATGATCCATTTGGCGCGACTGCCCTTAGCACTTTAGTTAATTTCACGTTTCGAGCGCACTGGCCGATTGCATTTCACGTTTCGATCTCTTGGAGGGTTAGATTTATTTCTGTGATATGTCTACTTTGAAGGACCCTTTAAGGCCAATACTTTAATAATGGTGGTCTTTGGCGGCGCTTCAACTTTAATCAAAATTGATTGCCCCGACTGAGTCCTGGCTGGGCAATTAATTTTGTTGTTTGAACACGCAATTGAGGACAGGACACACACATTCCGGAGCACACTTATTTATAGCTTGTTTAACATGATTTTTTCCCCTCTTTTGTTTATGCTCGTTGTGTGTCGTCCTGCCCCCGTTGTGTGTTCTCTGGCCATTTAATAAATTTATTGCCCGAACGGCCATAGCCTTGAAAAGCGATGGAAACAGCGGAAATTGCCGAGGTGGAGGTGGCAGATAAACCAGCTCGGTGTCCTCATTTTGTCATTAAGCCCGGTTTTTACACTTTTTATTATTATTATTTGACATGGCATTACGACTATCCTTCCCCTCTGTTTACACAATTTTTCACTTCCCTTTTCAATTTGCGCAATTAATTAAAATGCATGAGGCCGCTGGAATATTATTTACCGCCAAAAGCACCGAACCACCGAACACTGAACATTTTGTGTTCAATTGTTAATCCGGAATTCAATTGTAAACACATTCATTATTTAAAGAAATGGAGCAGGAGTTGGAGCTTTTATGCCTTTCATCAACATATAATACGTTGTGATTGCTTTTTAATTGCGAATTCATGTTCGCCGCGGGTGACGAGATTCGTTAAAGTGTCGTTATGGCACTCGCTTTAAGCCAGATTGCCTGCCGAATCCATCAAGTGGCCCAAAAGAGTCAATCGAATTTATGGCTTTTGACTTACGCTGACAGCCAGCTGAGCCAAATCATTAGACGTGACCTGAGGAGTCTGGCTAAGTGACACATTGATAAATGACAAAAATACAAGGACTTCTGTCTCTCTGTCTCCCTGCCAAAGGACATTTTGCGGCTGAAACTGTATCCCTTTGCTATCTTTAATTTAAATTGGTTGTGGTCTGGCCTTAAGCCATCTGTCGCCTTGCTTTATGGCCTTTGGCTTGCCGGGGACTTCAATTAAAAGAACCTAAGGAAAACGCTCACAAAAAAGGGAGCTTTTTCTTATCTATGAACTTTGAACTTTTGCTGAGGCTGCTGCTGCTGATGCTTCTGATGGCACTACTGTGACCTCGGTGCTCTGATTGAAACACTTCTTTAATGCAATTCCTTCCATTCGAATCGCCTTCTTTTATTCATTCTGTCTCCAAATGCAATTTGCATGGCTATGGTTTCGAGCTTGCCTCTGAATTATTTAGGCGTTCGAAGTGATTAATCGAAGTGCTTTCGGTGGAAATCCAGGGTGCGTGCCCCGACTGTCTGCCTGTCGCAATCAAGTATACGCCCCGTTGCCGGCATGTATTTGGCGCGTAATGCCCGTGTGATGTGGCGCTTTTTTCGTGGGCC